TTTACCTCATTTAAGCGACTGGGATCACCTTCATTTTTCTCATGTAAGTTCCTTAAAAAAATAAATAAATAAAACAAACAAACAAACAAAAAACCAAAAAAACCCCGACTAAATTCGTCCAGTCTCCAATTGAAATGAAAAATCATTCAGCGACCATATTACCGATCTTATTGTAGGTATCGAAATCATCATTTACATTTCATAAGTTTCATCGTGTCTTACATTAATGTTGTCTTTATTTTATGTTTTCATTTTTGAATAAAATATCTATCTATCTATGTCACTCGCTGATCATAGGTGTCACATGATCGTGTGCAATGCCTCTCTTCCCTTCTGACCTCTCTGCCGTCGTTTGCGGCTACTGTATGTACTCGAGGTTGTTACTTGATGCGCACGGCCGTTTTTGTACTTATGGAGGGTGAAGACGGTTGGAAGCAACATCCGGAGGAGAAATGGATTGAGCTGACAAAAAATACCTAATTGAAACTGATTTTACCACATTAACCGATACGTCACTTTATCGAGATGATTCTCAATGGACAAATATGTTGTGTACATGTTTTACCTTTTTATGTTGAGCTTCGATACGAGATTGTCCACCGCCGATGAGCGCTGCATTTCGGATTTTTTGCAACTTTTCTCGTGCCGATTCTGGAGCTTCTTGGCTTGCAAAACGCGAGACTGACTTCACTATTCCACACTGCATACATTTCTCATAAGCCCGGTACAATTTGAGCATAAATGGGTTAAACCCCATCTTTTTATCAAGATTATTATGGGGAATTTTTTAATTTAAAAACAATAACAACCCTGGTTTTAATCTTGGGGTCGGAGAGCGGTCAAATTAAACTTAATGCACGGGAAGAAAGTTTACCATTTATCTACGCTGTATATCGTACAGGCTGACTGATAGGAGAGGAATACTTTAGCGAGTCGGGAAAAATGACTGCTTTTTGGCGTGGTGACATCGACTGGGCGACGAATTACGATGACCGGAGGTGTGTGGTTGCCGACCGCGGCGCACTGTGGAACGAGTCTTTGGGCGAAGTCGGACATGGAATTTTTCACGAAAATTGTAAAATTTTACATTAATCTTGTCGCAATTTTGATATTAAGGGGTGTTTTTTACAGAAAATTTTACGAGAAAACCAATGAAACTACTTATAAGACATCAAAATTTCATAACAATGAAGAAATACACTTTTAAAGTTTTTAAATGATGTCCGACCTCTCCCATTGACTCGATTCACTGTGCGGCGCGTGGGTGGAGACGACGCGCGGGAGGTATACAGCTTTTCCGCACAAAAACCTCCGTTTTTGTCATTTCCCCACAAAACTAGTGATTGAAATTTCCGCGCAAAATATGTCCCGTAGAAAAACTTCTGGCGCCGTTGCTTGTACCGAAGGTGGACCTCGTGCCGTGTTTGTGTCAAGCTCGGATGAGATATTGGAATTTGTTTAAATTTGTCTCTCCTCTCTTGAAATATTGTTGTTCGTTCTCTGAAAGCTTTTTCCGCCAAATGCGAATCAATAATCTGTTCCGTGCTACCAAATTGATTGAATAAATACAATTTGCGGAAAGATTTTGTGAGGAAATGTCAGTCTAAGATTCTGCGCGGAAATCTCAAAATGGGAAATTTTGTGCCGACACGTCAACCTTTCCACGCGCGCGCGCGGTGCCCCGATGAATGGTAGTAAAGCAATTAATTAATGGGTTGTGCTCCTGAGAGTGCTGCCTACCCTTCTTTGCAAACATCGACTTCGTCAGTTCACTTTTCCGCAAGAGTTCAGTTACACGAACCAAAATTTCGGTTTTACAAACCGAAAATTCAGTATGCCGAGCCGAAAATTCAGGTTGACAAACCGCGAATTCAGTTTGACAAACCGCGAATTCAGTTTGACAAACCGCGAATTCAGTTTGACAAACCGTGAATTTAGTTTGACAAACCGTGAATTCAGTTTGACAAACCGAAGTTTCAATTTGACGAACCGAATTAGTTGGGATGACATGGAACACCAAACATACAACCGAACTTTCTTATTTCAATGTATTTAATGATGAAAATGCGTGAGGTTTAATGGGTTAAGATTTGTTTGACCCGAAAAATTAAAATTAAAATTCATTTTAATATTGCTACCAGCACCATCAGACGGGAGCATAGTGCGTCTAATACACCCACAATTTGAGTATTTATGTTTTACTTCATATGTTTTACGTCACTCTGACGTGATGTTTTAATATAAGCAGGAGTCAATGCTTACATTGAATAAGTAAAATTTTGTTACTAGATTATTCCCTTTTATTATAATTTTTTCATGCCAACATCTAACTACTATAAGTCATTCATTCAACTTCTGCGCGTTTGCAATAGCTGACGTATCTTTGACCATCGTATGGACGGAACGAAAGCATGTTATTATGACGGTAAATCACCTAAAAATATGACTATTTTAACAAAAGGCGATGCGGAAACCTAAAATTTCTACTGATATTTCACTTGTAGTTTCGCGTTAATGCATAATTCATTGAGTCTCGTTTCCCAAACATTTGCGACTGGTCTGTTATCAATAGCGCCAATTTGATGCACTTTATGCAAATATCAGAATTCAAAGAAGGCCAAAGTTTGCATAGAAAACGCCACCACCGATTGTTAAAAACTGCCAGTTTCGGCTTAACTGAAGGACTTGATTTTGTTTTCAACCCATGCCGTACTGTCTATGTACAAATGTACTAACTTCTGTCATAATTTGATTTCCCTCGCTAAATAAGAAAATATGTACGTTTCTCTTGTAACTTGAGCGCAAAAAATCGATAAGTTTTCATAATTTCAGCTATACCAGGGTTAGTAGGAAGAATTTCCCGCATTGAGTTGCCCAATCAAGTGAACATTAAGCGCAGAGAAAATTTGGTGGTCTCCCTCCAAAATGGCGAATTCGCTAAACAAATTTGTACTTCTTCATCTGAGAGTGCTTGAAGAGCCGATTTCGAAGTATTTTTTATTCTGATGTTGGCAACAGTATAGTTATAGATTTAAAAGTAAGAAAATGCACCGCCTGGTGATATCATCTGGCGGCATTTCCCATTTAAAAACGTATATTTCAGTTGATGAGATCATTTTTTCAGAACCCCTCCAATAATTGTTCAATTGTTGAGCCGAGGGTATTCTCGTATTTAGTTCACGGAGGGGTCTCCACTCAAACACGAAATTCATCAACTTTTAGACACCTGCAATTTTACATTATTGCATCCAAAGATATTAAAATAGACCATCATTCTTGAATGACTAATTGTTCGATTGTTTGTGCGAGGTGGTTTCTTAAGTTGGAATTCCGCCTCTTTGTCTCTCCGGAAATAATCAGTCATGAGAATAATGTAATGGAATTACGAATCGCGTGATAAATCTCTCTATTAAAATTGCATCACTTATTTCTAAGCCCATGTGCCTTATATTTTGTACTTGAAATGCACATGAGATAATAGTTCAAATGAAATTAAACATTTTATTGTAATACCACTCAATTTTGATCGTGATGGAGATGCGTAGAAAAAAGGAAAAAAAAACTTCCTGGATTTGGTGGTTCAGATGGTTTAGTGGTCCACACATACTTAAAATAGAGTAAAAATAAAAAATTAAAAAAAAATCATAATCTGGAAGAAATATTTTGCTATTGGGACAGGAACTGAATTTACACGAAGATCTGTTCAAAATCTATAAGCTGAATGATCTAATTGAAATGCAGACTTGCCGATAACACTAATTTATCACATTAGAAATAATAGTACAAATAAATTTTACATTGGTGTGTGCCTTTAACGCCATTTTTGATACCAAAATAAACATTAACTGGTGGTAGTTGAGTACATTTCTTTTTTAAACAATATTACCAACTATCATCCCGAAGTCAAATATGACCGACAATCAGTTGGAGAACAAATGATTTCCTGTCAAAAATATAAACGCATGACTCTTGGTTAACACATATCAAACAGAATGAACCACTAGACAAGGTACAAATTTCAGCATTCTGATACATATTTCTTCACCAAAATTTCACGTAAAACACGATGCGCACAACAAATATTACCGAAATCATTTCCTTCCGAAGATATTAATGATTCTTGGTGCGTGAATTCAAACCACCCGCTCATGAAAACTCAATGCTCTACGTGATTCTCATCGCGCGCTAAACGTTATCATGACAGTCTTTGCGATAAAAAAATCTGGCGACCTCAATCTTGACACTTCGGCTCAGCTATAGTAAATTACTTAAAGTTTGAACAACACATGGTGGGAAATGAACATTGCTCGATTGAGAAGATTGCTGAAACCGTTGTAGTGCGCGATTTGACTCACGTAGAGCTTTGAGTTTCTTGTGAGCGGGCAGTTCAAATTCCTCGTAACTAATGTGAAATAAAAACGTTAATAGCTTCGTTAGGAGTTGGTTTCAGTAATTTTCGTTGCGCGAATCGTGTTCTACGTGAAATTCTGATCAAGATACATGTATCAGAATGCTTAAATTCGTACCTTCTCTAGTGGTTCATTCGTTGTCCTTCTGAAGTAAGGGTGTATCTCGATTTCCACGAGAGCCCTGAAAAGCATGGAGTTATACGGAAAACAGGGCTCACCTGGAAATTGACATACGCCCTTACATCACAGGAGCGACGAATTGGTTAAGGTGATTCGATGGACGCCATATTTTGTGTCAGAACGGCATGCGATATATCGCATTAATTGGTTCCATATTTTCAGATTTTCGTCATTTTTCTCCTATTTTGAGATCGCAATTCTGTTGTTAGGAGTCTAAAGTACTCACTTACCAATTTTAACAAAGATATTCAACGTAATAAAGGCGTGGTTTTTTCAGAGAGAAAATATCGCATTCGAGTGCAGTTTTGATATCAGTATCGAATGCGATGTTTTCTCTCTGAAAAAACCACGCCTTTATTAAGTTGAATTTCTTCGTTAAAATTGGTAAGTGAGTGCTTTAGACTCCTGGCAACAGAAGTGCGATCACAAAATAGGAGAAAAATGACGAGAATCTGAAAATATGGAACCAATTGATGCGATATATCGCAGGCCGTTCTGACACAAAATATGGCGTCCATCGAATCACCTTAAAGGTGATGGAATCATAACATTCACATGGTTGACGATTCGCCTGGATCAAAGCGATACCGCTCGCGCGACGCAGCTTTGATGGCGATCGAGAACCCCGGCTCCCGCGGCGGAAGATACGCCGCGCCTTCCACGCGACACGGATCCTCGAAGTGCTCGTGGAGGTGATCCACGTATTCGGCCACGCGTCCCTCCCGAGTCCCGGCCACGCACAGGTAGTCGATCATGGCCACGTGCTGGATATACTCGCAGAGACCGACGCCACCAGCGTGCGGGCAGACCGGCAACTCATACTTCGCGGCCATGAGGAGGACGGCGAGAACCTCGTTGAGGCCGCCCAAGCGACACGCGTCCACCTGCACGACGTCCAGCGCACCCCGCTCCATGAACTGCTTGAACACGATGCGGTTCTGGCACATCTCGCCCGTGGCCACTTTGACCGGAGCGACGGCCTCCCGTATGGCGCGGTGCCCCTCAACGTCATCCGGACTGGTCGGCTCCTCGATGAACCACGGGCGCGCGAAGGCGAGCTCCTTGACCCAGGCGATGGCCTCGGGCACCTCCCAGACTTGGTTCGCGTCGATCATGAGTTGCCTCTCGGGGCCGATCGTCTCGCGGGCGATGCGGACGCGGCGGACGTCATCGGCCAGGTCGCGCCCGACCTTGAGCTTGACGTGCGAGAACCCGGCGTCCACGGCGCGTTGGCACAGGCCGCGCAGCTTCTCGTCCGGGTAGCCGAGCCAGCCGGCAGACGTGGCGTAGCACGGGTAGCCGCCGGCCTCCAGGTCTGCCAGGCGGTCGGCTTTGCCGACCGCCTGGCGACGTAGCAGCTCCAGCGCTTCTTCGGGGGTGATGACGTCGGTGAGGTAGCGGAAGTCGACGCAGCGGACGAGCTCCTCGGGTGTCATCTCAGCGACGAGGCGGAAGACCGGTTTGCCGACGTGGCGACCCCACAGGTCCCAGACGGCGTTGACGACTGCGCCAGTTGCCAAGTGGATGGCGCCCTTGTCCGGGCCGATCCAGCGGAGTTGGCTGTCGCCGGTGACGTGGCGCCAGAAGCGGGCGGGGTCCTCCTGGATCCAAGAGAGGCGGAGGCCGCGGACTCGGGGCTCGAGGGCCCGCAGACAGGCGCACACTATTTCGTTGCCCCGTCCGATCGTGAAGGAGAGTCCGTGGCCTTGGAGATGGGGTTGGTCTGTTTGGAGGATGACGTAGGCGGCCGAGTAGTCCGGGTCCGGGTGCATGGCGTCGGAGCCGTCGAGGTTGTCGCTCGTCGGGAAGCGGAGGTCCTCGACGATGAACCCGGTGATGCAGGGATCTGAAGACATTTCGGTGGATTTGTCTTCGATGCACAACAGTCGTGGTGAAGAGTAGCCGTGCTGGACACTGTAAAAGACGTAAATAAAAGAGAAATCTTGGTTTTTACATGCGTATTTAGCACAGAGCGGGGTGATTCTGGAACTGGTAGACAAAACAATTTGAAAAGGAGACGCAGGAAATATGCAGCGATTACATAGAGTACATAGAGTCGTAATGTAATTGGGAGAGCTGGCGCCACTTTTAAGCATTTTCCATGTCCCGAATTCCGAGACTCCCGTGTGACGCCGGGTCACTTTTTCGATACATAATCGATTGTTTGCGATACACGGGTACCCGGCCATCCGATGACAACAACGACAACAACAACGGAGATAGGAATTACCACGTATTCCACACCGCCATTTTGGATCGAAAATGTATCGAAAAAGCGACCCGAACTCGGCGCACACCGGGCTCGGAATTCGTCGAGCAGAACATGGCGCCAGCTCTCCCATTTACATTACGACTCTATGTACTCTATGAGCGATTATATTGGTGGAAACAGCGCTATGCAACGAGCTGAATGATAAAGTTACTGAAGGCACTCAAGAAGGACTCCATGGTTAGTCCATTATTTCCGTAGAGGAAGTAGAGTCGTAATTTAAGTGCAAGAGAAAGTAAAGAAAGTGCAATTCCATGGTAAAAAAATTGCAATTTTATCGCATCAAATCGAAATTCTATTTTCAATATTTTCATTGCCCTGCGCTACTTGGTTGCAAAATATAGTCCAGTTGTAAATCCAAATCATATCAGGACTCGTTCCAGTAAACCTCGAGCTCTTTATTTCGAGATTGAGGTGGTGCGCTGCCTGTCCGAAAAATATCATTGCCATTGCAGCACCAATGACACAGAATTCAAAATTGTAATTCTTTTCATAACGAGGTCGCAGTTTAGTCGCTCTAATATGACGTGAAATTTTGTAAAAATAAGAATGGTATTAAATCTGATTCTCTGCGTTTTACATGGCGAAGACCGTCATATTTTTCAAAATGTCACCGTGAAAAGCCCTCTCTGGCCTTGCTCAGATGCTCACGTCCTCCAGCCCTCCCCCTCCCCCCCACGCCACCGCTGGTTTTGCTCCCCTCTTCCTCTTTATATTCTAGAATCCTTTTTCTATACCTCTCCTTCATCGTAATTATTATCTTCCATTGGATCATCCAGTTCTGTTTTTTCAAAGTAACCTAACCTATTCAGCAACCCTTGAAGTTGCGACTCATGAAATTTCTGTGTCCATACGGGCCAGTCGGTATAACTGTTCATACACTGGAAAACAAAAAAACTCATAAAAACATTGACAAGAAAAAGGGCTCTTGATTCAATTAGATTTAAGCTTAAATCAAAAGGAAATCCGCTCAAATTAAGAGCGCTTGGTTCTTGATTTAAGCTTAAATCTGATTGAATCAAGAGTATTTTTTCTTGTCGATGTTTTTAAGAGTCTGGACTCTTGATCCAATGTGTTTTTTTTCCAGTGTAGTAATTTCACACTTGGCTTAAAAAAAGTGCGCCTAGCTCTCACATATTTTGTCACGGTTGACATAAGTCACTCGACCGCCTCGCAGAATGTTAAATCGTCATTGTGCATGCCCTTTCAATTATTCAATATGGTGATTAGGCACAAAACTAGTATATTTTAACAAAAATAATAACGCTGTAAAAAAAACCTGAAAATTTCAACTCTACATGACAGAGACACGAATGTTGAAAGCTGTACTGTCTGTGTTTTTGCAGACGCAATGGAGGGGATAATGGCTCTCACAGAATATGTAAGACCTTACATTTGGCCGCGAAACGACGAACAATGTTGTGAGCATAATTTTCGAACTGAGGAAATATGTAGACTCGAAATGAGTCCGTTGATTTCTTATTGTGGTGAGGAGATGGTTTAAGCATGGTGTCTGTCACTACTATCGGACACATCTCGAGTTGTTACTACAACATTTTCCATGGGCTCCACCCCCTCTTCGCCCAACCCGTGGAGATTGTGGTTTTCAACACGGTCCCAAGTAGCATTTTTCAACGGAAAAATCAGGATATATTGCAATTTTATCGGCAATAAAATCGATAGGATCATCAACACCTGAGCAATTATCCTCTATCTTATCGGGATAAAATCGCGATTTTATCGCCCGGCAATTTATCGCAATATTTTCGAAATAAAAATCGCGATAGACGGCGATTTAATCTCGATTGTATCGACAAAAATTGATCGCAGTTTAATCGAGCCAAGAATTGCGATTGTAGCAATTTAATTGCTATATATCGCACTTTTTATTGCGATAATATCTCGATTTATTGCCACCGATATAGGTAATCACGATAACCAACCGATAAAATCGCTATTCATCGCGATCACTGCTACTTGGGGTCAGGAAAAATCAGTCCTTAAAATTTTAGTGTTGATCAAAGGAGTTTTACTTACATTTTGTGTTTGTAATTTCTCCCGATAGGCAATCGTACTCTCCGTTTACTAAAAATTAAATAACTCCATACACCAACTTGCACGAAAAGAAATAGCTATGTTTTGAATTCACTGTATATAGTTTTAATAAATGCATTGCGCTGGAAATAATGTGCTTATACGAGTTGAGACAGGAAAAAGATACATCCGCTCATATGGAGCCTTGCTTCCTCACTAGGTTCATAATCAGAGCAATAGTATCAGTAGTATTGGTCTGCAAGCGCACAATAATTTGAAACGAGTGAGGGAAAAATAATCTTTATTTACTGAGATAGGTAACGGAAAGATAATGACGTATGCAGCTCCAGTCTAACAAAGTGCTTCTGAACGGTTCCAGCGCGTCGCATCATACTGTAGATTAAAAAGTGCGGATAAGGATTACTGTTAGCCTTTTGGTTCCCTTTTTTGGCCCTATTTTTGACTCTAGCGCCGCAGGGTCCAACTTGGTACTGCCGTATTTTTCCCGAGGCAGATCAGCAAAATCGCCCGAGAGATGTGAAATTTCCTAATTTCCTCTTCAATCGCCGTAATTTTTCCAGAGACTAAGTTTAATGGTTGCTACTTGGTGAAAAGTATTTCACGGCTCTGTATGCACCGTAAATAATTTCGAGAGAATATGTAGAATAATCACTTTCTAAATATTGATGACTACAGGCAATTCACCACTACACTTAGGGGATGGAGAATTGAAGTACCTCTTGAGCAAATTAAGTCAACTAAGAGGGAAAAAACATCGAAACTTGGAGACCGACTCATCCGTGGGTATAGATGCTTCTATTAAAAGCCCATCAAAACCCGGACAAAATTCGAAGCAAAATCTACGTGTGTCAAATCGTTTATTTAACGACAAAAATTTTGGCCTGCATGCTTTCTGATGGCTAAGTTTTTCAAAGTGTTTCATTTAATTCTTCATAATTTTGCACATTGTTTTTGGTTTTATTCCTCATCAGGGTAATTGCGGGAGAAATAAGTAAGACAGTGATCCATTTATATTGTCATGCACCATCAATGTTAAAGAGGTATGTTTCCATGTTTCTTTGGTGGATTTTTCAAGTGCTTTGATGAGAGAAGTAGTAAATCTTCAGCAATTCTTCTTCTGGTTGTTCTTGGCTCGATTATATCATCAATGAATCCTGTACAAAGAACAAAAGGAAAGACATAAAATGAAATTTTAAAGTTACAGGGACGAGATGAAAATTATTTGCAGGCAAAGATGATTTTCCTGATCTCTATGTTGCACTGACTAGTGATTGTGTAACGAACGCTTAAAAACTTTATATTGGAAAAGTTGTTTTTGACGGAATCGTCAAAACCTACCGGACACACGGAAATCATTCTTCTGCCAAAACTTGACAACTCTGTCGATGACCTGTTTCTTAAAGTGCCACCTAATTGGGCCTCGCCAAGCAGAAAGTTACAAACAAAAAAGGAAATCGGCCATTATCAAATTTCACCGACGATTTTTTATGAATCTTTTTTATTTAATTTTTTATTTTTTACCGGGGAGCGTTTTTACAGATTCTCCTGAATTCAGGGAAATTTTCGGTGGGGTTTATTTGAATGACAACATAGAAAATATTCTCTGAATTTTTCAAAAGAATCTGCACTATACCTGCAGTTTTACCAGAGCTCATTTCTTGTTTTTGCGCTCATTTTCCCTCTAGATCAACCGGATGTATAAAGTTCGTAAAATGAGATTTAGGAATTCAGAATATAAAAACAAAGGATTTTGAAAGAATTACATTGGAATGAATCCCCCCCCCTCCCCCCGAAAAAATCTGTAAATTTACGGTCCGATGAAAATTCAGGTTATACCATTACTTTTGCCTGCTTGATATTTAAAACTTGAGTGTGTACCTCGCTTAGCCGCAGGAATAGGGCTACTAAACTTATCGATGTATTGTCTCTCTTGAGCGGCAACGTCAGGGTGTCCTTTGAAGAGAATTGCAACTGCGCCTTTGGCACCCATAACAGCGATCTCAGCTGTCGGCCAAGCATAATTTGCATCCCCTCGGAGGTGCTTCGAAGCCATCACGTCATATGCGCCACCATAAGCCTGTGGAAAAAGAAAAAAATATGTTAGTGAAATTTGTTATCATTAATATAGAAAAATATAAATTAAGGGGAAATTCTTGAGAGGAATGGGAAGCTTTGATCATTTTTTGTCTTCCAATGAAGAGTCAGATCAAAGATCATTCAATAAGGCAAACAAAACAAACGCAAGAAGGAAATAGAGCAAGGGAAAGGTCGCGCTTTGATGAAGGCGCAGAGATACGACTATTCGTGCTTGATGGATGTCCGTGTTGCGTCTGCAAAATTGAAGGCGCGCTGGCGCGAGGCGTGAACTCGCAATTCTTCGCTCTCTGCTGTCGATGAGGTTTCGCATGGATCCAGAAGAAAATTTTTAAAAAAGAGGCCCAATTACGTTTCCCCTTTCTTCGGCTGTGTTGCTCATGTAGCCCTTAAAGTAACACAACTAATCATAAGAGAAAATATAAAGAAAGAAAAGGAAAGAATGGAGCCCAGTGAGAAGATGGTGACAAGAGGTCGTAAGTAAAATGAAAGAGCGCCAACTCTCTGAAGGGCTGTCGGAGGACAGAGCACTGCGTTAGGATTCATAGAGTGCCGATGAGGACTGTAAAAGCAGCTTTTATGGGTATAGATAAAGGGAACAGATTCGTTTAATTTTCTAATTTCACGATGGATAGCTAATTCTTAGAGCGATCCTTTGGGGGACCAATTTTTCTCAATGACTTTTCACTGCCATGCACTGACCATTCTCAATCCTTGAACATATTTTTTAAGTATGCTAACATACTATACTACTACAGAGTAGAGTATCGAGCTTAACTGACTTTTCGAGTTATAACGGTGATCTTCGGGACGGTTGCTTCTGCATACGCATACAGTAATTTAGCACCATGCCGGATGATACCATTGTGTTCTTGAGCCAGACCTGGCAGAAATCCAGGCACATCCACCAATGTGATGATTGGGAGATTGAATGCATCACAAAACCTAACAAACCGAGCTGCTTTCACCGATGCGTTTATGTCCAAACATCCTGAAAAATTAAACTCAATTTAATAATATTTCTATTTAGCATTCAGTAAAGGATGTATAGTTTATAAAGACTGTGAAATATACTCAATATGTGGCTCATGGGAAATGCTCCTTTTGCCAGTAAGAGCAGAAAAATGATCTACAGTTTTTCCCTCCATGATTACAATGGCTCAACACGATTCAAATTCACTTTTGAGGTACTAAAAACATTTTTAGGCTTATGATTTGTGCCGGATATAAGTAAAAAAAAAAAAAAAAAAAAAAAAAAAAAAAAAAAAAAAAAAAAAACGCATCCTCCCAACTAATTCAGAGGAAAAAAAATGCGGGTCTGTTTCTTTCTACCAGCCTCATTGCATGCCAATTCTCTGCACTGAGCACTGCAGGTAAAAATAAATTGTATTGTACAGGCAAAAAAAGCTCCTTCATTCTGTGATGATACCACATAAATTACAGTCATGCCGGGTTAAGAAAGATTAAGAGTGACGATGAGTCTGGAATGAAGTTGTTTCTTGTAACGGGGAATTTCAGTACCTATGAGAAATGTCCCTGGAAATACGAACGTACCTCTGGTTCGTTGGGTCATTGATGAAGGCAAATGCCCATATCACAAAGGGGTTCTCTTTGTAATTCGTCACTGATGTCTTAAATCTAAAGTACCACAATTCTCTCATTATAAGCTAACTTTTTTGTTTAAAATATATATGCCTACACAGATTTATTATCAAATTGTTCATTTTTAAGACTGGAATACTACTACAGAAATCCGTTTGTACCTGCGGCCACTTTGGGTTGATTGCCCACAATTCCAACAGGGCACCCGTTAATCCTTGCGAAGCCTGTGATGATGTTCTGTGCATATTTTGGTGAGATCTCGTAGAAATCTCGTTCGTCAATGATGTTTGCGATGACATCCATCATATCATACGGCTCGCTTGGGTCGGGCGGCACAATTGAGTCTAAAGTTGGTACGTCCCTGTCCCTGAATGAGAGACCAAGCACCTTTCAACGAAACTCAAAGCAACATTTGAGAGGCTTCGAGGACAAGGCGCAAAAGTGCAGTTTTTGCCATTTCAAGAAATACTTGTTTCAAGTTTCAAAATTGCATAACTCCTTATGGCGGAAAGAAAATTCAAACTGACATTTTGATGCTTAAAAATTTGAATGTGGGAGCAAATTTTTCCCAAAGTGGGCGTTACGATTAGTTTTACTTAAAATCATTAATATCTCGATTTTTCGAAAAACTGCACTTATGCGCCTTGTACTGCAAGCCCCTTATTTAAGATGATGACGGTGATGATGAAAATATGTGCTTTAAAACGCGATATTTTCAAATTTTAATTGAAACTGTATAACTGAATATTGGTTGGAAAGTACTGTTTATTCGTCTTGAAAATTGCACAGTGCAAAAAAAGTCCTTTGCAGGAGTGTAAAATCCTCGCCTATCTACCTTTAGTTTTCAATGAACAATTAATTATTTGTTTCATTCAATTTCCGATCCAAATCCACAACATGAACTACGAATTAATACTTTTATTTACTGCACAGTCTCGTGAACAGTTAAAAAAATGGTCTAATACTGATTTGTTTATTTTAGAAATTGAAGAAAAATAGTCATTTGCAAGAATACTAAAACCACAAACTGTCTCTAGTTTTCATCCGAGCATTATGGTGAAACTGTACAAATGCGTATCTCGATTTTCGACGTTCCAGACATCTTCCCACACATGGAAAACTACCAAATGTAATTTTTTTACAACCTCGGATTTTTTTTCTCTGTATAAAGGATATTCTGTAAATATTTCAAGCCATGATGTTGGTTTCGTCTCTTTTTAAAAAATACAATTGAAGCGGAGATTTTCAAACACCAGGGTACGCATTTTTGCAGTTCCACCATAGTCAACTAGTTTTGCCAATGATCTACTCGTTTCTGCACCGAAACGGTATCATCACACTTTGAAAATTATTAGATCATCTCTGTCGGTTCTGTCTGCAGTCATAAAATCTGAGAAGGATTCAATTGGTTCTGAGATTAAAGTTTACCACGAATCGAGACACACTCGTGCCAATGGTGCTTCATAGCTTGATTGCGGAAGGAACGTCATGAGTTCTCTGATGTTCAAAATTGCATCGATGTCGTTCGAAAAACTGTTGTGTGCAACACCTGAGAGGCTTGTGTGTGTTTTTGCTCCACCGAGTTCCTCTTGAGTTATTGTTTCATTCGTGACGGCCTTTATGAAGGAGAAACAAACAAACGTGAATGCTGTAGATAGACCTATGCTTTAAAAAAGACGTAATAATGCCTCAATGAACCCATGATCTTGTATAGAACTCCTATGCATCATCTGTCATTCCGACGCATTTCTGTCAAACGGAACTATGTGCATTATGACGTGATCCCTGTTATGCATATATTCTTATGGGTCTCAGGGCTCATGTCTCAGTGCACTTAGTTCCGTTTGGCAGAAATACGTCCATTATATAGACACAAATCGGCCCTTTCTCGGCAAAACAGGCGTATCTCTATTTCCAAGTGCGCCCCGAAAAGCGTTGAATTATACGGAGAACAGAGTTCACGTGGAAAGTGAGCTACACCCATGGGTCAGAGGAGCAACAAAATTACGGACCGACAATAACAATACGGAATAACAATATAGCAAAAAAAAATAACTGTAAATAAAAATAAACTGCCAAAACCGAAATTAAGATCATTAATCTTACTAAAAACTTAAACCCAAGATACCAAAAATAGTTAATTACCAATCATTTAATTAGAAATCCAAGAAAGGGAGGAAATCCAGAAATCTATAAGAAAATGGTTCATAATCAAGCAAAATTTTCAAATTTAAAAAATATCGTACCACGCATTAATCCAAGAGAGTGAAGTATAAATGAGGGGCTTGGAGAGCAAGACGCATAAGTGCAGTTTTTGAAAAAAATGAGATGTTCATGGACTCAACTAACACAAGTTTGAAAGTATATTCTGTGAAAAATTCACCACTAAAATCCAACCCTATAGCATCAACAAGTGAGTTCAAACGTATTGCTTTCTGGAATAAGGCTCCACGTAATTTTGAAACTTTTAACATGTGTTTCTTTTAGCAAAAACGGCAATTATGCGCTTTGTAATCCAAGCCCCTCAAATGTTATTTTCCACTTTTGCTTTTTTTTCTCAAAAATTGAGAGAAATATGAAACTCAGTTTCGTTTTGTCATTCTTTCGTGCCTTTAGCAGGCACTGGGATAGAAGAATGCTACCTATCTTCGACGCAACAAAAAATTGATTCTGCCTGGGTATCAGAATTTGCCGGTGAATTCTGTGTTTTGACTGATAAATCTTACAACACAATTAAATGCGTTGGATAATAATAGATTAATAACTTTTTCAATTTTGTTTCTTAGAGTCTCACCTTGATGACCTCTGGGCCGGTGATGAATAAATATGAGGAGTCCTCAACCATAAAGGTAAAGTCTGTGATGGCAGGAGAGTACACAGCCCCTCCAGCACATGGTCCCATGATTACAGAAATCTGAAAGAACATCAAAGCTCAGAAAATTTTGTGTTTTTCATAACAAAGTCTGTTGCACAATGTAAGAACGGTACTTTTACTTCCATTCTTATAACAATATAGTTTTTCTCCAACGCGGGGACAAAATTTTTGCGATGTGCACGAAATATAATTACATCACATTAGTAACAGAAAAAAATGCAAAACAATCAAGCACCTACTCAAAAAAAGGAATCATTCTAGATTTTCTGATGCAAAATTCGCAATAAAGAATATATAATTCTTTAGCCTCGTGATCAAATTTTCTGTTAAACTACGTAGAATGACGTGATATCTCTGGTAAAAATTGGCAGTAGAATCTGTGTTCCAAAATACCATAGACCTACAGCCGGCTGTAAGATTTCCAATAGCTTCTATAGCCGGCAACACAATTTCTTATAGTCTTTTATAGCCGATAGCGATAAAGCAACAGCCTGGCGATAAAGTGTATGCTAAACGTTACTAATTACGGATGCTAGGACTTGGTTAGTTTTTGGACTACCACTCTCCTTTTTGGGCGTAGTATCTTGATTTTTTTTGCGAGGAAAGCTGCGTACTTTTGAAGGATGCCTGTCATTCCTAATATGTTGGAGCGCCTTCAATTTCGTATGATACTGGCAATACCTTTGGTGTGAAATTGTTGCTTCAGACGCCGTGGCACGCTGCGGCGCGGCGGGCGGGCAGGGAGCTCGAAACGCGCATTGGCGCCTACAAACCTAACAGGGATACTTCACGCATTGCGCAATTCGTGAAGTATCCCTGTTAGGTTTGTAGGCGCCAGTGCGTCGCCGCTCCGCTTTGAGTTAGGCTCCAATATTTAATCTCGTGGAGTCAGCGTTTTTCAACTCATAACTTTGAAATGTTTGCACACTCTGTATGGATTATTCTCATTTTAATTGATGAAAAAAAAAAAAAAATATGTAGTAAAGGAAAATATAATGTGCGTTTTGTACATATTAAGGTGATTCCGTACAAACTTAAGGATTTACGAAGCACACGAATTTCTACACAATTTCTTATAGGCTTTTACAGCCGAGGGCGAAAAAGCGACAGACAGGCGATAAAGTGTAAAGCCCGGCAATAGGAACTATAGCCCGGCAGTGTAATTTTTTATCGCTTCGTGTAGCCCGGCCGTATGATTTTTTCCACTTTCTGCAGCCAGCTATATGATTTTCTATCGACTTCTTCAGTCGACTACAAGAACTCCTATGGTATTTTGAAACGCAGCTCCCATCGCCAATTTTCACCAGGGATAGAAAATGATTTTTACTTGCACTCATAAAATTGAAGGATTAAACGAGAACCAGCCTGATTATATAAGACGTTGTCTACTCTCTTTTCATGTTTTTCTTTGAACAGAAAATAAAGCAACATTGCCATAGGTCAGTGAAAAATAACAAAAATTTTGACGACGTTACGTCAAAAAATGTCAGAGATTCAGACGATGTAAAATGCAGTAATGCTAAAGGTTGAGTCCATCAGAATGTCCCTTGAATTGTAGACTTCATTCCAATTTACATCAGAACAATTGTGTAGAATTGTGGAAGTTACAAATTCAATTTAAGTCAAAACTGATCCAGGACTTGTTTCCATACTTACCGTCACGGGCCCTGAAAGTCTCGTTACCTGATACTCTTTCTTTTTTTCCCGTAGTACTTCCCCGTGTCATTGGCGCTGGCTGGATTTGAGCATTTCATTCTCAGAATCTCAATCCTATCGCTTTATCATCCAGCCGTCGTATTTCCCGTTAAGACCAGACTTTCAGCTGATGGCTCCATTGATTATGGACAGCCAATAAAGTATAGTTTCGTTGTCTAACCACCGATGACGTCAGCAAGCCTATAAAAGCGTGGGTTGCGTATTTCAAATGGTCTTTTCCATCTTTGACCCGTCTGCTCTTCTAGCATTTCTAATTTTAAGTGTGACTTCAACTTGTAAAATCATGTGGATCTAAATTCCGTTTACATTCAAAGTTTTCGTTTCATCATTTTTTTTTTTTTTTTTTTTTTTTTTTTTTTTTTTTTTTTTTTTTTGCTTCTGTTGGATGCGTTTCTTTTTCTTCTTAATTCTTCTTCAGTTTCCATGGGTTCTACTGGAGTGGAAGTTCTGAACTGAGCTGCTATTATAGGATTGAAGTACGAAAGTTTTTGGGTAAGCAATTCTTTCGTATTCTCAAGCTTCTTAAGTTCTTGCATAATTTCATCTCGTTATTCTTTTCTGATATATTCTTGTCCTTGGTTGAGTCTGACAGTTGAGCTAATTTAAGTCCGATGCTTTCCAGTTCTTTGTTCAGGATGGTATCTTTAATTGAAGTTATTTGCCTTTGATGTTGTTCCTTTAGTTTTTCTTTTTCTTCAAGCAGATTATATAGTGTTTAGGTCTTCCTGGATCTCGGATATAATCTCTGGTGGTAGGGATTGATTTTTTAAAGTCTCTTCTCTGGTGAGGATGATTTTCTTGTATTCTACTATCAAGTCTTCTGTCGTTTCATCATTTAGCTCTCCCACTTGAACAGCTTTTTCACCTATTTTAGTGCCATCAGGGAATCGTCAAACCAGAGACAAGGGACCCTCCGCTGACCTCTTGGGGACAGGTGGAAGCTTTTCTCTTTCGAAGATGCAACAATTCCTCATGGCGCAACAGTCATCACTCTTTTTTCGGCTGCTAACCTACCCACGTGGTGGTGGTGGATGATGAGCTTCAGGTAACGTCATGAGCCAAACAAGTTTCCCAAACTTCGGCTTGTTTGCGAAATGAAACTGCCAACACGTTATTAAACATCAACCATGTAGGTAAATTAGCAGTTTAATGTTGCAGTTCCGACAGTGAAAGCTTCCACCATAGCCGAGGTACGAGTGGCGGGTCTCTTTGTCTCTGCGTTAAACCCCTTGATGGGACACAGCTGGATCAGTGGTTTTTTTTTTGGCGCGTATACGTAGTATACCNTTTTTTTTTTTTTTTTTTTTTTTTTTTTTTTTTTTTTTTTTTTTTTTTTTTTTTTTACCACGATGTTTGTCGTGGATAAATGTAAACAATTTGGGAATCGAGTTTACCTGTGGGATGACGCCGGACGCCAAGACGTTCCTTTGGAAAATATCAGCATAGCCAGCCAAGGAGTCGACACCCTCTTGAATACGTGCTCCGCCAGAATCGTTGAGACCTATCACCGGTGCTCGGCTTGTAAGAGCTCTATCCATAATCTATAATAGCAAAATCGTAATCGAAGCATTGTTAATGACAACTTAGCCCAAAACTCAAATAGCACGGTGCAATGAGATTATTGATTTAAAGGTGCAGTTAGATGAAATAAAATTGCACTTTTTACCATGATAATGCAATACTTTCATGTAATTTGGTCAATGCGCGTGGTGGCTGAAGTGCGAGACCACGTATATCCGTTTGCGACGTTGTAAACTTCCATACTGCCGTGCCAAGGAAGAACGCCGTATGAGCCTTCAGACGTTGCCAAGTTTCGTCTGATAAAATACGCATTTTCTGGGTAATATGAGAACATTTTTCCTCAAAATTTTCAGAGAATTTTTTCGTAGTCAGATCTAAACTGTCTGAAAATTTCAAGAGAAAATATTCCTAACTCCCCTCAAAAATGGACATTTTTAAGAGGGTAATCTGGCAACTATCGAATGTTCATACGGCGTTCTTCCTTAGCACGGTAGCATAGTTATGCATACTTTATTTATTTTCTCCTTGGAAAACTAGTCGACGCAATTTCTTGAAACTTCCTCCATTTTTCTTCCACGCTAGTAAAATATTCTTTCTATATTTAAAGATAAAAAGCTAACTTTTTCCACTTCGAAAAAATAAACCAGAAGAGGAGATTTTGAAACGCCATAATGGACATACGTCGTGTCGCACTTCAGCCATCAAATGCTGATTTTAAACGATCAATTAGATAGCTCCACAGAACAATATGCAATTTGCAGTTCAAAATTGTGACTTATTTCCATTTCATTGCATTACATTTTAACAAGAGGTGTCCTTTCAATCAATGGATAGGCCAAACTCAATACTTCGATGCAGTAACAATTATGTCACCGTGGCGTAACTGCAATAAACAGCAATCTCACTCGTGTCTTAAGACCACAATATTACTGACGCGCCTTGAGTGAATGAAACGCCTTTAATATTTTTGTTTACGCGAGTTAGACGATAATTGAAAAGGATGTGTCCAATCCACCACATCAATTTTCAAAAACTACTTCAATGGTCTAAAAAAAACCTTCGAATCATATGTCTGTTTTCTTCTATTTATCTGCCTATCCTCAAATGAGTTGAAACAATATATTTTCAAGTAAAGTACTAGTTGAATTATAAAATTACCTTACAAATTTTTTCAGCATGGACACTGGATAAACTGCCGCCAAAAACAGTAAAATCTTGACTGAAAACGTAAACCAGTCGACCGTTTATGAAACCATGCCCCGTGACGACCGAGTCCCCTGGAAACTTTTAAACTTTAACTAGAGAGAGCATAGGCATGAAATGTTAATTACTAAAAATTTGCTAAGGATTGCGATCTACTGAAAATTAAAAGCAATTGGTACTTTAATTTTTTCAATTTTTAGTGTATGGCTCCTGGAAATTTTTTGCTTGACCGAAGACTGACGACTGAAGTTACTGTAGCCGGATGATTTGTTTCATAAAGCGTATTAACAACAATTACGCAGCTTTTGTTCATTGGTATGTGAACGCATCAAGAAAATTCCTACAGAATTAGACGGAAGTATGGTGTATACTTTTTTCATGACTCTTTCAGAGTTTTAAAGAAGTTCATCCCGACGCCAGACCATATTTAATACTGAACATTGTTTGTTGTTGTACTGAACAATGTTTTAATAAAGCAATTGAAAGATGAATAAAGAAATGGTACCAAATCCCACAATACTTATGATAAAAGTCTTGTTAAAAGTGACATAGCATACCTTCTTTGACTGCATGCCGAAATCAATACAATTATGTTCTACAAACATATCATACTCAGTAAATGTACCAGAGTCACATAAGATGCGCAGTCTTTCTCGTGCAGTCAGCTTTCCCTAAAGAATAGAATTATGTAAGTAAACGAGTACTACATTACTTCAAGAAATGTCATGGTACAAACCCCTTTCATTATGTCATTGTGGACGGCTTGTCACCAATAAGGTAACTTTTTCGATGATATATTAAATTTGAAGCATTTTATGCGTATTCTAGGTTTATGTGGTGGTGTAGGCGTGGAAAGCTGTTAAATTTTGACTCCTCGTGATAAGTTTTAACAATACAACAGTAGTGGAAAGCGGAAGCATCGTATAACTAGAATTCTTGAGGTAATTGATCGTAGATTTTTAATTAATTTCAAAACTACAACCCAAGGGAATTTTGCAATTTTTTGTATCATTTTTAAAATATTTATCCATCACGCCTTTTTGCAGTTATTCAAGAGTGTTCCTCGGTCAACTTGTGTGTGACAATACCTTACGAGATGAACCACAATATGATGTGACATTTTGGGATTTTATGGAAAGTTCCCGGAAATCCAGAAATTATCCATGGATCGATCGAATGTTGAGCCGTTCTCAAAAGTGCTGAGGAGTCACTTCAATGTTTAAGTAAATCGGTGGGAAGTTAGAACATATATCTTTTATCATCCTCTTACCCTCCTTACCTAATTATACTTGACCTATATGTATGTTAAGCTTTGCTCAATTTCTAACTGTTAATATTTTCTGTGTGTGATTTCTTGGAATGTTAAGATTGTGCAAAGATCTTCTTCAGATGACTGTACACAAATGTCAAAAACATATTATTTAGACGTAATGGCTACTCTTGAACTTCAAAATATAATAGACTTTTCTTTGGATACGTCAATCGATGAATTTTGTTGTTTGATTATTAAAATGTATATAAATACTTAACCTCATTGTATTTACGCACATTGGGCATGGCGTTGTCTTTAAATCAATCCCTCGCTCTCCTGACATAAGGGCGTATCTCAATTTCCAAGTGAACCCTGTTTTACACATACTTCTATACATTCTGTAGCTCATGCGGAAATCGAGATACGCTCTTACGCCAGGGAAGTGACGAAGCTATGTATGTTTAAACGCTCAAACTGCAGGAGTGTATTTTATGGGTCAAATATGACTTACTTTTCTTTAAACAATTTTCCTGAAAGTGTCCCTCGAAGTTTTGGTGAAATATCTTTTTTTCTGAGTTTTGCGACCGTTTTAGACCGTAACTCATGAAAAATGCCCATTCCCCATGATATTAATCACTGAACACATCAGGAATATTCAGGAGCTACAAAAATATCGAAATTTTAGGTTACAGGGGGACCGAATGAGGTCTTAATTGCATGGTAGGAAACTTGACCCCCCCCCCCTCGTCCCCGCTGAACTTCTTGAAATTCCATAAATACTTGAGATTTTAGTTTCCTCTGAGGCCAAGTGCAAATTTTGCGAGAAAAATCATGGGAGGTGACCATTATTCGTAAGTTTTGCCCCATAAACGTCGCCAAAATTAAGAAAAAACGGCGATACTTCCAAAACTTTGAGGACCGAACCCCAACTGGAGGCATTTTTGGAAATCAACTTTCTAAAGGAAAAAAGTCTCATTATGACTGATAGAAAACATTCTAAAAACATGAAAACATCTGAAAACATTCAAGTATAAGTATGTAATTTAGACGTTTATTTTGAGACACCGCAGCTTTACATATACATTCATTTATGGTAAAAAAGGTGAAAAAGCGACACCTGGAGAAGAAATGCATTGAGCTAACAAAAAGTACCGGGTTGAAACTGATTTTGCGATTGATCGATGGGTCACTTTATCAAAATGATCCTCGATGGAAAAGTATTTTAAAACAGATGTAACGTATGTTTTTACCTTTTTATGCTGGGCTTCGATCCTAGATTGTCCACCACCGATGAGCGCTGCATTTCGGATTTTTTGCAACTTTTCTCGTGCCGATTCTGAAGCTTCTGTGCTTGCAAAACGCAAGGCTGACTTCACTATTCCACACTGCACACATTTCTTATGAGCCCGGTATAACGGCATCGATTTGAACAGTGATGGGTTAAGCCCCATCTTTATCAAAATGTATTATACACAAAAAAAAAGAAGATTCTAATTTGAAAAATAAAAACACCGGGTTTAATTTTGGGGCAGGAGAGCGGTCAAGTTGAACTTAATGGTGTAATAAAGGACAAGGTAAAGGCACATACAAAGGGACAAGCCCACGATTAAAAATACAGTTTTTAGCATGAATTAAGACGTATTGAAAAAACGGTAAATTCCATGCGTATTAATGGGAGGAAGTTAGTTGGTATGTACTGGTTTGAAATGAGAGATCACCATTATTCTCGAGCACTTTTACTTTTGATAAGTTATTGACTGCATAAATAATATCACGGCAAATATCCGCGCCATTTACAGTAGACACTGGGTTGTTTGGGATAAATCATGCCGCGTGCCGCAGTATTTGATTACTGCAGAAAGAGTTAAGTAACGATTCGATATCTCGGAGGCTGGACATTGTTGTCACGTAGAAATGGGGAAAGTATACAGATAAGATCATGTAGAGGGCTTATGTAAAAGTATCATAATATTGAAGTTCACTGATATTCCATGCAAAATGATACAAATGACGTCCTGTCATTTAAATTATACATAACATACATATCTTCAAATACACGATTTGATACACGTCGCGTCTTTGTATTATTATTTGGAACAACTTAGATGGTATGAAAAACTACCTACCCCTTCAGATAAGGTAGAACATAGGACTTATCTGTAACAATAGCGGATGTGAAAAATTACCTTTTCTAAACACATCCAAAAAACTGTTTTGGCATCGAGAAAATGTTGAGAAAATACTTGAGATGTGATCCTCGAGATCTGTACATTATGCCAGAGCCAAACATATTAAATTTTTGTGTGAACAAAACAGTTTTTTAAGCGTGTTTCGAAAAGGTAATTTTTCACATCCGCTATTGTTACAGATATGTCCTCATATATTCACTTAAGTGAAGGTTCAAAACGATCGGTATTTTGCCATCATCCTCTCATGAAAATTGTGAATTATCGACCACCCACTCTGAAGGTCTCCATTGAATGAATTATCGCAATTTTTTTATTTTTCCACTAGATTTCTTTTTAACGCATTTTTTCATTCGTCAACTCCCCCCCCCCCAAATTGTGCAAAAATGGAGGAAAATGGAAAGGATTCTTTTCGAGACATGCAAGTGGTGACTTAAAAATAATTCGAAATGAGAACACAATTTGATGTGATTGAACACTTAACAGAACAAGAAATGTGCATGAAAGAATGCTACATCAATGGTATCACCAAGATGTGCGTTTTCAGTTCTGCGTACATTATATCGTTAAAAATGTCTCGCTTAAGTTTCAAATGTTAGCTTTCCTTGAAAACCCGGAAATTATGAATTAAATTCTCGATTTTATTTTTTATTTTTCTTCTTCGTCAAAATGGATGCACTTAGGATACATTTTTAAAGATGCGTTGTCAGATCTAACCCTCCTTATAAAAGGAATGATACAGCATATTCAGGCTTTTGAAGCATAGAGATTTTATCTATGTGTAGAAGTCTTAATATTATTTAGGTTTTTTTTTTTTTTAATTTTTTATTTTTTTTCGTGAGACAGTGCTGCCTTTTGCTCATCGGCACTTAATATTTTTCCTCCTTTTTTAATCTAAGATAATCTTATGGATATGCGAGTGTAAGATAATGCTAAAAACTGTCGACGATACATGTGAGTTTCCTGTCTGGCTCAGCGGAGAAAAGTAAAAATTACTTAATAAAAAAAGCACACTGATTTGGCAGCCAGGCCGATGAAGTAAATCAGTTCGAGTTATCAGACGAACTTGTTGCTCAGCAGATTGAGGCGCGCTATCCTCCTACCTCGCAGCATGCAAAATATGAAAGAAACTATTATTATAAATTATTATCAGGGGTACCTACTGACACAAAAAGCGATGATCTCAAACCTAAGACTTTATCAGTTGATCAACCCAAACTCTTAATTCTAAATAACTCTGGAAAAATCTTAAAATTACTTTTTTTCCGCTGCTGCGGATTTCGTCAAAAAGAAAGCGGGATCCCTTTTCTAAATTGATTTCAACCTCTGAATAATTGAGAGACTAGATCTTTTACAATTTCAAAGAGCTTCTAATCTTATCAAAACTAAATTCTGAACTGTTAAGAATTCGTGACAAGCGGACGTTATCTTAAAACAAACGGTGAAATTTTCCGACTGCACGTCATTTTGCGTCATAAAAATGTATACCTACTCCTACTTATGGATACTGTTTTCTGCGTTACCCACCTCGCGCTTCAGGCATTATGCGTTAGGCCTTACTCTCATGATTTTATATTTTAGAGTATGATTTGGTATGAATTTAAGTTACAGCCCGGTGATGAGTCGGGCATTAATGCTTTATTAAAAGTATCATTACGAGAATGTGAGAATAAAAAAACGAATAAAATTTCATAAAAATTGCTCAGAGCATTAATTTTGATATTAACTCACGATGTTCGAAGAGCTCAAGCCCAGTCTCGAGATACTCCACTCGATACAGGTAGTAATCTGTGTTTGCGAATATTTTCGAGGTCAAGTTCGCTATCTTCCACTCAGTGACGTGGCATGCTTTGCGATACATAAACTGATCTGCCATTTAACCCTATCGAAAAGGATCGATAATCAGGGACAACTTAATAATCGATTCTTTACTATAGCTTCCAAAGGGGGAAATATCGATAATCGATAATCGATTATTCATGCCTCGCTACTGCTTCCGCACTGCGTCTCGTGGGTAAAACAAACGTGCAGAAATAGCATTCAATCTAAACACACATAAATCTCATAATGAAAAGGTTATCAGATATTATCGTATGGTTAAGAAGTCAAATATTATATTTTAAAATGACCAAATAATTGCTAGCAAAATGGCCATTTCAAGAGTTAACGTAGGACGAAGATAGTTGAGACAAGTCGTTGTCCCCTGCACTAAGGACTGTAACTCCGTTCCAAAGTTGCTAAATTGACTAAAAATTGATTCATTTTCCAAAGTTGTACCTGTGCAATTTTATTCTAAAGGTTTTCTGATTTTTGCAAGAAATCTGAAGAAAAATTAGAGAAATTTTCAGTTAGGAATGCCCAAGATTCCTCTAGTTAATATTTAAACTGTGAGGAGAAATTTGGCAACATTGAAATGAATATACGTTCTCTCGTGAGGGAGACGATGAAGTCATAAGATGTCAATAACTCTTGCCGAAACTTACGAAGACGAATGTTTTTGAAGAGCTTACATGATTGCCTTGAGTTATGTCTGGGAGCTCTTGATGAAACCGTTTCATTTTTTGGCTGTTATCTTCAATCTTGAGAAGGGGGATTTTAAGTCAAGTTCTATATTAAGCCCTCCCCGTGCAGAAATTAATGTCGTTATCTCAACTTTTTCAATGAGAAGAAGTTAGATTTTGAGATTACTCTGACCTAAGCGAGGAATGTTACTCTTTTTTATTCGGACCTGGGTTGACTCTTATTAAAGTTTATAAGAAATTAGTCAGGGGACAACCGTCCGGTCCGCCCGGTGTATTATTTAATTTATGTGATTTCACTAGTTTGTGAATTCTCCCTTTGAGTTTGCGAATTTGCTTTTTATTATTTTTGCAATTTTTTTTCGTGATAATTTTTCATATATTTCAAAAGTCAGATCTGTAATATATTTTCTTTATCAACCGTTTAAGTAAATAGCTACGTGAAAAAGGTTAGATAAAATGATTCTTTCAGGACAAACTTGTACAAAATTTCTCGCCAAACTCAGTTTTTTCCTTGTAATTGGTGTAGGTGCAAATAATGATTACAACAAAGTATCAAATGGACTTGACCGTCCACCACCTCCTTGCAACATGTAAGTAGTCATTTATTCAATATTTCAAGAGCCTACCTTCTCTCAGTTCTTTACGAACAATAATGTCGGTAACTGGTTAAATTTAGATGATTATTTTTTCCACGAAAATAACTTCACAGAATCATCATTTAGAGAGGTACTTTCTTTTTTTCTCCTCTCAATTAAGTGCTTAAAGCGTCAATTTAACACAAACCCTCACGTATCGTAGAGGGATCCCTCGTAACCTGTGAATATATTTTTCTGAGAGCAATTTTGAATAAGTGAAAATCGAAGGATATAAAATTGAATACAGCAGAGATCCTTTTACACAAAATCAAATGGTCTGAAGATTTTGTATCGGGAAACCGCAGAAAAAGTGAGTGCAGAACTTCTTGCACTTTTAACTTTTGTGGTGCCCGCAGTTTGTCACTAAAATGTTTTTGGACTAATTGTTCTTACTGAGTGAATTTTGGGATCTGTAGGCCACTCTGGTGCAACAGTGATCTTTTCAAACAAATGTCCCTGTACGAGCATGACACTTATGCGTACATGCACAAAAAACTTCTACATCCCCAAGCAGAAATACTGAGGGACTATGACGTAGAAGTAGAGAAGAATGAAGGGAACCCTCTATCAAGATCTCAGCTCCAAACTTTTATCGACAAGAACATGGAAGATACCCGATCAGAAATTGTTGAATTTCTACCTTCTGAATACAAAGAGGTAATTCATTACGTATTTCATCACATCAAGCTAAATTGATTCAAACATCAATGGACTCATTTTCATTAGTGACATGTTCATGTATCATCAATTTAATCATTACCGTCAGGGCTGGATTAAGGGGGTGGCCACATGGGCCGCGGCCCGAGGCGGCAAAATTTGGGGGCGGCAAATTTTGCAATTTTTTTAAATGCAGGTACAAAAAAATCGGATTCAGAAAAAAATTACAAACAAGAAAAGGTGACAAAATCTCTCATTTCCTGAGAGTACATTAATTTCTAATTTTGTCGTATTTCGGTGATACAAAAGACTGCGCACCTTTAATTAGTTGAGTTAAGAAAGAAACCAAACACGTAATTTGGCCTGGAGCGGCGCGGCGCAGAGATAAAATGATGACGAGGACTTGAGATGAAAAAGAGAAGCCCTCGGCGCGGCGGTCGGCATGAACACATATTAGCACCTACAAGACTGCACGAATACTTTACGCATTGCGCCAAAGACAGTGCGATGCAACAGCGATCGGCGCAGCGTGAAACGCACAGCGCCTACAAGACTACATGAATACTTCACGCATTGCGCCAAACACAGTGTGGTCAGCGCGGCACGGCGGCGGAAGTTAAAATTATTACACCACATTTATGTTTGTTCTTTCTTAATTTTTTAGTTCATTTCTTACAAATGAAAGGCCTTGTCCACACAGAGATAGGTTTACGGAACTGAACTTTCGCGCGAAGTTCAGTGAACTTTTGCTAGTAGTGCTGACAGGGCTTAAACAAAAAATGTGTCCAACACGAGTGAACGCGTCTTACGCACCCCTCTCCCTCCGGCACGTTCACTTGATGGTTTTCATTGATGTTTCAAAATGAATGAGAAGAGGGCGGCAAAATACAGGCGGCCCATGGGCGGCAAGTAGGTAAATCCGGCCGTGATTACCGTCCTTTTTTTCTTTTTCTTCTTCTTCTTTTTTTTTATTACAAAGAACTACCGTTTTGTAACACTGTTTTATATGCGCATACATACTCTCTTTCTCCGTCAAACAAAGTATTATTTAAAACAGAATCTCTTAATTGGAGGCTCGTGGTTATGTTATACTCTTATGTTTAAAATGTATTTAAATGGGTACAAATGGCGAATAGTTGGTGCATTTTAGGATAACTGCATTTCTTGATAAAGTTACAAAATGTTACTAATATATCGAAAAAAAGGTCAAAGGCTTCCACATTGGTTATTAAGGAAGTCAAAATACAAATAACGTAATTGAATCTTTAAATACAAGGATAAGTAATCAATTACCTAAGTGCCTATCATTGCGGATACCTAATCAGTTTTTTTTTTAAGAAACAGTACAAAAAAGGACGAAAAATCACGTGGCGTAAATCTATATTATTCTAGCCATGAGGGAGATGTATGCTTTTCTATCAATGCATTTTAGTCTGTCTCAAAACATTTTGCGCCTATTTCAACTAGTTTTCATTTTTATCGGATTGTTTGTAGTCGAATTCCATGTAATGTTTGCTTTAGCCACAGTATTGAAAGTTAAACTTGAATATTTCCTGAATTGATTTTTGGGATCGAAATAAGCCTTTTTTAAGAACATTTTGCGAAAAATTTCCCTCCATCGGAGTGAGAGTCTCCCCCGAACCCCCCTTCCTCCATACGATTTCGATTTTTTGATGTCAGAAATGTGCTTAGCGTATGAAATTACAAAGAAGAGCAATAATTTTATGCATTCTCATTCATAACTGTCGTCACATGGTCACACGGTCATAATTAAGAAAAAATGTTTTTTTAGTCTAAACTTTGACGGGCTGTAACTCTGAAGGGGGGGGGGGTGCTTGGCGCACGTTCCGAACAAAAAACTCTAATGTTGATTTGAAAAATCTTTTATGAGAATATTCGCGTTTATTTTTGGGACACCCTGTTTTTTGTGTTTTACTTTGAAAGTTCCCCTTGATGAAGAAACTCCGGATCGACGATGTTCGAAATGGACGTATTTCTGCCAAACGGAACTATGTGCATTGAGGCATGAGCCTTGAGACCCCTAAGAATATATGCATAACAGATCTCATGTCGTAATGCATATAGTTCCGTTTGACAGAAATACATCCAACTGTCGCACCCTCCTTCAAGGAAAAGCTCTAAACACGAAAACAAAATTTCTCCAGGTCGTGCGAAAATGCCTCAACATCTGTTTATTTTCAATCAGGAAACCGATCTAATGGGACGCGTAAAATCCCCCGAATACCGCGAGTTCTTACGGGCGCTTCAAAAAATTTGGAAACTCCTTCTCCGGAAGGTTTCGTTGGATGTAAAGGAACACGAGGACCGCTATTCTCTGATCTACATCGAGGAAGGATTCATCGTTGCCGGGGGACATTTCAGGGAGCTGTACTACTGGGACACATACTGGGTTATCAACGGCCTCTTGCTCAGTGACATGCCCGAAACAGCGAAAGGTAAGCTTCACTGCAAAAGTATATCGTCACTTTCCGGCCAAAGTATCACAAGTGCTATGCGACGCTTCAAAATTTCCGCCGCAATTTTATTTCTTTACAGGATATTGTTCGACGAGGCTGTCCACACATTTTACTGAATTTCCCTGGTGCTGCTAAAATTCAGTGAAATTTTCAAACGGATTCAACCAACAATTTCTCTGTAAAGAAATAAAATGGCGGCGGCAATTTTGAAACGTCGCATGCCGCTTGTATGATACTTCGGCCGCGGAAGGTGACGATATGTCCAAACAGACGTTTTAAGTTGGATCATCGGCTGCTACGTCCGCGCATTGCCCGGTAGCGAGGCGCAAATGATCGATTATCGATATTTCCCCATTTGAAGCTATGGTAAAACTCGATTATTGTTGTTGCGAACTCCCTGTTCATCGCTCCTTTTTTGTACATCGACAGTGTAAGTCGGCAATCACAAAACTCGGTTTGAGACGTCGCAGACTTCCTGTCATATTTTATTTTTTAAACGGAAAACTTCTCAACGGCAATTCCTTAAAACTGCCGTAATTTTTCTTCTTTGTGCGAAGAAAATTCTGCAAAAACTTCGCGGAATGAAATCAATTTGTTCTCCTTTAAAAAATTAACATAGAGGCGGAGATTTTCAGTCACCGCAAACGAGTTAGGTGATTGCCGACTTACACCGTCGATATGTTTAAATGCGAGATTAATCTATACATCGCAAAACGCGCCACGCAATACTTCAATCGTAGACACTATGGGTACGAGTGTATGTTTGATAAACCGGAATGTTACTCTAGAGACCACATGACTGCCTTAAAATCCAACCTTTAAAGCCTTAACATTAGGTTCAGAAGCACTGTTTCCAAATTTTCACTATTTTCTACGATATCTCAATATATTATATCAATACATACTGAGACACCATCAAAAAACTGTTAAAAATTGACTCAACAAGGGTAGCATATGCATGAAATTAAAAAAGAGAAAAAAATGAGTATTGGGAAAAAGTTTGTAGTAAATTGTTTCATGCACCTGCTGCTGGGCTCCTCTTCAGTGGCGTGGCGTGCCTTGCGATATATCGATAGATCTGCCATTTAAACCAATGGAAAAGGATCGATAGTTACGGTGTTCGCAGCGAACACCCTAATAATCGATTCTTTGCCACAGTTTCAAATGGGGAAATATCGAAAATCGATCTTTCACGCCCCGCCACTGCTACTCTTGTTGAGTCTTTAATAGATGCAATATTTCAGAATTACAAGAAATTGTTAAAAATAGAAAGCAGAACTTCTGCAAATAATTGGTATATAGACCATCAATGAAACTTTATTCTATCCGCTAAAACCTGATTTTAATCCAAGGACTTTTTTTTTTTTTTTTTTTTTTTTTTTTTTTTATCCTTGAGGTATCATCGAGAACTTTTTGGCCCTGATCAAACGTTTTAAGTTCATCCCCAATGGAACCCGAGTTTATTATTTGAATCGCTCACAGCCTCCATTGCTACCGAGGATGGTGAATTCTTACGTGCAAGCGACTAAAAATTACGACTTCATCCGTGCCAATCTACAGGTAGGTATTTTCAACCTTATTCAACACTGATTTAAATTTATGCTCATCCTGATCAGCGGTTTCATCTTTCCTCAAAAGAGAGAGGTCATATTCTCTCTTGTAAAAATGAACGAGGGGAATACCTAAAATAAGCTTTCTACAAAGCGTTAAGATGTGCTTTCATAGAATGAGAAATTGGACGTATTTCTATCGAACGGACCTAAGCGCCATAGGGTGAGGAAGGTAGAGGGGGCTTGGATTGGAGGCGGAATCGGGCGTCCGGCTTATTCCGTCCTATACTCGCAATGCTTTTCCATGGCGCTTAGGTCCGTTTGACAGAACGCGCTATCCGGGATTCTAAATTCCTCCAAAGGAACTCAAATTGGCGCTTAGTTCCGTTTGATAGAGATACGTCCAATTAAAACATTAGAATGAATCGATACAATATTGAGATGATGTTGAGGAGCAATGGTGGATCACAAACAAATATATTGGCTCAAAACTAATGAATGGAGCCGATATATTACGAAAAATTATGATAAAGTTGTTCAGTTCTTATAGATCGTAGAACGTGTATTGTGATTGCGATGGCTGTATACAGTCATTATACAATTAACCGATCATATTTATGGGCGGTGTTGGACTTGTATTAATGCCGAATTATCGGAGCTCACTGGTATGCTTGTTGCATGCGGTGATATTGAAGGCGGTAGGATAACTTTTGAAAAGTTAACGGATGAGCTAAATGTGCATTTTCGAATAGGTAACTATTCGCGCTCTCTGATATATGTGTATTGCATCTGCGCTAAAATTGAAGGCGAACTCAAAGCTTACAGAGCGATAAAGTTGTGTGTCCTAAAAACGTAACTTTTTATAATTGTTCTTTAATGCGCTTGTTGACTAAACGGCGAGATCCAGGGCAAACGCAAATAGGACGCTTAAGTCAAAACGTACCCGTGTGACTTTGAATTATTGTTGCAGGTTATTCTATCATCCTTTTTCTGTTACTTTTATCTCTATTAGTGCATAGGACCACGTTCAGCAGAAAGGAACCGAGCCACATCAGCTACCGCCAAATTTAATTGGGAACATTTTTTTACAAGAGTACATTTTTGAGGATTTCTTTGACAATTTTGGGGAATTTGCTTCACACTTCATGCAAGAAATTCATTAAAATTTGCACCAAAATCATCCGCACAACAGTTTTTGTAGAGAAAAAGTAAATTGCTCAGTTAAAGTTGGCAGTAGCTAATGTGGCTTGGTTCCTTTCTACTCAGCGCGGTACAATTATCTATGCTCATGTCGAATACATTGTGTTTCACATTGATTCTTTAAGGTCATCACAGATGAGTTTGAGTGGTGGCTTCAAAATAGGCAAGTGAAGTTTGTAAAAGGCGGTAAAAGCTACGAAATGTTCCAGTACAAAGTGCCCGCCACGGGTCCGCGCCCAGAATGCTATTGGTGAGTGATGAATGATAATGAAATGGAAATATTCATGCGACAAGGAACTATGTGCAAAGGGTTTGCGTGTATTATAGTTATTTGTAGCATTGACTAACTAACTAGCTATTTGCAAGGATGTGTTTCCAGCCGATATTAGTTTTATTTGACCAAAAGTTAATTTTTTCCCCCTCTGAGGTGGTTCCTGATGTCGATTGGTTTTCGTTCGAAGAAATTGAACAAGTGCAAATTTTAAAACTTTGGGATTAAGCAACATGCGTTTACAGTTTACACATAAGGAGCTAAATGTTTTCATAAAGTAGCGCGAACAATGTAAATCATATCAATAATTATAAACATAAAAATAAAGTTTTTCAAGTGATATTATTTTATCGCAGTTTTGCCCTGCCTCATAAATTTTATGATTATATGTATTTTAAAATTTTCCCGATTTTATAATTTTATGTAATCTCAAAAATAAGCTGATTTTTTGTTATTTGTTTTTACACATTGAGGCGTAAAACGCATGCATGAAGAGAATCAGGTACCTGAATGTTGAAGACCCGTAATTAAAAGAGAAAGGNTTTTGGAGAATTTTAACGCAAACCGCATCTCAATATCTCTTTTCGTTCAAAAGATATGGAACACGACGGTTTTCAACTTGGCAACGCTGCTACGCGGAGAGAAATTCGTTTCAGGCCGTGAAATTTTGGGAAAAAGCGTATCCCATAGTGAGGAATGACATACTGAAATTTGGTCAACATCCATGAGGGGGGAAATTTTGTCGATTTTGCACCCACCCCTTTGTTTCATTTTGAGCTGAAAAATCGTTCTATAAAATTCTGCAGGTTAAACCCCCCTGAAGGGACACCCTGTACATTCACTCTACATTCCTCATTCCGTAGAAATACAAATTTCGATAGAATTTCAAGAAGATTCTTGATTATGGGTTTTGAAAATTCTAGAGATAATACCGTGGATGTGCCATGCTCTTAATGCTTGCAATTGCCATGGTGGTGGCAGCATATGCATACAATGCGTAACCGACTCCGCCGCAAAGGTACTTCGTATCAACTTTCTGAGCTACGGTTGTATAACAGCCACGATTTTCTGTTACCTTCGATAACCGCGGTATCAGCTTTAAAAGTTTCAAGAGTCAAAGACGTTCATCTCACAATTTTACTTAAACTCTAAAAGTCTAAAAAAAATATTGTTCTCGATAATATACAAGTATCTAGACCCGTTTTTCTAGGAATGACTACTCAGTTGGTGATTCAATTCAATCAGAGGATGAGCGGGACCGCTTTTATTCGAACATCAAATCTGCCACTGAAAGTGGTTGGGACTTTTCTTCTCGCTGGTTCGATGAGGACTATGGAAGAGCGAATGGTTTGTAACATTTTTACTCAATTTCATATAAATTTCGTGCAATCAGATCTCATTTTAAAAGTACTAAAAAGAGTGAGAACCTACATTTATTTTTTATTTGCTCAAGTGTAAACTTGACAAACTTTGAAACAAAAAGTTACCAGTCAACCTAGTTTTGACCACGCCCACCAGAAAAAATCCGAAGGATTCAGTTTTTCCGGTATCGAAACATTCAAAATTATCGTAGTTTTAACGACGGACTCCATGACGGTAAAAACTTGAAGATTCAATTTCCATTCCTCTTACATTTATGCATAAAATCTTATCCAAATCCTGGCCAACTCGTCGTTTTTTGATGGAAGGACGTACGTCTATCCCAACGTTGCTAAATTTCAGCTCGAATTGTTTATTTTTACTCGGAAACTATTTGATACTATACTTAGCACAGCTGCCAGTACCATCAGCAGCAAATTTCTGCCAGCTATATATCACGACCAATCGAAACCATTGTTTTCATTTCAATTTTTTAAATCTGTCGTACAGGTTCACTTTTAGATTTGAAACCAACCACAGTGGTACCAGTAGAGCTTAACGCGATATTGGAGGAGAATGCAAGATTTCTTAGTGAGTGGTGGCATCTTGTCAATGACACTAAGATGGAGGAAAAATACGCACAGATTGCCGACGAACTTCTTCAATCAATTCATGAGGTTTTCACTTGCTTTAAGCTTTAAATCATCTTTCGTCTATGGTGAAAATAATGAATCTCTTTCATCCCGGTTAAAAGCTCAATGAGAATGTTCTTCCTTTTTGGCTCCATGGCATGAGAAGTCCGCACTCCCCGTGCACCATGGTCTGGGAGCGCCGAATTGTGGCCATAAATCAGGAAATGGTCCGATTAAAATGAAACTGAAGATACATATGTTTTTTGGGTCGCTAAATTCAAATTTGACCTTAGTTTCACAAAATTCTGAAATCCAAGATGGCGGCAGGCCCTAAAAACTCAAAATTTACACAAAAATTCTAACTATGATTTTGATGCCATGTTAAACGACAATTTAGTCGCTTGAAGGTCGCCAGACTACACTTTGCTGGCTCACAATCAGTTTTGCAAAAATGTCACATTTACGAGAGCAAAAGGCTTAAAAATCAGTATTTTTCCCAGAAAAAGATAAGAATTCATCGTATTTGAATAAATTTAAAATTGTATTTGTTTGTCTATTAGTCCTAACTAGAGCATAATATATACACTCAGAATGGTGGTATTCGTGTTAGCAAGACATGTAGATGCACACCTACATGAAGGAAGCAGAGAAGAGGAGTGGGAGAGGGTTAAGGTCGAGGTATAGAGTGCCCCCTCCCTGAACAGATACTTCCCCTCAAACATGTTCATTTCTGTGGGTTTTTTTTAAAAAAAAAAAAATATCTAACTCTTTGATCGTACCAGACCCTGCTACGAAAAGTTTCGGGGCATACTTTAGAATACCTAAAAATTATCAGCCTTGATATTTTGATATTTCTTGGAGGCAGTTCAACCATTTTGCGGTAATTTTTATTGTTATAAATGTTATTATAAATATTTTAGATGGAATGATAAACTTGAACAATTTCATAAAATAAATACAAGAAAGCGGAACTAAAATAAATTGCTGCTGAGACCTAATATCCGTGCTTGAATTTCTTTTCCCATCAGTCCCTTCTTAGCAATAAGCTCCCAGTAATATGGCTTGCGATCATCAAGCTCGAGTTCCCTGGGCGAGAGGCAAACTCGGGATCTCCTGATCATGGGGCTAGCACTACAACCATTACACCACAGGAAGGCGAGTTGGTAAATGCGTTTACATGTGAAAGCTCAAGAATGAAAAAATGACCTTCGTTTCATTCAGTTATCATCATTCTTCTGGAGAAAATATAATTTTGCTTGAAAATGTGTTTTCCCGCCAAAAAATCCAATTTTCCGGAAAACTGGCAACTGCTGGAAGAAAATGGGCATCAATTTTGGATTCAGCAGCCAAAATTACATAAGATTCGCCCTATGCCCACCGTTGACGTTGCCTCATCTCCCTTATCTTGTTGCACAGCGAAATCGGATTACTCAGAAAATCACAAAACCGCTGCACTGAAAGGACCAAAAAAGGCCCAAGACGCAAAAATACTCAAAAAAACCCATTATAGTCTGTTAGAGGAATATATGACCTACATTTCTGCACCAATAAGAATGAATCCGTAAGAAACCGTGACAAATAAAAGTTGAGGTCAAGGTCATTTTTGGCTCATTTTCAGGCAAAACTTTGGAGTCTCGTAATGGCCAGAAAATTAATCTTAATATTAAAAACGATTACACCATTAAAAAGTGCTTACTTTGAGCTATTTGTTCCATATTTGATCGGGGATCTACGACTTTTGACAAAACAACACAAGGCAATATGTGATGACGTGCACCTCGAATTCTCACATTTGCTGAATTACCTCAGAGTTTGTGAAGTTTGCTACCATATATCTGACTTTAAAAACATTTAAATAACATTTGATAGGTCGTTTCACACTTTCCAAAGGATGTAGATTAGGGCTACATGCTCGGTTGCCAGATTTTCGAACTTTCAAAAATCGGATTTTTGGCCACAATTTGGCGCTCTCAGACCATAGTGCCGTGATTGGTCGCGGTAGAGTGAGAAAAATACAACACAGAAAAAAATAGATGGTGCTGACGATAGAACCTTATGTTCACAGGGCTCCTGCAGTTTTTTTTGTTAAACTTACAGAAATTTTCTGTTGTGAGAACACAACTTCGGTCGTGGGAACAGAGTACGCTGTCCGTAAAACGGAAGCTTCTGTGACTGTTACAAAAGAAGTACAGGAGCCCTGCGAACAGAACTTTTTTTTACAGTGTGGTGTCCTTGTGTTTTTTCGGATGATGTAGGACGCAATACACAAGCCATCCCAACTTTTGTGTTAACTCTGGTATAGCTTGGGTTATATTTACAACTAGACAAAATGCAAACACTGCTGGGAAGAATCCTAATATCTATCTCAGGTCTGCTTTACTTCGTGCTTCCATCATGCATGAGGAATCACTTTCGCACATAAATTTTTATCTTTCTTCGTGTTCTCTGGGCAAACTCTTGAAACATTTGGCCAAAAATGAAACATCGACGGTGAAACTACCAAACCACGTATCTCGTTTGCGGTGTTTAAAAATCTACGCTCACATTTTATTTTTTGGAAGTAGACCAAATCAATATCATTCCTTGAAATTTTCACAGAATTTTCTCCGCGCGAAGAGGAAAAATCACAGAAATTTTCAAGACTGGACGTTAAATAGTTTTTCATTTAAAAAATAAAGTATGACAGGAAGTCTGCGACGTCGCAAACCGAGATACGTGGTTTGGTAGTTTCACCGTCGACATGCCTCCTACTTCAACACTCAAGTTCAACAAAAAACTTTAGCGTCTTATATACATGTTGCGTTACCAGCGGTTTGTTTTGTGTTAACTTGAATAGCACGAGAGAGAAAATCTGATCACTTAAAGAAGAAAATGACTGTCTCCAACCCAAACATTAATTTAAAAGCAAACATCATAAAAGGTTTCATTTCTCAGACAATCCGACGACGGTTAATAAATGAATTTTTTTTTAATGTTACTAGGTACTGTGGCGTAGTGATCTTGGCTGTTGGTTTGATTGGGATCTGAAGAACGAGAAGCACCGAGAGGATTTTTACCTGTCAAATATCACTCCTTTGTGGACGCAAAGCTACTCCTTGAGCAAAAAAGTCGTTTCGGAGAAGATAATTCAGTATCTTAAGCGTAGTGGCATTTTGTGTAAAAATGGGCTACCAAAGTTTATAGGTGCGTATCTGCTGCAGGCATTTAGTGATAGCCTAAACTCATCTCCAACTGGAATGCGAGTTGCTGCGGCAACCGATATCTCACACACGACACACGTCTCGTTGATTAAGGACGTCAAAAAGTACAACCTCACTTTAAAGCTCCTTCATGTTCCCGTGATACCCTATGCTTTGCAAGTTTTTTGTTTCGTTGCCTATTCACGGCTCGAACTCAAAATAGTGGCACCGACGCCACGTTAGCGCATGCGATTGTACCAACTACTACCACTTACACTCAAAGTTCAAAAATTTTAAAGAATCAAAATTGAGACTAAATCTTGAACGATATCCGTTGAATCTCTTCGATTCTTTACATTTATATTTTTACTAAAATCCTTCTGCAAGAAATCACAAGCTTTCTGAATGCGATTTGGTCAAATCATCCGCAGATTCTAAATTCATCTTCAACATGAGAGACATCGAAATGCAACTATTCCACCTCTATGGATACACGTGTTGCAAACTCACGAGAATGAATATGTCGTCGATGACTGAATTTTAAAAAAGGGAATCTCCGATTTGGACGTATTTCTGTGAAACGAAACCATATGACTCTTATGCATATATTCTGATGGGTCTCAGGGCTCACGTCTTACTCCACATAGTTCCGTTTGACGGAATAGAAATACGTTCATTTCAAAGTCGTAAAGCTCCGATCTAGTTCCATTGTTTTGAAAGAGAGCCGATCAACAGAATTCCTTGCAATTGTTTTTGAATTGAGGAGAAGTAGTTAGCCCCTCTCCTCTCCAAAATAAAACAAAAAGAACATATTTTGAGACTTTCAAACGTTGCCATGGCCGGATTTACCTACTTGCCGCCTATGGGCCGCCTGTATTTTGCCGCCCTCTTCTCATTCATTTTGAAACATCAATGAAAACCATCAAGTGAACGTGCCGGAGGGAGAGGGGTGCATAAGACGCGTTCACTCGTGTTGAACACATTTTCTGCGTAAGCCCTGTCAACACTACGAGCAAAAGTTTACGGAACTTCGCACGAAAGTTCAATTCCGTAAACCTATCTCTGTGGGGACAAGGCCTTTCATTTCCAAGAAATGGACGAAAAAATTATGAAAGAACAAACATAAATGTGGTTTAATAATTTTAACTTCCACCACCTTGCCGCTCTAACCACACTGTATTTGGCGCAATGCGAGAAGTATTCATGTAGTCTTGTAGGCACTGTGCGTTTCCCGCCGCGCCAACCGCTGTTGACCGTACTGTGTTTGACGCAATGAGTGAAGTATTCATGCAGTCTCGTAGGCGCTAATATGTGTTACATGCCGACCGCCGCGTAGAGGGCTACCTCTTTTCATCTCAAGTCCTCGTCATCATTTCTCTTTGCGCCGCGCCGCTCCAAGCCAAATTGCGTGATTGGTTTCTCTCTTAACTCAACTAATTAAAGGTGTGCAGTCTTTTGTATCACCGAAATACGACAAAATTAGAAATTAATGAACTCTCAGGAAATGAGAGATTTTGTCACCTTTCCTTGTTTGTAATTTTTTTCTGAATCCGATTTTTTTGTACCTGCATTTAAAAAAATTGCAAAATTTACCGCCCCCTAATTTTGCCGCCATGGGCCGCGGCCCATGTGGCCACCCCCTTAATCCGGTCCTGAACGTTGCAATGAACACACGGATTTTTCGACCGAAGTGATCGATGTGCTTTTCTTTCCCTTCTTATTAAGTGGTGCCGCGCGGCTGTGTGAAAGCATATTGTTATTTCTTTCCAACAATAGCAAAATTGAGGGGCTTGGACAACAAGGCGCATAACTGATGTCAAGTTAAATCTAGTCTATATGCACATTTTGCGAAAAATTCGTTCCAAACTTCCAATTTTTAAGCATCATTAAGTCAGTTTGAACTTCCTTTCAGCCATGAGGTTCCATGGAATTCCGATACTTCAAACATTTATTTCTCTAAATCGCAACAACTGCACCTCTGCGCCTTGTCCTCCAAGCCCCTTAATTGCAGTCGGTAAAAAGCTCGCATTCTATACTTTTATCGTGTTTAAATCTAAGTATTCTTGGTGAAGGAGGATTCTTGAACGCATCGTATTATGGGCGTATACTCATTCGGAGTTTGATATTTTCGTCTTTCAGTAGCGTCTGAAGATAGACATCTCCAATATTTTCCGTCGGCATTTTTTCTTATGCACCTTAAAGAACTTAATTACTCGCGTATTGTACACGAAAGAGATTTGTCATTCGAAAATGTTCATTTTGATTCTGACCAGGAGCCTATGCAAATGATATTAACTGAAAATTATGACTGTACAAAAAATAATCATGATTAACGCAGAGGTTCACAGTCGGCATATTTTATTGTATTCCATTTGGTGTGGCTATTCCCAAAAAATTGGGAAACCCTTTTTTTAAATATTAAATAAAATTTTCCGTGATTGGAAGAAAATTTTTTTCAGCTCAACAAATTGTTTTTGGATTTGAAAGAAAATTTACTTTAATCAGTTATCCATTACTGTTGACACGTCCTGACAATTTATTAGGTTGTTGAACCTTGATCCATTTTTAATTATACCGAATATATACTTTTATATATTTTTTTTTTACTTTCATTTTAATTTTTTTAAAGCAATCCCGACGTCCTTGATCCAGTCTGGTCATCAGTGGGATTATCCGAACGCATGGGCCCCATTGCAATCATTTTTGATCAATGGACTCATCAATCTACGCACTGCGAAGGCTGAGAAAATCGCTCTTCAACTTGCTCAAAATTGGGTCTACACAACATACGTTGGCCACAAAAACACTACATTTATGTTTGAGAAGGTACTGAATTATTAGAAAATTTTTCAAACATGAGATTCCGCATCTGAGCAGTTGAAATAGCTCTTGCGATCAGGCAGGGTTTTTACAGCTAAAGTAGGATAAGTGATGATATACCCAAAGAGTTTGTTATCCTCTAGTGATTTGAAGTTGTAAATGGACGTATTTATCCTAAGAAAAACAATGTGCACGTAAATAAAATCAAGGGAAAAGCTCCTTTTGATTCCTTCATTTTCAAATAGTTCCTTCAGTGTGGTTTTCTTTCTTTCAAAGTTTCTTCTTAGTTTTTCCCCCGTCAAGATAATGTAACGCCTTGTGATGTCATCAGTCGGCACCTCTGATTAAGTTCATGTGTTTTTTCGGATTATGTAATTTTTTTTTAAAATACATATTTTCTACAATAATTATTCCATTTAGGAATCAAGGATATTTTCCGGCACTCAAAAGTTTCCACTTGAACATGAAATTAATCAATTTTAGACATCTGAAAATTTGCTACTAAAAAAAATGTGAAGCGCATGATAGGTTTTTATAATGTTTTTTTTTCACATTTTTCAGTATGATGCCGTTCAGATTGGAAAGACTGGTGGAGGTGGAGAATACGCTCCTCAAACTGGTTTTGGTTGGACGAACGGTTTCGTGATACAATTGCTCGGCACGTATCCTGAAAAGTTGTCCCCTACCGCCAGCAAAACATGCTAGCATCTCTTAAACCCCTTAAAATTCCACATGTAAATAGATCTGTAATACACGGGAACAACATGTTTTACGGTCCTTGCATCAGTTGAGCACCAAAAGGTGGAGTATGCACCGGAAAAACTCATATGCTGCTATAAGTGCTATACTCCGAAGGTATTTAGGAAGTCAAAATTGGCTTGACTGCCTCTGCTGTTGAGTCTGCATTTCTAGGTTGTGAATGTTCACCAGAAACATTTTTGCCTTACAAAATGCTATTTCAGCATGTTAGTTGGTCCAGTGAGTACTTAGACCAAAACTCATCTATATTATACAGCTACAAGCAAAATCTTGGAAGCACTATTTCTGACGAACTGCCGTACCGATAAGGATGATCTTTACATGTATGTCATCTGTAGTAGATGTAGCTGTGCAAAAAATTATGAAACCCCGAACTTTAAATGTTGTAGAGCTTTTAAAGCTCATGTCACTTAAGTCCAATGTTAATTGCGTGAGAGATATGTCGTTTCCGCTAGAAACGTCAAGGTGTGGGATTCTACCTGAGTGACTCGAATTAACAATAAAACAAATGGAAAAGCTCGTGAAGGGCTCCTCATTCGAAGAGTTGAGGAACGGTGCATCGCTCTGGGTTCAAGGTTCAAGGTCCAAGGTATAAGGTTTAACTCAATTTTTCCTGCATTCTTCCGGCTTCGATTTGTGGCATTGGTCAATTTACCTGATTGCTGAATTTCTTTTAATATTTACAGCAGATAAACAGCAGATACAAAGTGAGAAGGCAGGCGCTGCGTCGCGTCGGGACGAACCAAATATTATTAACTCTTTACGGTCGAAACCCGATTATAAATTATTATTATTTTTTTTTTCAAATTAAGTATTTAAAAATAACATAATAAATGGACATTTCTCCAGTAAATGGACTGTGAAATTATGTACATCCAGCTATTCCTCATCATTTACAAATCTGAGTGTTACGTCAAAAATTTTGAAATCGATGTAGCTCGAACACGAAATGGTGTATTAAAATGGAAGAACATTTTTGCCTATACATATGCGTATAGGGCCCGCGAAGGGGGCCTGAGGGCGCTAGGCGCCCTCCCGGGGGTTGGGCCGCGTAGCGGTCAGGGGGCAGGGCCCCCTAGTAATTTTATCAAATGGTAACGATGTTGAATTTGTTGAGCAACCTGTTTAACAACTATCAAAGTGTTAAATTCACGTAAAATATGTGTAAAATATGTAGTATGTTAAATATCCCCTAAAAAATTGTCAGGATTGACAATTCTAAAGTTACCTCCATGCGAAAATATGATATGGAAAAAATTAGTGTGAAGATTATTCTGATCTTATTTACAATTAAATGCTCTATTTGTATTTCTCTTGTCTTTCTTTTAAAATGCACCTTGTATGTACTTGCTATCACACACATATAACGGTCCGAGGAAGCAACATGCTCAATGGAGAAATTTGCCGGTGTTTTAGTTTTTATCAATAGAGGGCGTAGAGTCATTCATTTCCAACCTGCAAAGGGGGAGGCTGTCTCTCTGCAGGAAAGATGATAAATGAGAGTTGCATGGAAGAGAATGTAATTCTATAAAAATTGCAGCTATAAAAACAAGGAAAGACAGAAGAAAATTCAAGACTCCATAATTCAGCTAAGGCTTAACAAAATCTCAGCTATAAAAACAAGGAAAGACAGAAGAAAATTCAAGACTCCATAATTCAGCTAGGGCTTAACAAAAATGGCCAAAAGACACAATAACCGGTCGTCTTGATCCTTTCTTCCGAGAATTTATATTTTTTTCCACTTGAAAAAAGAAAACAGAAATAATGCATTAGTTACATTAACAATCACTTTGAGAAAATAAATATTAATGTACATGATACATCCCCCTCCCTAAAAAAAACATCTTTCGTGCCCATATATTTCATTTCTAAGAAAGATAATGTCATAAATAGCAGCTGCAATAAAAAAACCAGGCTTTCACATGACTGAAATTTAAGTCGTGACTTCATGAACTTGTGGATCGTGTAGTGTGCGCGAGATATTCTCGAGAAACTAATTTTCCACTTAAACTTCAGTCTAATGGACACACTTGCTCATTGTTTTTTTTTCACATTGCTTTCTTACTTTGTGCGAAAAACCTCTAAAATCCAAGGTCTCAAATTAAAAGATTAAACTCGAGTAGTCGGTTCACTTATTTTCCTCAAGTTTACGTATTAGTTGTTATCAATTTTTTTGGTTTTAACTTGTCTTCTATCAGGAATTCCGGCATCCTTTTATTTTAGTTTCTCACTGCCACCGCAAAATATTGCTCAATCTCTCAGTATAATCATTATTAAACTCACTGCTTTGAAATCATAATAGATAAAAATGAATCATCGATAATTGTTGTTTTAACGATAGGCTATTAAATTTGTAGTTTTGTTTTTACAACACTTGCTGTTCTGCTCTTTGAGCATGACAAACTTACTTAGTAATCCAATGAAATGGTTCTTTTTCTCTTTAAGTGTTTATGTGTGTGAAGCTACCAACGATTCTAATTACCCACCACCTTGTCCTCAGTAAGTTCAAAATCCACCAATTATTTTCCATAAACATGATTTAAAGTTGAATTTAAACGGCTGTCTTAAAATGAGATAAATGGTTCTGATAATGGATTTGTCCGGAGGTGGCTACTGCCACCCATGATAAAATTTAATTTTCTTTAAACTTTCAACGGTTCTCAGGAGTATGCAACCTGCAAAAAGTATCGGAGAATTCGTTGGGTAAGAAACTTCGGGCTTTGACTCAAGCATGCTACTTGTTTTTTTTTTTCAAAAACTCAAAATTAGGATTTGGATTGCATTTTGCAAAAAGGAACCATTAGCATTGCACACTGAAAAAAAAACTCCGGCCGTGGGAGCCGCAATTACGGGCTATATAGACTTACCGTCCGTTCCGGGCTCAAAGGCCGAAAATTCCGGCTGCTGGAGGCGTAGCTTCGATTGCTCCGGGTTTAGAGGCCGAAGCTATGGCTTCAGCAGCCGGAATTTTTGGCCTTTGAGCCCGGAACGGAGGGTATGTCTGTATAGCCCGTATTTGCGGCTCCCACGGCCGGAGTTTTTTTTTCAGTGCAATGATGCTAAGATTCTGCAACTTCATCCTTTGCAATAAAATTGCGGAAATCGTGAAAAACTATGAAATTTAGATGGTAAATTTTGTCTTAAATTTACAGATTTTAGCAAGTAAAATAGAAACTATTAATGGATAATCGGATTTTTCCTCAAGGACAAAAGAAGTTGCACAATCTTAGCAACATTGCAATGCTAGTGGTTCCTTTTTGCAAAATGCAATCCACTTTATCGTTTCTATGTGTTTCACGGTATAGGAAGTTCATCACAGGAGTTTTAATACATGTCATGAATTCTCATGGAATTTCATGAAATTTCCATACGACATATTTTTTATTAAGTCCCATTGAAGTTTGCATCTCTGCCTTGGACACCTTGTCTTGAAAACTACCCACGAGTTCTCGCGGAGACAAGGTCATTACTGTCTCCAAATTTATAGTTGTGACGTCACATTCATTTTACGGCAGTTGGGTCACGCTCTTTGTATTTTTCACGAATCTATGCATTTTTGTCCTGTCAGGAAGATATGGTGCTATAGTGATTTGTTGAAATACAACGCTCTGTACCAACTGGATGACGAATTTGAAATACCGTTCTTGCGCAAGAGACTGGTGAACTCCTCGGATGTGGTTTTAGCAGAATATGATGAGTTAGTGAAGAGCAACAGAGGGGAGCCTCCGTCTAAAGATCAGCTACGGGAATTTATCAATACTTACCTTGAGGATCGTGCCGAACTTATTGATTTTCTTCCTGATGAATATAAAAATGTAATATTTTATTTTTTTACTGTAAGAATTAAGAGAAAAATTGAGTGGTTTCAGTTCCAGCCCTCATCGACTCTTATATGGATTGCATTTTGCAAAAAGGAACCAAGAGCATTCCAATGTTGCTAAGATTGTGCGTCTAATATTCATTCAATAGAATTCAATAGAAAATCATGCGAAAAATTAAATTTACAAAGGTAATTTTCGTCTTTAAGTTACAGTTTATTGGGAGTAAAGATAAAATTAATCAAGATAATATGTGTATATTTGCAAGGCAAACAAAGTTGCACAATCTTAGCGACATTGGAATGCTCTTGGTTCCTTTTTGGAAAATGCAATCCATATAGTAGAGGAAGGAAAGGATAGGAGGAAATATTACAATTTGCATAAATGCAGGAAATAATGTAAGGAGGCCTATTTAACACAGATTTAGATGACGGCAGTTTCAATCAAATGCGAGTGCACTTAGAGACGATTGGAGTGATTAACCGGTAAAAGAAGAAGAAGAAGAAGAAGAAGAAGGAAAAGCAAAAAAAATACTCCTTAATGTTAAAAAAATTTTATAGGGTAGGTGTGAGCATTTTATAAATATCGCCCCTGTTTGTTTGCCTAGGATGTTTTTTGTTTGTTTGTTTGTTTGTTAGGACCGGCCAAGGTATACATTTTTGAATAACAAACCTGTTAGCGCCCTTTCCCTACCTCATGGTTTTATGTAAAATGACTAGATCTGCCGTTTCTATTTCCGATCGCTCTGATGCTTTGTCTCCGAAAATGTAAATTTTGAGGCTCCATCTTGAAAACAATTCAGGGTCAAATTAATATTAGCATTGTTCTTGTATGACTTATTTTCTTTTTAATTCCTACAAATTGCTTTTCCGGGAGAGCAAATGGGGATTTTCTAAGTGTAAAGTAAATATGAACGCGTGTAGAGGAAATAAGGCTAACAAGGAATCACTCACAGCGATGACTTGAAAAATCAGTAATAATCTGTTTTTAGTTTCATCCTATAGCGATTCTGACCAGTTTTTTGGCGAATAGGTTTCAATTATGAGTAAGAAAAATGTGTAGCACAGATGTATAATTTTTTACAATTTTATTTTTCAGGCATGCTAATGCATTTCAGGACTCAGTCCCGTCACCAGAGCATTACCTAAGATACATTGCTAAGTTGCTCTGATGATGGGACTGAGTCCTGAAATGCATTAGCACGCCTGAAAAATAAAATTCTAAAAAATTATGCATCTTTGGCACACGTTTTTCTTACTCGTTATTATGATTACATACAACATGCGGCTCAACAACTTTTCTGCAGGTTTCAATTAGTCTCTGAAGCTCATGAAGTTGTCTTACTTTTTATCATCGTAAAAAAATGCGATATTTCCTTTCTATATCAACTGTTATCAATACACCCATCTCACGTGCTTCAGATGTTTATTTCCTTTTTTTTTTTTGAGGCATGCATATCAATAATCAATAAAATTAAAAAAAAGTCAGACCTACCATCAAAACATCAACATTTTTATTTTATAAAAAGACAGTTTCCTCACATTTCTAGAACACTGCTCTGATGCAACGTGTTACATCCTCCGATTACCGACACTTTTTGGCGGATTTGCAACAAATTTGGAGAACTCTTCTGCGGAAAGTAGCACCAGATGTAACTGAAAATGAGGATCGTTACACTCTTATAAGTATTCCTTATGGCTTTGTTGTTGCGGGAGGACAGTTCAATGAGTTGTATTACTGGGACACGTACTGGATCATCAGAGGCTTGTACCTGAGTGACTTGCCTGAAACTGCGAAAGGTACTCGCTTATTCCAATTTTATCGGATCAAGTCGCAAAATTTAAAATAGATTTCCCTCAAGGTGTTCCGCGCCTCTTTCATATTTTGAAGGTATGCAGGAATATGTGTCTCAAGTTGAAATAAAAGGTACAATGAAATTATAACTGACACGTTTTAATCTTTCCAGGGATCGAGCGTCTGTTGGAGAGAGCATAAGCCAGCATGTCAAACCATCGACGATAGATAATTACCATGGTAGAGATATGGTCATGTTTTGTCTCACATTATCGATGTAGCAAACAAGTTTGAACAAACAAGTCTGAAGATTGCACCGCATAAAGACGTAAAAAATCGTGAAGAAACTTGGCAGCAGTGGCGTGGCGTGAATTGCGATGTATCGATTGTTATGCCATTTAAGCAAATGGCATAGAATCGATTATTTATTAAGGCGTTCGCTGCGAACACTCTGTCTATCGATCCTTTTCCATAGGTTTAAATGGTATAACAATCGATATATCGCAGTTCACGCCATGCCACTGCTTGGCAGGGTGCAGGAGATATGCATGGCAAAATTCGTTTTTCGTCAATCGTTGTCGGTCGTCCAATTTTTCATTCAAGAGGACTGACATGCATCTCTCAATTTTAAAGTTGGTGCTGTGTTTCTATTAAACTCTATTCATTTTAATGTTTTAATTTTCCCTCAGGAATTATCGAGAACTTTCTTTATCTGGTCAGAAAATTTGGATTCATACCGAATGGAACACGTGTTTACTATTTGAACCGATCTCAACCTCCTTTATTGCCCTCAATGATTCAAACTCATCAAACATATACGGGAGATACGGAATTTATCTTCGAAAATTTAGAGGTATATAACTCAATTTTGACGTTTATCAACCCAATGGTTCCTAAAGAGGAATGTTTCACCATGTCCAATGCCTATCATCACAATATATAATTCCGTAAGCCCGATTCTTCGGATCAAAATTCAGCGAGAACCGTTACGCGCGCCGCGCCGGGCCGACCCGGGCGCGTGTGGTACCGGCTCGACCGTGCCGGTCGTAGAGATCGCGTGGCAGGTCCCCTTTTCCCTTGCTTTTTTTGTAAGATCGGTTATCCCGTCGGAAGATACGCGATTTTTCATTATTTCCGAACTTTTTTTTCGGTCGGGCGATGATTCGACTGCTCGAGGCGTTTGTCGTTATGTAAATCGCTGTGAATGATGAATTTACGGCGGAAACGTAGTTCAAAATTTTACGTAAATAACTATAATCACACAACGGGAAGTTCGGAGATCAAATTTTGAACGAGATATAAACAAATCGATGACTGAAGTCGATAATAAAAACGTTAATATATTAGCTCGAAGTTGATTTCCGTAGTTTGCGTTGTGCGAATCGCGTTCTACGTGAAATTCTGGTGAAGAACCATGCATCAGAGTGCTTAAATATGTACCTTGTATAATGGTCCATTCAATCTAAAAAAGCAAACAAACAGAACTTTCCTAACTTTTCTCAGAGAAAAAATTTTTATCGGGAGAAACGAGGCAACGTTGGAGTGCTCACACGGGGTCGAAATACAACATGGGCTTTTAAGCCCCTTCATTCGATGCCGCGATTATCCTAACGCGAGTCAAATAAGTGCGCCAAACAAGGTGCGGTCGGCGTCAAACTCTTATCAGCGCGTGCAAGACTGCAGGAATACCTCATGCATTGCGCCAAACAGTGCGGTCAGCGTCAAGCGCATGTTAGCGCCTACAAGACTGCCTGAATACTTCTCGCATTGCACCAAACGCAATGGGAGTGTTATTTGCGATAACTATTCGACTACGGGTACGGGCACATTGCCGCTAGCTGGTTTGAAGGCGCATCACACTGTGAAGATGACTCGACACTCGACCGCACTCCCTTCCTCCTGGCTTGCGCGACGCTAAAATCGCCGCAATACTAGGTCCACGCATCATTTTTGTTGACGGTCACTGCCCCGGTTTGGTGAAATGAGAGAAGTATTCATGCAGTCTTGTTATACCGCCTTTGGGATCGTTTCGACCCCCTCCTCGGGAGCATGACCGGCGGTCTTGCTCTGACTTTACGTGTGAAACACTTTACTGAAGTTCTCGTATGCTGGGCCACTTTGCTTGGCTCGCGAATCAGCGTAGCCTTTACCGTTCGCCTTTACTCTTTTAGAGCTTTATTCTCTTTATTTCTATTGCAGAGAGTGCACGTGTGCAGTGTGCACTTATGTGGTGACAGTATATATTAGTCCAACGTTAATAGTTGGTAAATTTCTGGCATTAGCCCGTAAGTACTAACTCACGTGTTAATGTCTTTTTCAGACTATAACCGAGGAATTCGAGTGGTGGCGACAAAATAGGCAGGTAAAATTCGTGAAAGACGGTAAAACATACGCAATGTTCCATTATGACGTCAGAGCTGGGGACCCACGACCAGAATCCTACTTGTAAGGAGTCACATATTTACACATATTCTTGCTAAAAACATATTTACGAACAAATTTCAGAATAGGTACCGATAAAAAAAAACACAAAATAAACGATTATTAAAAATTAAAAATTTAATAAAAGTAAGTATAACCTTTTTAAATGAAATAAAATGTTATAAAATAAATTTCAATGCATACTTTTCTGATCAATACATGATTTTATCCCTTTGGATTCTAGAGCTGACTACGACCTCGGAATTCAAATTAAATCAGAGGACGAAAGAAATGCTTTTTACGCAAATATCAAGTCTGCCACAGAAAGCGGTTGGGACTTTTCCTCGCGTTGGTTTGATAAGTACTATGCAAATGCAAATGGTGAGTTGATTTACATTTTATACTCCAATATTCAATTTCAAAGTACTTGGTTGAAAATAATTTTATTTATCAGTGGAAGTGCCGATTTGTTCACTATTCTTAAATATGTGTGAGGACTTCTGGATTGCCGAGTTACAGTTTGCGCAATCTCAGAAGCCTAACAAAGGAAAAAGTTCTGTAATTGTGAGGACAAGCACTAAATTCATTAGTAGGAACGTATTTCTTAAACATCAGGAAGATTCATGTCCAACATTTTCTGTATTTTTTTTGTTTTTTTTTTTGTAAAAACTGTGTAAAAAAGAAGAAGACGAAAAATTTGCTAAGTATTTTTCCCCTTTTCAACAGGTTCTTTATTGGACACCAAGCCGAGTATCCTGATACAGGTGGATCTAAATTCTTTTTTGCAGAAAAATGCTCGACTCATCAGCAAATGGTGGTTTGCCGCTAACGACGCAGAAAAAGGCAAAATATATAAAAAAGTCGCCGACGATCTTTTCCAATCCATTCAAGAGGTGATTTAGCTTCCATTCAATTTATGAAGTTTCGGATTTTTTTTAAATTTTTTTTTCGCACTATTATTCCCACTGTATACTTATGGTCACGGAGCAGAAATATACCACCTGAAGGCCAAGTTTTTTAGTAGTACGCAGATTTCACTATACGTTATAAATCTTCTTAAGATTCAAAGGGGATAAATGCATTACAAGAACGTATTTCAAATGACTCGTGGCCTAAATAATGGAACAATATTTAATAATAACACCAACATATTCCTCCATGCTACAATCAAGCAATAGTATTGTTCAGATTTTATATCTTTACTGCCTTTTTTACAAATAAGTATATACATTTTTAAAAAATTGCCCAGTGCTTTTTAGGTGAGGTTTATCACTTCTGAAGCTAACTCTTCAAACTTGCCACACTTTTTTGTGGCTGCACATATCACTCCTCTTTTAAAGGGCTTGTCAGAATAAATATAAAAAGAAAATAAAACCATAAGCAGCTATTTTGAAAGAACCTTTAAAAAATGAAATTGAAAAAATGAGATGATATTTGAACAGTTAAACTTCCAGAGGTAATCTACATCATCTAATAGCCACTTGGCAATTTTTAAGCACCCCATGACAAAAGTATAGCTACAATATGCGTTATTTCAACAAACTAATTTTAGGTGCTGTACCGTGAAGATGAAGGCGTATGGTTTGACTGGGACCTGGAAAATGAAATACACCGTGAAGGATTCTACGTATCAAATTTTACTCCGCTGTTTACCCTAAGTTATGATACATCAGACAACAAGAATATCGCAAATAAGGTTATCGAATACCTCCAGCGTAATGGAATCTTGGACAGTGAGGATTGTCCAATATATATAGGTGCGTGCTTGTAGATCTAAGACACGGCCTAGATAATAATAAAGGGTTTTCAAGATGGGAACTTTGAAAATAAAATATTTTACAATATACGCGATATTCAGGACTTTTTTGGGTACATTTAATTGTTTGCGATTTTCCTGAGAGGATTTCAAAATGGCCCTCTTCCATTGTTGACGTCAAGAAGGGACGACTTACATTCTCTTTGTGGCTTTCGAAATTGTTATGCATACTTTGTATTCTTGCGCTTCATGAGTGGCCAAAAGAATGGGTACTTCAATCAAAAACTTTCATACTATCAATGTATCGTTCCATCACTCTGTTGAATTGTTAAGCGAACCCTCAGTGCTCTCTCGGCAATTCTTGTAAAAGATAGGAAAAATGAAGAGACGCCTGGATGCAACTATTTGTACTCAATCAATATGCCTAGGCATTGAGTACTAAAAAAGTTAAAGGCGGGGCCAAATATAGCTTAATTACAAATTCCGCAAAGCAACAACGTAGGTATCTCGTGTTAAAGCCTGGTGCGTGTTGCATACTAAAAAACATGAAGGCGTTTCTTTTTACTTGTGATTCTTAAACACTATTCAAGGCAAGGAGCCAGAACTAACAATCCCTGGCGTTATCCCCAATTCCGAACTCATGCAGAATACTTACGTAAAAGAACATCCGCTTCCTCCTACAGTAGAATTTTCGCATCCCCCATATAAAAATTGGAAATAACCGAAAGTCATCTTACCTTTTCAGCAAGGATATATTTTTATTTTTGCTGTATTTTACTCCAAAAAAAATTGAACTTTGCAACTCATGAACTTTGATCTCACCAACCTCTCTTCTACAAAGACTTAATTTTTTCTTTCGTAGCAACCCCGACATCTTTCGTTAATTCTACTCAACAATGGGATTTCCCTAACGCGTGGGCACCTTTACAAGCAATTTTGATTGATGGCTTAGGCAAGACCGGGAGCTCTAGGGCTCGTAAAATTGCTCTTCAACTTGCAAATAATTTCGTGTACACAACTAGAGTTGGCCTCAATAGTACTGGATTCATGTTTGAAAAGGTAAGGTCTAATATTCAATTCAAAACGTCTGTGTGTGGAACACATTACAATTAGAAACTGTACTCAAATAGTTATACCTTATACAAGGCGTCCCAAAAGTCCGGTCCATATTCTCTGAAATTATTCCTTCTTCCTTTTTTGAAACGAAATCTTGGCAAGTCCATGAGCCAATACGAGCAACTTTTGTGACTTCCAAAAATTTTTAGGGTCCGCTGTCGGGGGGCTGCGGATCCAATTTTTTTTTCCAATTGGAAAATCCTGATGGGACTTGGATCAGACTTTTGGGACACCCCGTACGATGAAAAGAATTGGTTTTCACCAGATGCGACCAACCGCAAAATGTTAGACTATATCTAAAGCCTTTCGTAACAAATACAATGTAAAAGATCATGTTGATTCAATCTTAAGTTTATGAATCCTTGTGAATAAACCCAGTGTTTGTAAAAAAAAGAAAAAATCAGTTTGAGATTTTTAACAATAAATATTTGCAATACATCAATTTTAGGCACCGTTGAGCAACTTTCACGCTCTATTCAATTTCAAAATGAAGCTAATTCGTGTCTTGTCATTAGTCAGGGTTGAAAGGGAGGGATATCAATGTCCTCTCTTGAACTTCTCACTTTGAGTGCAGAGAGTAGTAAAGACCAAATTTTGAGGAGATTACAAATTTTGCGTGTTGTACTTAATTAATTATTCTATGTTTTTAGTACGATGCAATTGAAATAGGAACGACGGGAGGAGGAGGGGAGTACGCACCCCAGACCGGTTTCGGATGGACAAACGGCTACGTAATACAGTTACTGGGTAGATACTACGACCTTTTATCTCCAGACGCTGCCAAAACATGTAGTTCCTGATTAATGTTTAAAATATATTTTTAAGAATAAATTAATACTTGCTATCAAAATATTTCCTTGAAGTTTATCCTTGTTCCTACAATTGTTATCAGTGATGAATCCTGTGCTGATTCAAAATTTACAAAGAATTTTTCCGGAGAAGCAAAATGGAAAAGAAAGAAAGGTGAGAGAGAGAGGAAAAGAGGCAGTCGAAACACGGGATGTTTTGAGGTGACGCATGAACCAAAAATCTCTCCCCAACGGGAAGGAAAGCCTATCAGTGTTTCTTCCGGTTGACTAAATGGATTGCATTTTGCAATTTCAAGCTATAAATTCTTGCCCGGTTTAAAAACAACGTATATGCCATTACTTTCCTTGTGCACATAGGTGTTTTTTCAGATGAGCTGTAATTTATAGTTCCAAATTGCAAAATGTAGTCCAAATGTAATAGATAAAATATTCGAGGGAAGATTGAATCGCTTCCTTATCCGGCACCCGTGTGCCGAAGGTGTCAGCTTGTTTTTATAACACATGTTGATCATCATTCAACTCTCATGATTGCTCTCATTTTCAATGTTTAAATTTGATATTTTGATTGGTATCACGAAGATTTTCCAATCAAAAGAAGGAATCAAATTGCCATCCAGTCAATAGCACGATTTGCCCGATCTGTTTCAAATTCTTCCCATTACAGAAAATTGTGGGGGGTGATGGAGTGCGCCGCTATTTCGGTGCTTGTGATTACTCTTTTTATTATCGTTGTAAAATCAGCCATTAAATGAAGTTATTCTCAAGATGAGTTTATAACGATCTGCTGCAAGTTTATTAACTTGCTACCTCTTTTGCTGGAGCATCCGTGGAAACCGTTAACTAGTCGTCAGTCATTTTCTTTCGCGACTCCAATCCGGTAATCTAAAAATCCAGCAAAATGCAGTCCCTCCTCAAAGTCGCGTTGTGTCTTCTTCTTGCTGTAACTCTGGTTAGTATCAAGTCCACCCGTGAAGTTTTTATCCAGTTTAAATATCTAAATAACGGCAAGAATGGAGATGTTGCATGTGTGAGGGATTTGCGATTTGACCATTGATTCTTATGTAAAAGTTTCCGAGAAACACGATGGTGCCACTGGTTTTCTCTGAAATCATCTCCCAAGCTCAAAAAAAAGCTCTCAAAGTGAGTCCAAAATGAAGGGGACATCCCATCCTACCCTGAGAATCCACCTCTACATCAAAACAAATTCTCCATGCAAAGATACGGAGCAAATACATTAGCAGGGTTGCCATGTTTTCAGTTTTGAAGTCCCCAAAAAATTGGCAACCCTGTAAATGTATTTTCTTCCTATCTTTGCATGGAGAGTTTGTTTTGATGTAGAGGTGGACTCTCAGGGTAGGGTAGGATATCCCCTTCATTTTTGCCTCACTTTGAGAGCTTTTTTTGAGCTTGGGAGATGATTTCAGAGAAAACCAGTGGCACCATTGTGTTTCTCGCAAACTTTTACATAAGATTCAATGGTCAAATCGCAAATCCCTCACACATGCAACATCTCCATTGTCCGTGTTCCACTTTACCAAAATTCCAAGTTTTAAGGGTTACTCTTGCCCGAATCCACGTCGTAAATCTCCTCGAAATCGAAAATCGGGTTGAGGGGAGTTTTTTTCTATAAATAGAACTTTTCAGGCTCTAAACTCTGTTAATGACGTGATGTTAGGAAAAAAGGAAATGACATTTCTGGCGCAAATTGTAGATCTTTCCGACGTATATTCGAAAACTTCGGGGTCGAAGTTTGAAATGTACCTAAATTTTGAAATTTGAATCAGCTATTACAGAAAGGGCACAATCGACATTTTTTTCGAAATTGAGTTTTTTGCGGTTTTCGCATTAGTGTATGTAGACACACCCTGTAGTGCAGACAGGGCACTATATTCGCATTTTTTATGTGTTTTTGACAGGGGTTATGTTCCTCACGTAGAGCAGAAAGGGCACTGTTGCAGTAATATAGTGCCGTTTCTGCAGTACATGCCCACTGCAGGGTGCGCGCGCATTGGCAGCGGCAACTCGTCGTTTGTTTTGTTTTGATACGATTGAGACATTGAGAGGTTAGTTTTGCGTTTCAAAACGACAGTGATCACGCTACACGCTTCACTCACGCTGAAAATGAAAGGAGTGAGAATTGAACCTTGAGTGTGGGAAGTGAGAGGAGCCCTTAACAGGTTGGATGAGGAAGTAGGTAGAAGATTACTACGCTATTGAACCTCAAAGGATACATTTTTTTTTTTTTTTTTTTTAATTTCTTGACTTGAAATAAGCCAGAAATATTTTTAAAATTTACATAGCTACGGGCAAACCACATGGTGAAAGTTCAAAATCGCATACCATCAATTGTGACATTGCCAATTTTATTTCGTCTTCTTTTTTTGTTCTTAAGTATTCTCTATTAAAATTTTGTGTAAACTTTCTTCACACCATCAAGATTGTTTTCGGAAAATTTCATGGGAAAATCTCTATTAGTTCTCTTTAAAAAAATAGTATAAAAAGAGAGCAGAAATTTTGAAACGTTGCAATGGAGATGTACAATTTCCAACTTTCGCTATAGACATGCATCATTGCCATACATTTGAGATGAAAAACAAGGGCTAAAATAATTATCTGGCTTCATTCTATCACTCTTTATGGCTCCTTCCCCCATGTATTTCAGAAAGGGCACTAATGCTCTTCCTTCAAGTGTCATTATCTACAACCCAGAAAGAGTATCATGTAAAATTTTTTTATGGAAATTGTCAGTCTACTTGGGGGACAAAAGAAAACATCGAAAATTTTTTTTCCAAAAGCTTATAGTTTACTCAAATCAGTTTTTTGCATTTTCTAAACAGTTAACATTTCTGCAATAGTGCCCTTTCTGCAATATGTGATTCATTTGTGGATGCATTCGTAACACGTTAAAAATGTATTAGGATGAGTTTTAAGGTAATTTTAGTAGAATAAGGACGAATTTATTTTTTTTCTTCTAGACTTTACCAGTAGTTTGGATTTTTTGAGTGATGGGAATCAAGTATTGCTGTTTTTTTAAATTCTTAATTGATATCAAGAAGGATTGAGAGTTTTATTTATGGTTAGTTTTTTATTAAATCCCCCATTTGACACTCGAAAGAATTAAAAATTGATCACAAAAAAAGCCATTCCCTCAGATTTTTCAATTGAATTTCGAGGCTATGTTTACATGATGAACCAATCGATATGCAGTCTCACCTGTTTGATGTATCGAAAATGATCTATACCCTGTTTATCGATCCTTTTCCATGTGGTTAAAAGGCGGATCAATCAATATATCGCAAAGCACGCCACGCCACTCATGTGATTATATGACGTCTTAGATGTGATAATTTTACGCCTATTCTCGTTCAACATAAGCAACTAATCTATCTAACGTTGCGTTTAATACAGGTTTTTGCCCAAACGGCGCCCGCAGCTCTTGACGGAGGTAACACAGAGGGAATAGAAAAAGGTGGAGTAAGTATTAAGGTCTGCGCCAAATGTATCGATGAATGTCAGGCCGTCGGTAACCCATTGGAATACTGTGAAATCCAGCGGTGTGCAAGTTTTTGCCGAGCAACATAAAATTATGGTGAGTTAAAAAATTCGATTCAGTCCTTGAGTAAAATCGTGCGTAGTTTTACCACGCAAAAGAAACGTATCTAAAGGATTCCTTAGTTATTCTCTCATTTAATCCCGCAAGAAACATGGTTATCAAAGATGATTTTTATCTATTACTTAATTTTTAAATCAATATTCACGTAAAAAAAATCTTTTAAAACTTAGATAGGCATAAGGAACATGCAGAGGCTAAGTAATCAGCGTACAAATAGCTTTGATATAATAGAAACACTAAAATTATGGCGCATCAGGAATGACGGGTAGTTCATAAAAAGTAAAGACCCTATGAGCCAGTACAAGCAATGTGTGGTGGATGCAACGCTATAACGCTTTTTTTAAATAATATTTCACCGGGCTAGAGTCACCGGAGCGCCTTCAATTTTTAGTATGCAACAAGAATGCCCATAGAGCACGCATTGTTGCATCAAGGCGTCATTATATACTGATATCATACTTAACTTCTCCTCATCCTCTTTTGCTCATCTGTCCAATTGGCTCTCGTTTTGTTAAAGGTTTCTTATCCGGGCTTATCCTGCAGTGCCTAGACGGCGAGTCAACGTTGATTAACTACCGTTGATTAATCACCGTCGTTGACCCTCTCGACACTCAACTGAAAAATCAGTCATCACCAACTCGATCAAACTAATTGATCATCCTCACCAAGTAATAATTCTGTAAATCAAGTAATCAAGATCTCGCGACTCTCAAAAAGGCTGGCACCAAACTCCGCTTTGATATTTCGATCTACCACGTCTACTTCAACAATGCCATGTTAAAAAGATCGAAACTCAAATAATAAATAAATTTGACCCGAATTTAATGTTTTTTAATTATTCCAACCTTTACACAACGTGGTGCACAGAGACTGTGTCTACAAATGAATACCTTCGATTCTGATGCGAGACGTTGCGAGAGTCAAACAAAAAATTCAAAATGTTCCACATTTTTTTTTAGACATACTTTGGAAACTTTTGAAATATAGTTGACTCTAATCCGATATGATGCATTCGCGCAATCTGCCAGACTTATTATCACAAATTGGAATATTAATGAAAGTCTCGCACATAAGAAATAAGAAAATAAAATAAAAGCCGAGTAATGTATCTTAAAATAAAAACCGTGTTTGAGAAATAAACATAAAGGTTTCTAATACAGTAACAAAAACAATAACATACTGCTGAAAAAAGAGAAAGAGAAAAAATTAAAACATAAAATAAGCCTAAAACAAAAAACCAGTCATTTTGAAATTTACGGATTTATTCGGATGACTAATTTTAAGAAAATCTGAACGAAAATAGGAGAATCATTTTCTTCATCGCAAAGAATTAAAATTAACAGTTCTTCTTTGTTTTATATTGTAATCACGATGCTTTTGACGATTTTGTGGGAGATTGATCGTATCTACTTCCTCCTTTGCGTTTCGGGCGTGTATACGTCTTTTCCTGATATTCCTGTGCCCTCGGAGTCACCCAGCCATGGATACCGGTTCGGGCATTCTCTGCATGTTGATAGATACCTGAAACCCAAACACGAGAGTATTTAGTGGCATAAAACCTCAACATTTTGAAAATAGTGGCAAATGTGCAGGTTGATTTTTTTTGCGCTCCTATCCTCTCCTCCTCTCTCCTTTGGATCAGTTTCTTCATTCGCTGTTCTGTTTCTTTTTCTTCAGAAATGCTCAAGTCCAATCCAAATAATTTTACATATATCGATGATCAAATTAAGTGATATTTCAATCTCGGCAGTGTAAAACTCAGTTTGTCTCCAAAGAGAGATGAACGCGCAATACCACTACTCCACTCCACTCTTTGCTGTTACTAGTTTGCCTTAATTTTGCGGAGAAAAGAATTTCCAAAAATGTTTAACCCTTGTATTTTCCTCCGAATCGTTTTAAGCGCAATTTTGTGAGAATAAATTATGTTTTAGGACTTAAACTTTGAGGAAAAAAGAAGTTGTCATTAGCTCTGAATTTAATTTAGTTTGGAAAATGTTTTTTTTTTTTTCGGCTACAAAAAAGTAATTTTTTTTTATTAAAAAAAGAAAAACCTGGAAAAATATATGCCCCAATACTCCAAGTCGTTTTTCGACAACAAAAAATGGGCTTTAAATTGTGCACATAGCACAATGGAATTATTGTAACAGCACATCATCGCACTTCAAGTCATTGATACATTAATTAATATTTAAAATTTTCATTGCTGTAATGATTCCATATCCACGGCCGTGAAATGCTTTTAAAAAAAAATCACTTCAAGAAAGAAACGGGGGAAACAAAAAGAAGAAAAAATCTAACCTAGTAGTGGAGAAGTTGGCAGAAGGGGGCTTGAATGAAAGAGCACATTTGTTGGGCAAATTGCATGGCGGCGCTGGGAGGGCGTCTTTTTTATCACACTTCCATGGCTCGTACGTGCTTAGATCTTTGGCTGGTTTTGGATCGGTCATCCAGGTGAGCGCTTGCGTTATCGTTACGAACCAAACATCAGGCCTACAAAAGAAAGGAAAAAAAAAATTATTAATTAAGTATTAATATACCGATGTACCGTTACCTTCAAACAGTATGGAGAAAAGTCAGGCAAAGTAATAATTTTTCTCGGCACATTTGAGGGGCTTGGAGGATAAGGCGCATAAGTGTAGTTTTTGAAAAAAAAATTGAGATATCAATGGTTTAAAGTAAAATTAGCCTCAATGGAAAGTCTGTGAAAAATTTGCTCCTGAATTCAAATTTTAAAGCATCAAAAAGTCAGTTGGAACTTTCTTTCCGCCATAAGGATCCATGTAATTCCAAAACTTCTAACACGTATTTCTGGAAATAGTATAAACTGCATTTATGCGCCTTGTCCTCCAAGCCCCTCATTTGTCATTTTATCTCACATTAATCTCGTGGTGAAAAAATGTACTTGTTTCTTTGTCCTCAGAATATCATACTATAGAAACAAGGTTCTGAAGCATCTTCTTATCACTGCGATCGACATCCTAGAATGTTACTTTAACACGAGAGTGTTTATGACTACATCCAAGAGTTGTTGCATATTTTTTGAACATCTTTTCTTTCGGTGAAAAACATTTTGAACGTGAGAATATTCGTCAAATTTCGTCATTAACGTTGGATCTTTTGAAGGAATATAACGACGGTGTAAGTCGGGAATCACATAACTCGGTTTGCGACGTCACAGACTTTCTGTCATACTTCATTTTTCAAACGGAAATAACCACTCAAGGCAATTCTTTAAAACTGCCGTGATTTTTCTTCTCCATGCCGATAGAATTCTTCATAAACTTCAAGGAATGATATCAATTTGTTCTCTTTTAAAAAAATAACATAGAGGCGGAGATTTTCAGACACCGCAAACAAGATATGTGATTGCGGACCTACGGCGTCGATAACTTCAAACCTCTTTTCCCGGCTAAAACTTGAAGTGACTTGAATAAATTCGTCGCATTTATATCATGTTAAAGGCATGAGCTGAATCGTAAAGCTTACTTGGCCTTGGCCCAGTCGATGAACTTGTGGAGACCTCTTTCAAGTTCTTTGATCTGGAACCAGTTCGTGTGGAAAGGCATCATGTACGGCGCTCTGTTCTGCGTGTAGTATCGCTCGAAGTCCTCTTTGAGCCACTCGAATACCTCGTCGGGGTCGTGGTTATGCAACACGCATTGGTCCAAGTAAGGGCAGTGACCACCCTCGTAAGTCTCGACGTAGTGGGCGTTCAGCGGAACTTCCCAAATACCTGTGAAAATGTGTTCGAAATAAAAACGGGAAAGATAATAAACGTTTTAAAATAAGACGAAGGGACAAACTAAAATTCTTCATCATCTAAACGAGAGAATGTAAATACATTTTCAGGTTGCGAAATTTCCATCGGTTAATCACTGTGGATCGAGTCATTAGGTGAGGTCGGACAACATTTGGAAATTTTAAACGCATATTACTCCGTTTCTACAAAACTTTGAGGTTCTAAAAGTGGTTTCATTGGTTTTCTCGTGAAATTTTCTTTCAGAGCCTCCCCTTAAAATTTAAAATGTGACTGATTAAACATCAAAATTTGCAGTTCAAGTCAACCCAACCAGTCATGTCCGACCTTTCTGATTGACTCGATCCACGGTGCAACTCCTTGATTTTATTTTTACAAGGAGTCCGTTGGAAATTTCTAACTGAGAATTTTACAAATTTTTCTTTTAACTTAAGACTGGGAATAGTTTCTTTGATATAGAGTCTGGATTCGTACAAAATTTGACGGAAAAAAGGTAAAAGAGTATTTTTCCTGTCAAATTTTTCAAGAGTCTAGAATCTGCATCCAAGGAGTTTTTTTTTCCAGTGAATGCAAAAATCAGCACAAATTTCTACAGAAATCTGCAAACATTCCAATTTGATTCAAGTTAACTTTGTTCCTTTTTGCAAGCAGGAAATTCGAATTTAACAAGTATGGCAACTTCTAATTTATCGTATTAGAGCCGAAATTAAAATGTTCAATGCATGCTCTACGTGAAATTTTGATGATAAAATGTTAGTCAAGCTACTTGTAACCTTGTACCGTGACCGTGTAGTACCTTGACCTGTTGGCTTACAAGTCAGAATTCTGAATTTCATAAATACTTTTTCCATTTTACCTGGGAATGATTTTGTGGGGCAAGTTCCAGATTTGCATTCATGAGGTATTTTGTGGTCTAGAGTGTATGGCCAGATTGGTATTTTTAGGGGTGGAATACCGATTGAACTGTCGTAGATGTATCCAAAATCTTCAGCAACCTGAAAAATTGTATGATCCACTTGATATACGATCAGACTTTTTAATCGCAGAGGAAAGTTTCTCTAAGTAAAGTCTAAGTAGTTTTCGAATGAAAAGCCTGTAGCAAGTCAGGAGAGACGTTTTTTACCCTTTTTCAATCGCACAGCGCACGTCTGATACATAATAACTAAATAAAAAATCGGCCTTAGTATATTAAAATAATCGTTTTAATTTTATTTGTTCAGGGTAACGTTTGCCTCTCTCAATTATACAACTCGAATATTGTTTGCAAGGTCTCTAAATCGTATTGTCTCTAAATGGAAAATCTGAATGTGGTGTCAGTTCTGACATAATTCATAGCTTCACCTATAGAGCATCATTTCTTCCTCGCAAAATTAGACAGCATTTTAGGTACCATTAGACATTACTGTTTCTGGCTCATTTAAGAATCAACAAAAGTGCATAATTTATAGATGCAGTTAGGTACTTCTGGTGTAAAATGGCGTGGACCCAGCATCGTTTTTCCACCTTGTTACATACAGTTCGGGCCACGTTTCCTAGCATTTTTTTTTCTCGTTAGGTACTTCTATGGGATTCGCCAATAGTTCCCTATTGCAAATTTCGATGCAATTAACGCATGGATATTTCATTAGATAGAAATCTTAAGCGGGTGGAAATTATCAATCCAGTTTAAGTTTCGCGTTTAAACGAGAAATGCATTTATAATCTTCAAGATTAAAGAGAGTAAAGCAATGACGATCTTACTTCGTACTGTGCATTTCGGCCTGGCTTGAGGAATGGACCTCTCATTCCAACAATGTCGCTTCTGGAGATGTTTGCGAAATGACGGAGGATTTCTCGCATGCCAATCATTTCTCCGACCCATTCTTCGTAACCTTTATCTTGAAGCCCTTGTTGAAGTCTGGAAATGTCAAATCGACCGAAATGTCGCATCATGGAAATAATTCACCGTTATGTAATGGTAATACTAGTAACAGAGTGCATCACACGATGTGTATGATGATAGGTTACTTAAATAGCTTGCCTTTGATTCGTTTCAATTTTGCTCCGTGGACACGTTAAAGTCATGAACTCACGATGGCTCTTTTCCTTCTTTAAATGCTCAAAAGTAAAATCAAAATGCCTAGTTTTGCCAAAAGTCAACACAGTCACGCATGTTTTAAAATTTTAACACTACATAATTATCTTTTACAATTTATTTTTATATGCACACATTTCTCATCTTATGGATACTTTTTGAGGGAACTGCAAAAGAGGCACAGAAGCTCATAAGTAATGAAACTAACTTTAGAGGTCAATGATCGATGTTCAAAAAAATATAAGTAATTTCTTTTTTTCGACTTTCAGATTTTGGTAGGAGAAAGTAAACGACTTTTGGAACTCAAAAACATTCTTAACTCAATTATTTCGAGAATGAGGGTTGGTTGATTTCTTTCTGATAAACTCGGTCCAATTGATCGTTCCACTGTGGAATCGTTCTCCATAGATCCATCTGAATTTAAACCAAGGAAAAAACTTATGAATGCAACACCACCGAATCAATTGGACGTATTTATGCTAGAAGTAACTATAAGCATAGAGTTTGCGTGTAACATAGTTCCTTTTAGCATAAATACGCCCAATTTCTTATCTTTAATACAACTGTTGTATTTATTTTAAGAATAACTCACGAGATTGTCTCAGTTCCAATTTCATGTCCCTCGTGCGCTAGCTCTTGAACCATGTTGTAATCACAATATTCGTGAGAAATGAAGAAGGTTCCTTTGATCGGGCATCCGTTGGGGTTCTTCCGGGTGGACAGCACTTTCTGGTAGTATGGGTAGTTATTCTGATTGACAGCACCGTCGAAAGTCAATAGAATCATTTGAGGGGTCTGTAAGAAGAAGTTTGCAGGTCAATTTATATAAATTCACTCATTCATTTTTTATCCGTAAAAGTGAATTTCAGAATCCATCCCTTGTTAAAGTCATTACTTTTCACACCAAGAAAAGCTAGAGCGCCTTGGTTTTTTTTCGATATGCAACATGCACATCCCTCAAGGACGAATATTTGCATCCAGGCGTTTTTTCCATCAGCCTAGATGTGACATAAGGGACTCGCCTTCTTTGACTCGTTTATCATGGGAAATTATCATTTCAACGGCCTTAACCATAAGTATAGTTTGACTATACATTTTGCGCTGCTCAATTTTTTACTTGGTTTTATTTGTTTCGTCAAAAAACTATGTAACATTACGTGGTATTTTGCGAATTTTCCGTGAATTGTAAGGAATGTATGTTTACATAATTTTAAGACGGAATAAGCTGCACGAAAGTCTGTTATTACGTTGGGGAATTGGAGGGTATCAGGAAACGTTGCGAGTGTAATCGGGTCAATCTTGGTTAAAGTTGTCTTGTTTTGACGTAAAGGTATTCTTTAAAAAGGACCCTGAATCGTTAGGCTTCAATTTTTATGGTAAAAATGCAACTTCTGACGGCAAAAGAGACCTCATGACACAAAAGCTCGACTTATGGTTGATTTTTTATCCTAAAGAATAAAAGAGTGTGCTGCTATGAATATTTTGATACAAAAAATGTCTAAAATGTAAAATCGAACCGGAGTTGTGACGATTTAAAGTCTGGAGTTAAGAAACGCCAATTCGAGAAACATATGTTCAAAATTCTAATCTACTGTCCTGAAGTCATGGAATTTACAAGCTAATATATAATGCAACTTCACGTCCATTTCTGGTATAATTAAGTCAACTAAACCTCTCACAACTTTTTCTGGGTATTTCCTGCAAACTCTCTAGTGCTCAATATCTTTGAAGAGATGCTTTTACTTCTTTGAACCAAGGTCATTTGGACAGAATTTTGCAAGAAGGAACTACTATTTCTGAGCCATCCATAAAAGCACTTTAGTGCATAGGGAAACTAGAGACAAAAACCTTGTTCCTAGTATACATGAGCCAGGAATAGTAGCTCCTCACAACAAAATGTAATTCATTTCTCCTGTGCGGCCCCATATTAATGGAATAGAAAGTAATAATTGGGACCAAAAATCATTGTATTCTACTTCAAGATGGTGCTTCTGATAAATTGAGGATTTTTATCTTCAAGCGAAGCCAATACTTGGAAATTACATACGTGAAGCATACCTCAGATGGATTTAAACCGCCGGGAATTCGAGTTCCATCACTCGAGCAGAAACAGTATGGCAGTTGGCAGGAACCTGTGTTGCACTTCACTGCGTTGTCTGTTGGTGTTTCCGTTGATGGTGCAGTTGCTGAAACAATTAAAATTTGCTTCAATAAAAATATCGAAACATCTCTCGATTTTAACCGCGCGAAGTGATGGGTAAAATACGTATGAATGTAACATTAAAATGTTGGAAAAATCAAAAGTTCTTTCCCTGAGAGGGCGGCACACAGTGGATCGAGTCATCAGGTGAGATTGGACAAAATTTGGAATTTTCAAACGCTTATAATTCCGTTTATACAAAACTTTGAGGTTCTAAAAGTGCTTCTTTCGGTTTCCTCGCAAAATTTTCTTCTAGAGGCACCCTTTACGATTTAAAATGTGACGAATCAAACATCAAAATTTGCAGTTTTAGTCGAAAATGTCATGTCCGACCTCTCCGATTGACTAAATCCACTGTGCGGCATGGCGTGCATCAAAGGGTTGGCGGCAAGGAGTGGGAAGGAGTCAGAACGCTCACCCTGTCGTATGAGTTATCATCCGGTGGATTCTATTTTATTTTTCTGCTCTAAAAGTTATTTATCAATCATGATTAGGCCAATAATAGCGTTGAATTCCGAATTTAACTTTTACCTCGCCCGATTTCACTGTTACATTGTTAGTGCGAGGTCTTTAAACATCATTGTCTTTGGGTCCGTAAAATCCTCATGAAATGCCTAAAACTGGTGAAGCGATCAGATAGCATATCGCAGACATATCCTCCATATCAATGGCCAAAGTGCAAAACCACGTATCTTCGATTGCAACGCTGTAGCCTTTTCCTCGATTTTTCCATTCTGCTCACTGCTGGCAGAATATTTTTTGAAAATGTTCAGCTGCAAAGTTGGCTTATTTTTTCGAAAAAATAAAATAGGAGTGACCATTTTGAATCGCCTCAATTAAGATACGTGGTTCCGAACTTTGGCAATTAATATATGTAGGCCTGCATTCTAGTCATGCCTTCACTGGAAAAAAAGCACATTGGATCTAGAGTCCAGACTCTTGAAAACATTTACAAGAAAAAGGACTCTTGATTCAATCAGATTTAAGCTTAAATCAAAAGGAAATCCGATCAAATTAAGAGACTTAGTTCTTGATTTAAGCAAAAATCCGATTGAATCAAGAGTATTTTTTCTTGTCAATGTTTTTAAGAGTCTGGACTATAGATCCAATGTGTTTTTTTCTAGTGTTTGTAATCAATATTATGGCAATGTTGTAACAAAATTGGCCTAATACCGACTGTCTTTTAACCGCGGTAAATGCAGAAAACGCCACCAAATCAACCAAGCTCAAGTGTGCTCCACGAGGCTTGATGATACGGGTGGCATGCCTGAAATTCCGCTGGACAGAGTCCCAAGAAGAAAGAGCGTGTCTCGGAGCTGGACCGTCGCACAGTAGAACGGATCTTTGAGAGAAGTCAGCGGGCTGATTGTTGAAACCGCTAGGCCATTGGCGGATCCCACAATTTGGCAACGCCGGATTTCCTCCATTTAAACCTATGAAAATTTATCGATTTTTCGAGGGGCCGGGTGCTCCGACAAGAATCGATTATTTAGCATAGGTTTAAATGGAGGAATTCGGTGTTGCCAAATTGCTGGATCCGCCTCTGCGCTAGGCTAAGCGCTAGACAGAGAAGAATGATTGCAAATGGAGGGATCCTATTGGTTGAAATCGGTAGCTTTTACACTCCAGGGGAAACATTATGGACAATTTATAGGGTCTCTCCTGGGTTGCCGCTAGTTTCTACATTACGTACGTCCTTTGTACATTGCCATTGCGATTATATCACTAAATTGTCTCTGTTTCTTCTTTGACTACCGCTTTGCTTGTGAGTTTTTATAATCAGCACATTGAAATGGAGATTTGAGAAAAAGAGACTCTGAAGTGAGATTTACTGTTTCGTGACGTCATTCGGTGGTAATTCCCATTTAGACAAGTACTTCAGCAGATTTGACTATTCGTTCCCTCCGGTTTTTTCAATATGTTGAACTCCTGTATATAAAACTCATCGAGTTTTTTAGTCAAATCTAAGAATTTTCTTTATGGGTGCCTCAGCAGTGTGTTTTTTCTACTCTTAAATGTCGGAGTAGTCTAAAGTGTGAGCCTCTTACACAATGAACCTCTCATCGTCTACAGAACCTCTCCTACAAGCATTAATAACTACCTCAAGCCGGCTACTTTCTCAACAGTCCTATCAAGATTTTTGGTCGGTTATCCTGAAATCCACAAGCTGAAGATTTTAAATCGGGAAAATTCAAGAGACATCTCAAGATTTTAGCCTCCGACGACGTTTCTGCCCGCAGAAACGTTAGCTCATTTTCCAACTCAGTCATTTAAGTCTCCAAGAAAACCAATTCAATGCTCTGCTGTGTCCAAAATAGGTCACAATCAATTTACTATTGGTGTCCAATACATTCGATTACAGTTTGTAGACTAAGTTACTGAACGTAGAAATGTTAGTTTACTTTTCTACTCATGCGTTGAAGTTTCCAAGAAAACCTCATCGGTGCTCTGCGTTGGGTCTGAAATAAGTCATGTTTTAATTAGTATTAGTTCCAATAGTAGTAGCAGTTCCAAAGCATCCCTCCGTTATTAGTTTATTTTCTCTGTTCTATAGCTTATAGTCTCGCAACAGAGAATTTACAGGTGTCTGAAATTTGATGAATCACGTGTTTAAGTGGAAACTACTGAGTGAGCGAAACACGAGGAGACCCTTGGTTCGTGAATTGAACAATTATTAGAGAAGATATGACAAAATGATCGAATCTGCAAACATACGTGTGTTTAAATGGTAAATGCCGCCAGATGACGTCACTAGGCGGTGCATTATTTCCCACTTCTAAATCTATATTTTTACACAATTTTCCATATTAGAAAAAAATTATAAAAAATACTGCGAAATCAACTATTTAAGCACTTTCATAGATGGAGCAATAAAACATTTGCATGCAGATTCTCCATTTCAATAATCAGTCCGCTGACTTCTCTCAAAGAGCCGCTCCAGCGGGTAGATTATTGAAATTGATAGACAAAGCTATAGACAAAGAAGACAAAAGGGATTTGGAGGGATCCTATTGGTGGAAGCAGGTGGTTGCAATGGACAAAGGACGTGGGTGATAGACTAACTAACGGTAACCCACGAGAGACCCGATAATTAGTCCATCATTTTCTCCCTTAGTCTATAAGAGCCACCCGTTTCCACATATAGGATCGTTTCGTACTCTCTATGTCTTCTTTGTCTATCGCTTTGTCTATAAATTTCATCGTTAACTTCATCTTCTCTGTCTATAGATTTGTCCATGAATTTCGATGATGAGCCCGCTGTGCGAAGTCGCATAAATTCTGAGCGAGCGGAGCGCAGGACGCATGCGCTTCCTGATGACAGAACACGGTGTCTACGGGAGAAACAAGTCTTTTGAAGTCGGCGACGATGGCGGTGACAACGACGCAACTGCCGCAGTCGCGGTTGCGGTTAGGTAAGCCGTAAGTTACGGCAATTCATTCACATCGTCGCCGAGCCGCGCTCGGCCCTACCCGGCTCTCGGCGCATGCGCGCCAGTCGCGATTCGGCCACGCGCGCGCCGGCGCCACGAAAATCGCCGAGCGTGGGTAATCACGGTCATTGGGTCTACTTTCTTGCCGCCAAAGAAAGTTGCCAAGCTCCGCTCCATGGACCTGATTCCCGATTGGTATACCTTTATTCGGAGTTTTGCCGTCTCTGCGGTGCTCAGCAGTAACGTCGTATGAACATCCGTGAGCATACCCAATTTCTCCCGGTTGAATATTTATTTTTCAGCGCTGGCTTTGAAATTATCAGATTATGATTTTTCGGATTCAATATTGGATTCAGAGAAAATATGTTTTAGAGACCTCGCACCAGGAATGCCGCCGTGCTAAGAAAGAACGCCGTATGAACCTTCACGCGTTGCCAAATTTACATTCATAAAACATGAATTTCCCAGTAAACTTATGGATAATATTCTTCCAATTTTTCTGATGATGTTGTTTGCTATTTCACCTGAAGTTCCTGAAAATCTCAAGGGGAAATATTCACAACTTTCCTGAAAAATGAACATTTTATTGACGGAAATTTGGCAACTCTCGAATGTTCTTACGGCGTTCTTCCTCAGCACGACAGAATGGATTCACATCACCCCAGAACCCCTCTTCCTAAAGAAACGCGGCACAAATTTTCATAAAAATTTAGTCCTCTTGATAGTCTGGGATAGAGAAAATTATTTTGGATCAGACTTTTATCAATATTAGCTTAGTTTCATCTTTACCTTTCCCGAATTTCTATCTTCGAGCTTGTTTTAATTTGTGAAAAGATCGGCCTAGAGGGCAAACCAAGTGTGAGATGACTGCTTCCGGCTTGCATCTCTGCGAGTGAGCAGTGGCAACGCTTGAGAGTTGGCAACTCTAGGATTTGCTCATTTAAATTATGATAAATAATCGATATTGGTCAAATCTAGGTGAGGCTGCGAGATATTTTTACGAGTCGATATTTTACAATTGAGTTAAATAGAGGAAAAAGAGAATTGCCAATTTGCGAGAGTCGCCAATGCGAGTTGTGAGTGACATCAGTCATGGTGGAACTGGTCATTGCTCATTGTTCAGGTTATTGGCTTTCTAATTCTTCCGTATTATTTGGATACAAATTGGAGATTGGTTTTGTGGCTTTTGGGTGGCTGTGTAAATGAACACTAATACCTCATATCCCTATTTATAAATATGTACATAATATAATTCAATGTTACGTTCTACGCAGCTTAGCCAGGCAAATTTGGCAATATAATGCATTAATAAACAAGATGTAATTTTGAAGATAATTGTAATGGGAATATGATGTGAATTTCAAGATAATAGTAATGTAAGAAAGAAATCTCCCATGGATGTAAATAAGCAAACAACCTAACCCCCTTTGTAAAATCCTACCCAGGATGTAAATAAAGTACCCATTCTATCTATCTATCTACCAATTAGTCGGCATATATTTCAATTCAAGAATCAATCGTCTCTCATAATAATCAAATGATTCATTTGGACTAAAATTAAAGAAGTTGAAGAAACCGACTCTTCGATTTGTATTTTCCATTAAATTAATAATTTAGAATTGTATGACTTTAAAGTATAAATGTATGATTACTTACTCGTTGGAAGAGGACCGCACCTAGCTTCACTTTTGAATGTGCAAAGTTTGTTAACATCGTCGAAGTAAAGGCCGGAGGGACACCTGTTTAAGTATGGATAGTTGTCGACGCACTGCAAAAATTGAAAAAAAATAGCTATTAAACAAAACAACATCGCCGAAATTAAATAGGGCCTCTAAAACGATAAGAATTTTAGCCAGAATACGCGGTGATAATTTTAATGGTGTAGGCAAAAGGCTGAATGGTAAGGTATGATAAATTGCAGGGGCGTTTTCCAATAGAGGATAGAAACTGTAAAGAAAACGAAATTGACACCAAAGGGGTATAGAGTGAAGGTTACGCAAACAACTATTTTGCCTTCATTTCTCGAGGTAGGCAAGAAAACATCATTAGTCCAAAAATAGTTTTCTATTTAAGGACTCCTGTCCTCTGATGTCCACGGATCTTCAACGGTAAAAATTATGCTTGGTATAATGTTTTTTTTTTAAATAGATTTGACACTGAGGTCATGTTGCCAAATAAAACTTGGGTCAATGCCAAAAGAGACTGAGATCAGAACAAATCACTCAATAATGTCAGTTTTGATTATGCTCACGAGTACTAACCTCAGAGGATGCACTGAAAAATATTATGATCAGTTTCCATTAACACTGATCTGACACTGATCAAGACTGATATCAGTCACTTGCACAAGTCTTCGTTTTCATAGCACCAATTTACGAGTGTTATTTGGCATTGGCGTTTGTGCGAACTACCGTCAAAAGTAAAAACATCAGAAATGAATTTCAGATTTTGCATTTATTCCCTACGCATATTGCTTCAGCCTACGCTTCCAGGCCTTCCGTAAGGTAGAGCAGTTCTCTTTTTAAAAAGTAAAGTATGACAGAAAGTTCACAACGTCGTGAACCAAGATACGTGGGTTTGGATTTCACCGCCGCACAGTGGGTCGAGTCAGTGGGAGAGGTCGGACAAAATTTATAAACTTTAAAAGCCTATAACTCCGCCCATACAAAATTTTGAGATTCTAAAAGTGGTTTCATTGGTTTCCTCGTGAACTTTTCTCCTGTAACCGCCTTGAAATTTGAAATGTGACTAAATAAACATCAAATTCTGCAGTTTCAGTAAAAAAGTTCATGTCCGACCTCTCTAATTGATCGATCCTCTGCGTCGATATTGGGATTTGTGTTTGAACGCTGGAAAAAAAACATTGGATCTATAGAGTCCAGACTCTTAAAAATATTGACAAGAAAAAATGTTCTTGATTCAATCAGATTTAAGCGTAAATCAAGAACCAATCCTCTTAATTTGAGCGGATTTCCTTTTGATTTAAGCTTAAATCTGATTGAATCAAGAGTCCATTTTCTTGTCAATGTTTTCAAGTGTCTCGACTCTAGATCCAATGTGTTTTTTTTTTTTCCAGTGAATGCATTGAAGGTAAATCAAATCGATTAGAACGATAGAAACAGTTTTATATTTAGTTTTTTTCAATCACCATCTTCGCTTGAGACGGTGTCATTGGACGTAACGGGAGGGAGGGTCATTACTCATAATCAGTCTCATCTCCTACAGCTTCGCTTCTCTCATACTCCCACACGCACACTCACTCACACTCTCGCAGTTGCTTGCGGACGGAGCGATGGAAAAAACAGTGGTGGTGTGTTCGTGTGCGTCTGTCTGCTCACGCGACTTGAAGCGGCATTGGCCGGCAAGGCGCGACAATACATGTAATTACATGAGCCTGCGCTGCGCAGGCGTTGTGCCCAGGTGTGCAAGGTCCCGTTCGATAGCTCCCAGTCATCATCGTTATACGGGACGTATTTATACAAAAAGAACCAACAATACCTACAGGTTCAGTTACACGATCAAATTGAGCCATCAAACTGAAGCTCTGATTGGTGGAAAAAGACCTGAGGTGAAGGTGCGACCAATGAGAGGCCCAATTTGATGGCTCAATTTGATCGTGTAACTGGACCTCAACAATATCATTTGAAGGACTTGGAGGACAAGGTGCATAAGTGCAGTTTTGAAAAAAATTGAGATACACTGGGGAAAAAAGCCACTTGGATCTGGAGTCCAGACTCCTAATAACATTGACAAGAAAAAATACTCTGGATTTAACTCGATTTTTCCTTCAATCGAAGAGCCGAGCCTCTTAATTTAAGCGGATTTCCTTTTGATTCAAGCAAAAAGACCGATTAAATCAAGAGTCTTTTTCTTATCAATGTTTTTGGAAGTCTAGACTCTAGATCCAAGCGAATTTTTTTACAGTGATTCATGAACGCAACTAAAACCAGTTGAAAGTATATTCTGAGGAAAGTTCACAACTAAAATCCAATTGTAAAGCATCAAAAAGTGAGTTCAAACTTCCACTCCGCCAAAAGGCTTCGTGTAGTTTTGAAACTTTAAACACGTATTTATATCGAAATAGCAACAACTGCACTTATGCGCCTTGTCCTTCAAGCCCCACATTAAAATGTACGCCTCTTTAAGAAAACAGCCGACGCACATGCAGCACTTTTATTTGTAAGGATAGTACAGTCACTCAATCATCCATTTCTGATTAGCCCAGGTGTTTTGAGCTTTTTAGTCCTCTCAGTATAAAAATGAAAAATGGCGGACGATGCATGTTGATAGTTCAAAATATCAGAAAATGCAGGCATTACCAGGCTACTAGGCAGACATTGCCGTCAATTTTTTTAAAATTACGTAGTTAGGATATATTTACTCAGCTTTTAGACCAAAGTGTACATTACTATAAAACATAGACTATGATCCAAACACTCAGAACGGAGCGGACGGTCGGGGTTGAGGGGAGTTCGGGAGGGGGTGGAGGGGCGTCTCTAGAAAATTTTCGAAATTTTTAAGCATCTGATACCAGGGTGGCAAAATTTCATGAAAAATAAAATCTTGAAATTTCACGTGAAATATTTCATGAAATTTTAGAATTTATGAAAGATATTGAAAAATACCGGTTCCTTTTCGTGTTTCGCGAAAAGTGAAAATTGTGACTTTCTTCTATTTTTGTGTGTTTGAGTGCGGGTTGCATACTCTGGCTCCTGAAAAATGTGAAATATTTCACAGTCTCGTGAAACGTCATGGAATATTTCACTGAAATTTCCAATCCCTCATTTCTTTCTTACGTTTCATGCCACCCTGTCTGATATGCAGTTTTAGTCAAATTCGTCATGGAATATTGCCAAATATACCAAAGCGTGCTCCCTTCTTTCTTTCTTCTTTTTTCTTATTCAATCGCCCCCCACACACCCCTTGGACCCTGTTATGCACCAGAAAAATCATTTTAACTTCTTTTTTGTTGGCAAGTTTGGTAACACTGAGCGAAGCAATGCCGCTAAAAATGACCGTGAAAGGAACCATATATTCATGTATGTTATTTTATTTAAAGCTCAATATACCCTCACTCTAGCTGACTCTTATACCTTACCTGATAAAATCTCCTGCACGTGGCCGGATCCGCAAAATTGCCATTTCCAGCACCCTCAGGACATATAAATTCTTCTTGCCCTTTATTGTCCTCAAAAAATCGCTTGCTGTTCCTTGAGTCGTTGTTATTATTGTCTTGGCACCTCACTGCAAACACCCATAAAAATATTGTGTCACTCGTAAACGATTTTTACTCGCATGATTTCGGGGTATATTATAAAAACACTTAAAAAGTGAATCAAAGCATTATGCCCTGAAATATTAATCTCATTTTGTAGAAAGTGTAGAATGAATGAAACGAAATATTTACTTAATCTCATGCGGCATAAAACCCAGCGAAGAGGATTTCCTTTGTATAATTCGCAATTCACTATTGCTTTTAGCAAACACACATCAGTAAAACCTCTAATCACATCAGTTAAACCTCTAATCACATCAGTAAAACCTCTACTCACATCACTGATATCAGCAAATAAATTCTATTCATATTGGTACAATTTGTCTTTAATTTCTCTAACAGGACTATTTCTGAACGAGAGGCACCTTTATATAGTATGCAAAATTTAAAAGTGATCACATTCCGAATTTTTTGATACGTAGCTTAGATTCTGAGTTATCGGACATCGCAAACTTTACGTCTGTCCTGGTATCACCTGGATCCTTATACTAATGGTAGTTGGCCGAACTGTTGATGTACGTTGAGAGATTCAAGTCATATCAGTGGAGATGCAAATGATACCAGCAAAATTTGTTTAACTCTTTCTATCGGTCATTTTGTGTAGGTTTGCGCATGCTGTAACGTAAAGAGCAGTCTTTTTCCCTTGAAGATTCCAGAACAGAATTTATCAGATGGACATGGCATGTTGTTTTCAGGTAAATCTACTTGATATGACGATGGAAGTATAATCCATATATTTTTGATAAATATTCCTCTTGTATTTTTGATAAATATACTCTTATTTTGTGAAAATATCCTGATTTAAATTATTTTAATTCGCTTTGAGGTCACTTGAAGATATGCGAGATTCACTATGAGACTGAAAAATTTTCGGTCTGAAAATATATGTACACGGACGAAAAAATCAGACCGCGATCCAAAATTGTCGGTACTACAAGCGCAAACTGCTGTATTCAACACGGTGGTGACGAAAACATATGGCAAATGTATCAAATATTACAAATTAATTCTATTTTGGAACCTCTTAGTGGAATATGCGCATGTATTGCACTGGAAAAAAAAACCACATTGGATCTAGAGTCCTGACTCTTAAAAACAACGACAAGAAAAAGTACTCCTGATTCAATCAGAATCTAGCTTAAATCAAGAACCAAGCCGCTTAATTCAAGCGGATTTCGTTTTGATTTAAGCAAAAATCCGATTGAATCAAGAGTATTTTTCTTGTCGATGTTTTCAAGAGTCTGGACTCTATAGATCCAATGTGTTTTTTTTCCAGTGTAGCGTTTGAGTTTGGGCAATTCTACCGAAAACCACTAGTGAAGACAGGTCAAGAATTCTGATGATATCAGTTGGATCTCTACCCATGTCACTTAAATGTATCAATAAAACGAGGAGAAAGAAATGAGCAAACGGATGTTTACGATACAACACACGATGATCATCACTTGATATTTTTAACCGAACGTCTGCCGGAGACAAGTAAAATAGTCGAGAGCTTGCTGCGACCAAAAAGAACTTCGCGATCGGGAGCAAATCGATCACTCAACTAGGAGATGGCGTAATAGCAGGTGAGGAATTAGGCTTCCTGGTTAAATTGGCACCTATGCATTGTGGTAACACGGAATTCTAAATCCACTCTTATTACGCAAAGAAGTCACTCCTATCGATTTGAAAATGCGCTCGCTCTGCCCTGCCTATTTTTAGCCGAGGTAACGTCCAACTTAAAAATACACGTCCTCAGGATTTTCTGCTCAAGATGACCTCCGTTCACCGTCTGCCGTGTTCATGCCATGCTAAGGAAGAACGCCGTATGAGCCTTCGAGAGTTGCCAAATTTCCCTTATAAAACACGTATTTTTTACAAAATTCATGCATTTTCCCCCTTGAAATTTTCCCCGAGGTGATAATTCCAATTGGCCCCGTTGCCAACTTTTCTTACTCTGCGTTCAAGTCTCTAATAATATGTATTGCCCACTCCAATTCTGCCGTGCTAAGGAAGAACGCTGTATGAACATTCGAGAGTTGCCAAATTTCCTTTGATGAAACATGTATTTTTGACAACATTCCTGCATTTTCCCCCTTGAAATTTTCAGATATTTTAAATTAAATCGTGTACAAAATTGTTCGAAAATTTTGGAAAATATTATTCACAATTTTCCGAGTAATTTCGACTTTTATCGAAGGAAACTTGACAACGTCTGAAGGATCATACGGCGTTCTTCCTTTAGCATGGCAGAACACACACGAACTTAAAAACACAGAACTTAAAAATACATGTCGTCAGTATTTTCTGCTCAAGATGACCTCCGATCACCGTCTGCCGTATTCTGTCATGCTAAGGAAGAACGCCGTATGAACCTTCGAGAGTTGCCAAATTTCCTTTGATAAAACATGTATTTTTTACAACTTTCACTCATATTTTTCCTTGACATTTTCAAATATTTTGAGATTACATTGCGTACAAAATTGTCTGAAAATTTTGGAAAATAATATTCACAATTTTCCTGGTAAATTCGGTCTTATCGGAGGAAATTTGGCAACGTCTGAAGGATCATATGGCGTTCTTCCTTCCGGCAGCAGAACTCTAGTCGCTATGAAAAATCGATTCTAATGTGTCTCGCTAAAATTGGACGTTTACCAGGTGATGAGTTCCATCTAGCCGCGTCGACTACTTTCTTAAATCAGCGTTTAAGTCTCTAATAATTCTTATACCGTCATGTGAAAATAATATTCACAATTTTCCCGGTAAATTCAGTTTAATCGGAGGAAATTTGGCAACGTCTGAAGGCTCATACGGCCTTTTTCCTTAGTGCGGCAGTATTGAGGACCAACTTATTACAATTTGCAGACGCGCCTCTTAACTTAAAACATGGAGCTTTGTCGCTTGAACTTTGAACTTTTGATTTTTTGGAAACTCATTTTCCTCTTCAAATTGGTTATGAAAATATGTCATACCGACGGTGAAACTGCAAGGATGCGCACCTCGGTTGCGGTTTATGATTCAAAATCTCTGCTCCTATATTTTAATTTCTAGAAAGAGACCGCGAACAGAAATCAAAGCTTGAAATCTTCAAAGAATATTTTTCACAAGGAGAAAAAAATCACCGGAGTTTTCAAGAATTTACGTTTGTTACCTTCCAGCGTAGAAAATAAAGTATAAAAGGAAGTCTGCAACGCCGGAAAGCGAGGTACTCATTTCTGCAGTTTCACCATGGATATGGAAAACATACTAAAGATGACGAGTGTAGACACAAGTATAAAATTCCTCCTGATAGAAAGCCTGATAGAAAGCCTGAAAGTTATCACATTACTTTTGAAAGCCTTCAATATTCGGTGCAAGCTAGAAGTGACATCTTTCGTGTAGCAATTTCATATTTAGAGGTGAATGGTTTCATTTCCTATCCATTATCCCGTACAGCAAATAATGTTAAATTCGACCAAGAAATTTTGAAGCCGCACTGGAAAAAAAAGTCGCTTGGATCTAGAGTCCGCAGACTCTTGAAAACAAGGACAAGAAAAAATACTCTTAATTGATTCAATCGGATTTTCGGTTGAATCAAAACGAAATCCGCTTAAATTAAGAGGCTTTGTTCTTGATTTAAGTTAAAATCCGATTGAATCAAGAGTATTTTTTCTTGTCAATGTTTTTAAGAGTGTGGATTCTAGATCCAAGCGACTTTTTTCCAGCGCAGTTCTCTCTTTCACTGTAAGTATAAATCCGTGATAATAAGTTTATTGTTTAAAAGTAATAATCAAGTAATTGTTCATCCTCAAATTGTTTGGGGGAACCTAAAGCATGTACAAAAGATGTCACTGTCAAGGGCAAGAAGCAGCTGATATGTAGCGTTAGTAACGGTAGTGTGGAAGATGCTGCAAGATTTTTTATCACAATTTGGACTTCAGTCCTGCCTCTAAAGCTTGGATCGGAGGAAACGTTACGATTCGAGGAGAAAGTTGGTGAGTTGACAGCTCGGATTCGCTCGCCAATTTGAGGTGGAGATGCGTGCTTTAAGTTGTTCGAACATGATCGTATGCCGAAGTTGCCAAACATAATTTTGAACATTTGGCGCGGATGATGAAAGGGATATCATTGTAATTGCAGAAATAGGGAAAATAACGACGTATCTGCTACATCTTGCGATTGAAAACCCCTCGCGAGCACCGAGGATTTGAATGCTTACTGTGAACAATTACCAAAATTTCGAGGCTGGAGTTAAAAGTTTCAAAAATATTTTTTTTTAGTCTTGTGATATTTTTACGAGACTATGAGGTGGTCTTTACATATTAATAAGAAATTATTCTCATTTAAATCAATATATTTTATAACCAGATATTTGAATATCGACCTCACGTAAAATTTAAGAAAATGACCCATACAATTTTTAAACATCAATAACATTAGATCCTTTACCAGCTTTGATTTTTAGATAGTAAACAATTTTTTAAAATTTTAATTATCCCTGATTCCCATACAAGATTATCAGATTTAGTAGCTTGCCAGCCATAAAAAGAAGTCACATCCAAATAATGCAACAGTATATGTGCATGGACGTAATTTTTATAAATGAGTTTATCCGCGAGAATTTGAATCATCATTAGCAAATCGGTTTTTTGAGTCGGAGACAGTATAAGTATTATTAGAGACTTAAACGCTGATTAAGAAAGTAGTCGACGCGGCCAGACGGAACTCATCACCTGGTAAACGTCCAATTTTAACGAGACACATTAGAATCGATTTTTCATAGCGACTGGAGTTCTGCCGTGCTAAGGAAGAACGCCGTATGATCCTTCAGACGTTGTCAAGTTTCCTTTGATATAATTCGAAGTTACTCGGAAAATTGTGAATAATATTTTCCAAAATTTTCAAACAATTGTGTACGCAATTTAATTAAAAATATTTGAAAATTTCAAGGGGGAAAATGCATGAATGTTTTCAAAAGTACATGTTTTATCAAAGGATATGTGGCAACTCTCGAATGTTCATACGGCGTTCTTCCTTGGCACAGCAGAGTTGGAGTGGGCAATACATATTATTAGAGACTTAAACGCAGAGTAAGAAAAGTTGGCAACGCGGCCAATTGGAATTATCACCTCGTAGACGTCCGATATTGACGAGACACTTTAAGAATGGTTTTATGAGTCAGAGAAAATATAATTACGATTGGAAACTTCAAAGCAGAGTAAGAATATAGTAGAGTGAAAAAGAATAAACTCATTTAAATTTTTCTTAATTTTGGATCACTTTTTGAAAATATTGACGTGAGGGAGTGGTGTGAGATGAACCAAAGATTTTGACTCATTGTGCCAAAATATTTACTCTTTATTTTCCTCGTATGAATTTTTTGCACCATATTAGGAGCGGTAGGAAAGCAGCTTCATATTTTAGTGATTCCTTGAAGTTGCTCGATAATTATGACAAGGGTATAATTCAGTGAGAGGCTCATTTCAAATTATGATCAGTTCTGAATGAAGTTACTGAAGGTGACGTCATAAGTTATGTAATATATTTTCCAATTTTGCTGATGAATTTATTTACGCATTGAAACAGGAAAAATTTCCTGACATAAATATACGAGAGGCAGTCCCTGATCTTTTGACAAAAAAGTGGACAGAATGAATCAGGAAACACAACTCAATCGGGCTCTTTTAAAGTAAAGATCATGCATTTAGCGGATAAGTCTGGCTCAACTTTAGCCGTGAGGAAAGCTGAGTTTGGGGTAGTATTTAAGCCCTTTGAGTAATTGAGGACATGCTTACAGTATCGATACAGCGCCTATTGGCAAATAAAGCGTATTTTCGTCCAAATTTTTGCAGATAAATCCGGATAGTTAAACGGTGTTTAAGCGGGAACTATATTGAACCTTTTATTTTCTCAGCGACGTAAGCACCAACATTCCAAAAATGGGGCTCGAACGCACTATTGCTGCATATACCACGAGACATCTTACAGTCAAACGATGATCAAGAATACCAAATTGTAAGGCATCAACAAAGCTCTTGAATTAACGGTTTCCACCGACCAGTTTCGGTCGAATAATGAATTTTGTTTAGCTTCTCTCGAGTTTTTGTTTAACACACTTACATGGTTTTGAAAATAAACAGTTAATTTTAGCAAACGAGACACCCCATTAGAATAATTTAAAAAAACACACAAGTGGTCATGGCATTCAAAGGCGAGCCAAGGGTGGTTTTTACGAGTACTCCATGCAACCAACACACCTCTCGTGCTCTTCCTTCACCAATTTCGCATGAGTCACTACTGAACATATGTTTGCGGCCTTAAACTATTGCACTCACTACAAACAGATTCCGGTTTGAAGCACGAGTCGTTTAGATAGAATTAGTGATTTTACCATGTGCGATAAATTCAGCATACAACTCAAATTCTCATAACTGATGGAAAAAGTTCACAAGAGCAAGATATTCCCCCGTATTGTTATACTATTCGGTGCAACACTGTTTATCGCATATTGTATTGCACTAGTATTGCATTTGTGGTTTTTTCGTTTTAAAGAAAAATGAAATTCAATGGAGATAAGGGGTGTTGGTGTGTGTACTGCACCCCATTTTCCTATGTTAGATGCTGTCGAAACGTGGTGAAATTGATTAAGCGACGACTCACCTGACGCCGAAAGGAGCGACAGCAGGACGAACTTGAATGCACTCAACATGACGGTATCACTGTTCACTGAGCGGGGGAGCAGGGATTATTTGGAGGAAAAGGGGGTTGAAATCGTGGACATGGAGGTTGGGCGAGGGAAAAACGGAGTCATGAAAGCAAGCCGATTCGGCGGAGCGCGTCGCGGACGCGGGGAGTTTGGACTTTCTATAAAGAGTTCCTGACGACTGGTACCAGTTGAGCAGTGTAGCAGTGTTCTTTCTCATTCTTCAATGGAAACTGGATTCTTGGCCTCTTCCACCTCCATGTGACCATGAGCCGACTGCCGGCAGCCAACTTCGACTCTGACTCGGCTGCCACCATCAGACCACTTTTACTCACACGAGCCGCGCGCGCCATCTCTCCATCGTACAAGCTCCATAAAAAATTTCGCTCCTTCCTCCGACTCATTCAATTTTTGACAGGTCCCGTCGTCGGGGTTGCCACAAAATGAAGGAAATGAAATTCCCTGACATTTCCCTAATTTTCCTGTCACGTTTTGGTGAAATTCCCTGACAATTGATGATATCCCTAGTAGCAGAACACATTTTTGTTTTTCTAAAAAAAAATATTAAAAAACGTATCTGTTATCTACATGGTAGTTTTATACATAAAAAAAGTGTAGGTAACGCTTATATAAAAAAAAAAAATCAAAGTTCAGACCTGACCGTAATGTAAAAAAATGATGAAAGCTAGATAAGGTATTTTTTTATAGATAATTTTTTATTTTTTTATATAACGAATGCATACGAAAGTGTTAAAAGTGAACATTTTTATGTAATTATTATGTTAAAAAAGGTCATCAATTTCGTGAGCTTTTTGTGAAATAGAAGATTTTTTTAATAATTTTGCGAAAAGCTCACGAAAATTATGACTTTTTTATATATTGGTTACATGAAAATGTTCACTTTTAACACTTTCGTATGCATGTGTTACTTTACATATCTTTTCCTTCCATGGTCCTGCTACTAGGGATGTCAGATGGTTGAAAAGGCATAATTTTAGTGCATATAAGTTGGAATTTTCTAGCCAACACGCGTTAAAGATCAGCATAAAGCTGAAAATCTCAATATAGAGGGAAAGAGCTTACATGAGCTTAATTTTCCTCAAAAGAGATACGCTGTTTAGTGCAAAAACAACCATTCAGGAAGACAACTGCAGACGCGTTTCGGCCTAATTGGGCCAATCCTCAGTAGCGCAGTCTCTTGAAATTTCTGCTACCGAGTACACAAGTACTAAGTTTTGGGGTGGATGGAATGGGGTGGATCATACGATAAGAGTAAAGAAATAAACATCATCAGCACATATGTCTCATTTTCCCCATTGTTAGACGAAATTCTAGTGCCGCAATAAGTCACGACGGATATCTTGCAACTTTTGCGCCGACAATGTCTCTTGATGTTACACCCTTAACACCAAGATTCTTTTCATTGTGTTAATTTTTCCATCCCCACATACTTTTTTTTGCCGGAGAAATATTTGCTTTTTCAGTGAGGGCATCTTTTCAAAATGAACGCTTCAATTGTTGCTGGTCATCTTGTTACATCGACCCCTGTTTCTTCGTTCATGATGAGTTGAACAGTTCGGTGTTCCGTTACGAGAAATTTCCTAGCGGCTACATTTTCGCTCTTCACGGCGACTAACTCTGCCGTGCTAGGAAAAACGCCGTATGAGCCTTCAGACGTTGTCATATTTCCGTCATTTAAAAAAGAATTCACTAGGAAAGCTCTGCATATTTTCCCTCCGATTTTACTCACAATTTTTTTCGCAATTTAGTTTAAAATATCTGCAAATATTTATCAAAAATATGCATAACTCTCCGCAAAAATTACATATTTTTTGAGGGGAATTTGGCAACAATCGAATGTTCATAAGGCGTTTTCTTAACAAGACAGCACTGAAGTGGAGATTGCGGTCTTTTGAAGTGGATCCACACTGCCGCTCTATGTAGAAAGCCGTACGAGCCATCAGGTGTTGCCAAGTTCCCTTCGACAAATCATTAATTTTCAGGAATTTTTTTGAATATTTCTTCTCCGATTGTTCAGAGGATTTTGTTTGTAATTTGATCTAAAAAGTCTGGACATTTCGAGGGAAAATATTCTAAACTTTCTTCAAAAATAAATCTTTTCAAAGGAGAAATTTGGCAACATTTGAATTCTTTTATGGTGTTTCTACTTAGCTCGGCAGCACAGCCTCCCACGCCGTGGAATGGCGGCCGGCTTCGATTGAAATCGTGTCGGGATAACACTTGATTCAAGAATGGTGAGGGCGCAATTACTACCGGTAAAGATGATGAGTTGTCATTCTACGAGTGTTTTGGCTTCCTTTCCCTAGCAGATCCGCGTCCGCGGCTAAAGGGAGAAACACAAAGGGAAAGAAACAACGGTTTCCTGTTAAAAAAGAAGAAAAAAGGTGGGAGAATACGTATGCTGCTTGATAGACTTAAGAGTGGAATTTCAAAACCTGGTAAAACATCAGGCGTTGGATTGTTCACGATGTTTCTCAATTAAAACAACCTAAACGCCTGTGTGACATTGACTCTCTATGGGAGGTTTTCTCTGAATTTTGGCCTTGTCAGGCCTTTTGGCTGAATTTTGGCAAAATGCCACAGCGCTTGGCAGATTTTGAATTTCCATTCTTCATAGCCTGTAGTATCCGAGATGGAATTCAGTTTTTGACACAAGTTCTAATAATGTACATCTTCTTGAGAGGTAACAGCTGGTTTGGTGGGTCTCTGTAAGGTAAAGAATGGCCAATGATTGTCCAATTGATCAGATAAGACATGGAAAATAGGGATTTTGATCATATCATTAATTTGCAGTTCTATTTCGAACTTCGAAGATAAAATTTCTCAGTTAGCGTTTGAGCTGTTGGAACAATTTTCATTATTCAAAATCGCTCATATTTCCTCTTTCTGAAGTTTTATCAGTGACCCAGTTTTTGAAAAATATCTTCCCTTTGATGAATTAGATATTAATTTCTACGGAATGCAACGAGTGCGAGATGTGATAGACACGCAACATTGGCGATTTTGCAAGTTTACAACATTGTTTTTCCTCCATTTAAATTCGAAAAATATATCGATAGTCGAGACAAGCTGCCTCGTTAAGAATCGATTGTCTTACATACATTTAATTAGAGTAAAAACAGAGTTTCCAACTTTCAAGAATCGCCTTTGTACGCGTTGTCCTATGCACTTTGTCCTATATCTTTTGTATCCGCTCGTTTAAGTCTCCGAGAATTTCTTCATATGTATATTAGACAGCTGTAAAAGATCCATATCACTGAATCGATCTTTGAAAAAATGTAATTTTCTGTATTTGATCTAAGAAGCATATCGCTTCTTTCTAGGCTATTCAGATCATTTCTGAAAAGTAATTGATTCTCAGGCCGACGGACGATGGTCGCCGGTTGTGACTTTTTCAACTGCCGCCTTAAACTCGGAACGATAACTGTTCGTGCTTGGCCGTCGAGGGGTTGCATATTCAAAAATTTGAAGGCGATTTTAACTCGACAGAACAGGAGAACAAATCCTGCTTTTTCAACTACCGCCTTCAACTTAGAACGATAACTATACGTGCTTGGCCGTCGCGGGGATGCATATTTAAACAATTGAAGGCGATTTTAATGCGGCAGAACGGAAAAAAATCCAGCTCTCCTCTTTATGACAATCATGTGACTTCCTTTTGTAGCTTTATGCTTTCATATTTTGTATGCTTCATAGCTTCCTGTTAATTAAGTTTTTTGACTTTCAAAAAGTTATTATTATTTCCTTATATTACTTATCCAAGAAAAACTCAAAAATTGTCAAACAGGAACATAATTGAAATTGTTGTGCCTATTTTTCTAATTCAAGATTTATGGCGATTAGTAGATCTACATTGTAATGTTTGAATGAGAATACTTTGTATCCAAGCAAAAAAATGTGAAAACACTCTTTTCCCATTTTCTTCAAGATGGTTGACTATTCCACTTGATGCCTCTCTGCAATTTGATGAAAACTTATGATAAATTGTTTTAAACCTTTAATATTTACTACTATTCACATTGCAAAAACTACTATAATTCTTCTGTTTTGTTACATTTTTTAATTTTCAGTGTCCAAAAATGTCTGAAATTTTCAATATTTTCTGCACATAGGTATGATGTACCTAAAAATTATCAGTGTCCAGGCACCGTAAGATTAAGGCGTATTATTAGAAGTCCTTGCATACTTTTCAACCATCTCACTAATGATTTAGTATCATTTTTTCCCTCTTTGTCTTCCTTTTCTTTTCATATTCTTAGTAAGTTTTCTATTTCATAACCTTTTCAATCCTCACCTTTCGTCAATACCTCCTTCAATTATTTTACTACTTCTTTCCAAATTCCAGTTTTCTCTAATCAGTCACTGATATTGAGACATTTTTAAACCCAACAGAATAAAAAATTGAGAAAATGAGGGAAATAAGAGTAACTGTAAGAACTGGAAGGAAGTTGCCACTCCTTTTTTTTTTTTAATCATTTTGATTAATGTTGCAGCTAAAAATGAACCTATGGCATCTGGAGACGCCTACCTCTTATTGTTTTATATTTTGGCCTTGTTCTACCTGTACTTAATTTTTTATTCTGCTGTGCTAATATTTTTGGGATACATAATTTTTGTACCATTGATCGGCACTTTAAAACAAAATCCTGATACTGAACTGCCTTGCACTTTCTTCAACTTCCAAATTGTGAATTTTTAAAGGGCAACTAGCAATGATTTATGTACCTAAATAACTGTTTACCGCTGATAGAAAATGGAGGACAAACCAAGACAAAATGATGTTGTCACATCTAGTGATTTTATTATGAAATATAAATTTTCCATGGATTTATGAGGTTTTTTTAAAGAAAATGTTTAACTTTATCGATATAACAATAAGAGTACAGGAAAAATTATCACTCCTGGACTTCCACAACATGTTTTTTCCTTTCTGGAACGTGAGGAATGGTACCTTTCTTGGAGTGTTTGCGTACATTTGCTTCCCTGGAAAAAAAAAGAATGGATCAGTTAGCTTACAAAAGTTTTGATTTCATTGTTTTGAGTATAGTCATTATAATTTAACTTGTGACTGCAAATCAGTCTCTACCAACAATTTGATAATAAAATCATTTACTTTGTGATTAAAGAAATTCTAAATACGCCTTTCATGCAGCATCTTAAAATAAAATTTGTACAGATCTCGAGTATAATTGAAAAGTTTTTGACAGGAAAACCATTACGATCCCTTGTAAATATCTACTCTTAAAGTTAAACTGTCAAATTTTACTCAAGTTTTGCAAAAATGTATCTTTTTATGATGCTACGTTAGAGACACCCTTGAAGCTTCTATTAAACTCCCTGTACAGCACAAGCGCTTCCTTAAGGGAAGGAATTATTCAGGAAACAGCTAAGAATACATCCGTCGGAGTTCTGCTTGGTAAAATAAAAGATTTTTAACGACCTTTGAAGGATTCCAGAAAGAAGTACTTTCATGGATGTACAAAGAAATTTTCACTGTTATTTCATTCAAACACAGGAATGTGAGGTTGCATGGCATCTATTTTATCTCCCACATTGGCAAAATTAGGAAAGTTTGCTTTGATTGCCAATTTTGTGTTTTCTACTAGACGTTGTGTGTAAAAGTGCTAAAATTTTAACTTATTAGCACTGCTTTTTCGGAGATAGGCCTAAAACAGCTGGTTCTTTGAGGCTAAGGATTTAGCCTAATAGAGATCAAAGCCTGTAGTTTTCAAAAGATCTGACCGTCATAAAACAGAACTTTAATTTAATTAAAAACATAAAATTTAGCTCGTGCCAAATCTTGTTGTTTTATATACAATATACATCAAGTAACATTTCATTATTTCAAAAATATTCATGCAATTGCCAGTTCTTTAAAAAAGATAAATTTCAGAACCCAAACATTCATCAGTTATTGTATCCCAAAATTAATCTTAAGATTTTTCAACTACTTACTTCCTTTTGATCTTCTCTTTAGCTTCGCGCAATTGATTCCTTGCATTGAACATGTACTTGGGTATTTGGCGATGCCTGGCAATTCTTCTAATCTGTGGGTGACCGGCAAATTTGCTTTTGAGCATTTCATTGTAATGCAGAGCGTCTCTTTCTCTTGGTTTCAACTATAATGAGAAAAATCCATAAAAATTAATCAAGATTAAAATGCTACCACACGCTAATGAATATACTAAATTATCGAAACAAGAGAGTCTTCTCTTCATCTATTTTTTCTTTTAAAAGAAAAAAAAATGTCACACTTTTTGACCAGGAAGAAAATTCTGTTCACTGCCAGATTATAATTGGTAACAATGAGGAGCTTTGTGGAACTTTAGCAAACATATTATAGCATATATTGGAGTTACAATGATACTACTGCAATACTGGACATTAGGATCAATCCTTGAACAATAGCTTTTCGTCTTCTGTGCACCAAGAGTTGAGGTCCACTACCAATCACTTTTGTACTAATAAAACAGGACTAGGACCATGACTGGAGACCACTTTTCTGTATGAAGAGCATCACTGCTTGCTGCACACTAATCTTCAGAGTTTTGGACGAAACAGCAGTAAAAAATTACCCAAGCGGAGCACCGCTACTTTGGTGACTCTAGTTTAAACTGAAATAGAAACTGATGAACGCGTCTGACTCGTAAATTTTCTTTTTGTAATTACACATTTTCATTGCTCTACAACTGATTCAATTGTTAAAATTTTTTTGGTTTTTTTAAAAAAAAGGAAAGGCTTAGTATTATTGTACTGACCACTCCAAGTTTTTCTGAGGCCCGGGCTTTCCAAATACGAATATTCATTTCATCAGATGCACTGCAGATGTACTTATTATCCAGAGACCACGAAACAGAGAGCACATGTTGCATCCGTTTTGTATGATACACATCTCTTGAGTGACCCTGGTAGAGAGAATGAAAGTTACATTAAGAATTTTTAACAGCTGAAAGAAATTGAGGCAGAGGAGAGAATTTTTTACACGATATATGCTGAAAAACTTATCGATAAAATCTCAACAAATATTTTTAATGTTGTTCAGAGAAACTCAGGTCAGCTATGCTAACAAGAAAGAGGAAGTTGAAATAAAATGTAACGATTCATGCTGTCAGAAGCCAATTAAAAAAATGTTACTTGATGTGGCCTGATGGTAAAAAAACTGTGGAGTAGAAGTATTAGAGTCTGTGTTTGCTGAAGATGAAGGATAGCCATACCGGTCCAATTGTATTTATTTTATGTGCAAGTGAGTTTCAATCATTTTAGTCATTTTAGCAGCTTGTGCAGTCCGTTTTACATGTTTACCACACCACCGTACAGCGCATTAACTTGGGTGAAATTACATGCAATATAAGTAGGACTTGTTGAAATTTTCCAAATTTAATTTATACCTAGATGGAAAATTGGGGCTTTATAAATAGGTTCATCAAAAAAATTCGCCAACTTCAGTCAACTTGACAGATTTTCTTTTCCCTCTCTCATTTTCCCTGCGTTACTTACCTAATGATTGAATTATTTTCATAGAAACGAGATACAAGTCACTTAACTCGTGCAAAACATTTTGAAACCAATATATTTTAGAATTGCATATCGATGGTGTAAGTTGGCAATCACGTAACTCGGTTTGCGATGTCGCAGACTTCCTGTCATACTTTATTTTTTAAACGGAAAACTATTCAACGGCAATTCTTTAGAACTGCTATGATATTTTTTCTCTGTGAGAAGAAAATTCTGCAAAAACGTCAGGGAATATTGTCAATTTGTTCTCTTTTAAAAAAATAACATAGAGGCGGAGTTTTCAGACACCGCAAACAAAATGTGTGATTCGGACCTACGCCATCGATACACTCTCTTTTTAAAGAAGGCTCTTTAAATATTTTGGAGAGTTAACGCTTTAGATTCTTTTCTTCTTTTTTTTTTACTTTTTTCTTTCTATCTCTCATTGGTGATAAAGAGAATGATTAAAATACATCATTAAACATATATAGATAAAGATAAACTAAAGCCAATAATATTTGATACATACTTTGTGGACAGGAAATATTCTGATACTTCTGTCGTAGCTACCGCTGACAATTTCTTTTCCAGTTGGGGCATAATCAAGGCAGGTAACAGCCCCAACATTGTCTTTATGAATCATTATGGGCGCATTGAATTTTCTTGTATCATAGGAATAGATACTGAAAAATGAAAATAAGAAAATTAAAAGGCGGTTACATGGAAGACAGAGAGTAGTCTTTTCACAAAGACTCTTGTTGATAATTAGAGAATTTCAGGATTGCCGCAGAATTTAGAAAATGAAATTCCCTGACAATTGAAGATGTGACGGATGCTTAAGAAGGCATAATTGAAAATAGTTTTCAGGCAAAATTTGTTGTTTGAAACCTCAAACCCATTTTAGAAAGCAAATGAAGGTGATTTAACAAATTTTCCCTGACATTTTCATCATTTTCGTCATTTTCCCTGACTTTCAAAAATTCCCTGACACTTCCTGGTTTTCCCTGACAGTGGCAACCCTGGAGTTTACCCGTGGAAGGGAGCCTTTAAAAAACATTTGCTTTGAGAAAAATTCACTAGAATTTTTGAAAGAAAGACATGGCATGTCTTAGATTCTAATCCTACATAGGAACATCAGACCATTATGAAACCATGAAGACATGTTTTCAAAGGTGCATAACTGACTGTTCTATATAAGAACACGATTTTCACAATGAACTTGCCAATTTTTTTTTGTTGACGTGGAAAAGTAAAGCTAGGAAGAATTAATAATACTGAAACTTGAACATGGTAAACTCATTTTTGTATTTTGTTTGTTGAGCTCTCAGCTTATTCCGTTGAAGAATATGTAGATACATAGGAACATGAAAAAAATTGAAAAAGTAAGACAAGTTGGAAAGAAACAAGTTTAGATTTTTCTACCCTTAGATATATTCAGCAGAACTAATTATGGTAATGTTCTGAAAATAAAAACTTCTGTCTTTGGAAGAAAAGATTATCATTTATCATCATTCATCATGGTGAGCTCTTTCTCTGATGCTACAACTCATTGTTTCCTGAACAAAGGAATGAATATGTATTGCGCTGTTTCAGAATTTCTGACGAAAATTTTATTTTTTAATGAGAAAACTGCCGCATGAATTTGCCTGAAATTTCCAGGAATTCTTTTCTACATTTGTGAGAAAAGGAACCAAAATTTTTAGAAAAAATTGTGCAGTAGTTTTCCTACAAAGGCTGAATTTTTGGTAAAAATACTGAAATGGCACAGGCCAGATACGTTCCTCTCAGATATTTTTTACGCAGATTATGGTTCTAAGGGTCAAAATGAGAGGACATTGGGTGCAAAAGTTTAGGGAGTAATCAAAGAAAATTGTTTTGAGGTAGACAAATTGAATAATACATACTTGTAGTCTTCATTAGCAACTGAAAGAATATATGCTTCCATTGGGTTCCAGACAACTTGATTTGATCTAAGTTTCATTACCAATTTTCTGACAGGACCCGTCTCGCGCGAGTCATACAGAATTATGCTTCTATCACTGGCACAAGAGGCTGAAAAACGAAAATGTTGCGAATAGATTTTAAAGTTTCTTCAGAGATTCAAAATTTCTAGTGGTTTATTGGGTTGTCAGAGGGTAGATAATTGGTCGATTGACATGACACATATTATTTGGGAAAAGGGAATAATGGAAAAGGTAGTGTGCACATGAATTAACATTAAAATCTTTAATGCTCGAAAATTTAATTCATAAATCTTTTGATTCTTAGCTTCTTTTACAAAAAGAAAATATAAACCGCCTACGTTTAGATGACTGACAGTAAAAAGTCTGAGATGATACTGTTGATGGCCAAAATCAGAGACACATCTACATTATTATATTTCAAATTTTCCGCTCTTATTTATTTTTGGGAAGAATAACAAGCTACTTTTGTACCTAGCTTAAAATCTATACTGAATAATATTCTACTAGCAGTGAAGAATAATCAAAAAAGTTTTCAAGAAATTACATTGACTAGTTTTCCGGAGAAAAAATAAAGTATGGCAGGAAGTCTACAACAATGCAAAAGGGAATAAGTGGTTGCTCACTTTGGCCACTGATAGGTATATAAGTCTACCAGAATTATGTCAACTCATGCTGCTTCTTAGCAAAGCCTCCTAACACACCGCAAAAAAACAGTAAGTTTCAACTACTTGACAACCTCATATACCACCAAAAATATTCAGTCAAGACAAATTTTACCACAAGAGGGGGTATGATACAAAATTAAATAACTACGCTGAGCTACAATAAGACCGCCCACTTAACTTCAAACTCATTTCCAAATTAAAATGATCACGTCACCACATCATTGGATGATGTTATTCTGTACCAATAACAACATGGAGACTATCTACACGGTTCAGATAGAATGGCATCATTTTATAATTCCATACGAAATGGAAAAATCTCCTTCATCCTCATTACTTAAAAATAAGAGGGGGGGGGGATTTCAATTTAAATTTTTTAAAAGCTAAATATTAAAAATAATTAAAATACCTAAAACATGAGTTTCAATTTGGTTGAAAGCAATGTTGTGCAAACTGTCTACATTCCATTCGAAAATTCGGATGGGTTCGTTTCGCGTCTCATCCCACAGTTGACAAACTTCACCACATGTTGCAAATTTATTTTCTGTTCGATGATGGGTAATTCCTAATAACACAGACTGGAAAAAAACCAAGAAAACTTTATGAGTCCAAAGGAAGAGATGTTTTTACATTGAATAGATAAATATTAACATTCATGAGAAAAAAGTTATGTACACAGGGAAAGAGAAAAATGATTTCTAGCAAAAAATAGCAATTACAGGAGAAGAAATAAACTTTGGGCCACCAATGAGAAATCCGGTTTCACTATTAGCCATTAAAATCCTGCATCTTGATTGGTGGATTGATAAAAAAAGTTAAGTCCATGATCCATCCTCAGTCTGTGTCCATATCTGCACACGTACGGTGGCACGTCTAAATTTTCAGCATTTCTAATCTTTTAGGAAATGAATACAGAACAGAAAAAGCAAAGTGAAAGCATACCTTCGATATTATTACATTAGCCGGATGCTTGGAAGTTCCACAATTTTCTACATCCCAGGTTTTTATTGTTTTGTCATCACCTACACTGATGAAGTGTTCTCCAGAAATATCAAAGGTGAGACCTCGAACATAACTTTCATGTGCTTGGAGATGGTGCAAGCATGTTTGCTGGGATAAATCCCATATTCTGACCTGAAAAATGAAATAACGAAAAGCAAATAAATTTTAAGCAGTTGGGACTACATCTTATTGTTTGTTTTACTGGAAATGAAACTTTGGTTTTTTGAGAAAAAACTATCGTGCAGGTTTTCTCAAAGAACTTACATCCATGTGCTGAGGGAGACATCTTACACTTGCAGTTGCATGGATTAAATAATGTTTTAGAATTGCAAAACAAGAGAAATGAGACCGATCATCTCAAGTATGTACCTCCTGCATGATATTGCGCAATGCATCATTTTCAACTGTATTTGTTAACTACAAAAATGCTCTCTTTGTAAATCATTTGTTAGTTTACATAAAAAGAAAAAAAGTTTTAAGCACTAACCTCTCCGTTATAAGCTCCACTGACAATCACAGATAGCCTGGAGGGATGCTTTCCGAGGGCAGACACACCTTCAGTGTGGCCTTTCAAGTTACCAACAAACGGTTTGGCAAACACTCTGTCCAGTTTTGTGGCATTCAGTGCCCGTGTGTATTCTCTGGGTCCTTGGAAAGGGTGAAGGCTTGGATCATAATTTCTTGGTACTAAAAATTTAAAAACATACACTATTAAAACGAGATACTATTATAGACGTAAGTCACAAATATTTGGAAGCCAAAAATACAAAAGCTCAACTTATATTCGGCTACAGCTTCCAATGCTGCTAAATGGTATCTATACTCAGCTTTCTTTTGAAATCAACAGACTCAAACTACTTGACTGACAAGGAATCTGTTTAGATAAAACCATAGCAATATCTAGTCAACACTTTCATGGTTTGAGGGTTTGCATGTTCAAATAAACCTCCGTGGAAAGCTTCTGAAACCGTTATAACCCACTAAAACAGCTGTAGCAGGATATTGACGCCTACTGACATTTAAAGCCCCCTATCGCCACCCTTTCACTGGGCGGCCCCTTCGACTCCTCCCAGGAAGAACCCAATCAAATATCTTTGTCAGCAGCTCTCTTCCGTCATTCTTTAAACATGACCATACTTACCAGACAAGTGGTTCGGTCCTGTCATCAAACACGATGTCATTTTCGACTTCCATGATCTGTGGTATCTAATCTGTCATTGCGGACACGATCTCTCCTAGAGAGCCCTGCCTGGGGAAACTTAATGTTTATTTTGTAAAAATAAATAAATAAATAAAAGTTGCGTACCTTTGAAAATGTCTCGCTTGGTTTCCCTCAGATAATGATCAGGATTTCGTACCAACGTTTTGACTTTCATGATGGCTTCAAAAAGAAATATTCAGATTCCTAACTTGAGGAAACATTAAAAGGAGCAAGAGAAAAAATCAAACCAGTTAAATTGATCTTGAATGTGAATCAGAGAAGGAGGAAGACAAAATAATTCTAATATGGATGTTTTGGACCATGCCACTTGCACAAATGCAGAGACAAATGTAACCTGCAAACAAGTCGGTCATTTTGAGTTCACGAATGACGTTTCCAATGCTCATGCTGGGCATTGGATGTTCTCCCAGTAAAGTGTAAAGTCTCCAAATACGTACTTCACTTCAAATTAATTTTTTTAAATTATAAGGGTTCGAAAAAATGAATGATCATTTAGGTATTCCTTTGTAACCACCACAGTCCTTTTCTTTGATTATTGTCCCAGTTTGATTTTTGTTGCCATCTTGAAGTTTTGTGACGTCAAGCGGGTACCACTTTTGCCAGGCGACTACCGAATCTGTAGCGCGCATTTCAAATCTTCGCCTGCTCTCAACAAGATTAGAACAAGATGAGGACGAGAAGCATTGTTTGATAAGTGAGATGACGATGAGATATAAATTAGATATAAATGATCCGTCACATTCCTTCCTAGAAATGTGCCTGTTCCAGCTGAATTTAGTTTTTTATTTCTGAATGATGAAAGAATCTCAAAGGATCGAAATATGACTAATTACTAGCTCTGTAGCTTGCAAGATAACGCCCTTACCTGAGTTATGAATTTTTCCAGTATCGTTGAAATATAAGTAGAGTACCTAGTAGCGGCACCCAGTGTCCCACCTAGTGTCCCAGTGTCATACCTATCTGATGTACCTAGGTAATTCTCATCCAAATAAGAGAAGAATAAATATTTACCTTCATTAACACCAAGTAGACGAAAGTTCCACTGTGAACTTAGTTGGCCAATAAAAATGCAAACAATGAAGCAATTATTTTTATTTCCTGACTCCAAATGGTAAGAATTATGGTAAGAACTCTAAGGCATAGTAAAAAGTGTATTTATCATTCCTCAATAAATACAAGGTTGACTGTTTGCATGGAAATGATAGTACATTAGTTGGCGGCTTATCTATTATTCTAAACTTTAGATTAAGTTGATGAAGGTAGCAGGTTGTTGTCAGCAAGAGCTGTTGATATGAGTATGTAGTTTAGAATGGTCAATTTTTAATTCTGCCAGAGGAGCATCATTAGTATTTAATACAAAACTCTCAGGGGTCTCTGGATACTATGCCACCTCTTATCAAGAATGTTTATGCTAATTTTGTTGCTATGTGGTGATGGGAGAGATAATTTCAAGATTATTTTGGTAAAAGTCGGACAAATATGAGGATGCCAAGTTTATAAGAAAATCTCACAAACCAAAGTGAACATTGTTTCATGCCTCTGCAATTTTCAGCTTCGGGCTAGGTTCTCGCAAGAAGGTCAGCACAACGCGCTGATCAAACTTTTGTGGAATTTCTTGTTAATTTTAGAATGTGTGCCAAAGTCACAGTAAGTATTCCACAAAAATTGCAAATCTGAAAAATCTAGAAAAATAACAAGTACCTCTCAGCCTCCGCGCAATTCGCACCCCTGCTAATAAATGTTGGAGAATAGAGAACACTTTACCCTCAAAACATTACTCGCACTGATTTTAAACTAATATGTAATTATATGTGTACGATGGTGGATCTGAGCTGTACTTACTTACCAAACTTTGTTGAGCGAAGTTGTTACTTAGGGGAAATTCATTAACTGCTGCCAAGGATTCACAAACTCTGACCTTGATAAATATTTCCGACATACTTGAGATACAGTCAGATGTTAGGAATTCTGGACATTCAGTTATTGTTCACATACAAAAGAAATTGACTAACAAACACAACCGTTTTATATTTACATAACTGCTCAACAGAACATACCGACAGTTGTGATTAATTTCTCGACAGCACTCTGATAGCGGTAGGATAGCTAAAGGATCCCTACCCTGCGGCAAAAATGGAGTTGATTGAAATTTTGATTCACATGGTGCTAATGCTGTCAAGACTCAAGACAAAATTACACTCCACGCACAGTCAAAAAGTATTTTGATAAGTAAGATTATCCATTAAGGAAGTTGCACAAATCACAAATCAAACCGAAGGACACGGACAAACCAAGGAGCCAGCCATAGCCAGCTCAGAAACTCGGCAATTCAGTTTCTCTCACTGCAAAAGGTGGAACCATCCAAAGTACCATCAATGTTAAGTTGAAGGGGTGAATTACTTATTTAAAGAGTGCTAAGTCATTTTGGGACTTTTTCGAAGAGATTTAAAGGAAAAAATTGGAAAATGCTCAACTATAAAATGAACGTAAACAATCCGCCATTGTATCAAAGCTGACGCACAAATGAAACAAGCGCTAAACACAAGGGTAAAAAGTACATACGTAAATTGATTTTGTTTTATAAGGAAAATGGTGAAAAAGTTAGGAAATTCATATTGGAAATTGAAGCTTTAAGATATAAAGAACTTCAGATAATTAATACAGTTTATTTAGAAACGGAGTTAAAGAAGGCAAAGTTAAGGAAACTCAGAAGGAACAGGGTATTTTGTAGGAAAGGGTTGGTAGGTTTAGAATTGAATCGACGTATCGATGTATCGAACAGCGACTATCGGTAGTCTCGAAAAACCCCTGTAAAATACACACTAATACGATAAGCGGTTACATCAGATCTTATGGGAGCGCACTCACACATACAAAAAATCGCTCTTTCAAGCGATTTTTTACAAGAGAACAGAGGAAAATCTCACTAGCGATCGAGATTTTTCGAGATTTTACATTGATTAAACGGCCCAGGGTGAAAGGAAAGTTCTCTCCAGTTGATCACTGGGAGAACAATAAGTGCGAATAAGATTCATACTAGACAGGTAAGTCACATCATATCAGTGCCTTGCGCCTTTGCATATGCCAACCCGCATTGCAATTTTCTGACAAGTGTATCATGAGAATAATCAAATGAGTATTATCGTAAATTATCGTTTAAACGAAAATTGTAGAGAAAATAAACTCAATTCTTACTTCAAACTAGTAAAATCTGCAACTTCGAAAATTATGCTAATAAAAAATCAATAATGTTTAAAATCTGGCGCCATTCATATGCATGGAGAGTGCTCCCTCTGCAGATAACGCCACTTCATCTATTTGTGATTGTGTTCACTATTTTGATTACACCTTCATAGTTTTACAGATTTTATTAGTTTTCAGTGAATTTTGTGTCTTTGAAGTTATCTTAGTGATTCCATTTCTCATTTGTTTTATTTCTAACGATCATTCACCGTCATATGGTTCATTATAAATCGCGAAATCCTACCTGAACGCTGCCTTTGCAGCAGTTGGACTTGGGCAGGTCATTCACCACTGCTTAATTTTTCATCAATGCGTATCAAAACCGATCATCAAATAGCTGTTATGATCTAGGAACTGTCCTGAGTCCATTAATTTTACCGAGCTTCGGCCGAAGTTGTTTTAGTTGTGTCGAGCAGGTCTAAGTAACTTGGAGTATCTCCGCAAGCAAACCATACTGTTCATGGACGTTAGCTTCAGTTTCATCTTTAATCTGCATTCATTGCTGACAATTTATAATTTTTAATCCTTTCACAAAGTACATTCGGTTCTCTCTTCCAACATTTCTTTCCCCTTGATTATGATTCGGCTGTGAAATCTATCAGAACAGAAAGTACAATGGGTCGATCAAGAAGCAAATCACCGAAACGTAAACACAAGAGCAAACACCATAAGCGATCCAAGTCAAGAGAAAGGAGCACTCATTCTATGCATAAGCATAGAGAAAAGTCAAAAGATAGGAGTTCTAAATCCAGGTACGTAGATAGTTTTAAATTTGAATCAGATTTCAAATTTTCCATGGCAACCTGAGTAGATTCTGTCTGCTGATAAATTGAATAATCGTATGCAGATGAATTAAAATGTCCTGATAGTGGCACCACAACCAACTGCATTATGTTCATTCAAGTATTTGCTCAAGTGTGACTGAAGTCAATTTTTGAATCTAAGTGTAAGCACTACTTGCGTGTTAATAATTGACTTGCCCTATAGGTAAGAGCTGAATTATTCTTAATTCGGCGAGTGTTAGTTAGAAGGAAACTAGCACCCCATATTCTGTTCAGGTACCCTCTAATAGTCCTATCTTGAAATGAATGTCACTCCTACAGTATTAAAAGGTTGATCCATAATAGTAACTCGTAATGTGCGCGCGACTGCCAGCGTTACCTATCAGTGGAGATTGCAACAACACAGTCCAACTAGGTGGAGGCATGGCCAAGCTCCGAAAATCGGTGCTCTGCAGCATCTGCCACAGTCTTTGATAAGACCTATCGTCGGCTATCAGACGGCTGCTGACCCTTGCGGTAATGTAGAGGTTACATGATGTGTCAATAGTATTAAGTTAAGGAGCTCGGTCCAATTTCAGGGTGACCGATGGCAGTAGCCAGTTGCCTTGGCCCCTTGAGGGCGCCTCGCCGGTAATCCTGGCCCTTACTTACTTACTTATAATAGACTGTTGATATATTCCCACTATTGCCCACAGATTGTCAAATAGAAAGCAAGCAAGGTCTATACAGACCACTCGAGCAAGGGTCTTACTTTAAAAATTGATTTAAATAATTAAAAAGGTCAATTTATAATGTTTTCAATCATTAATTTCACGTTTCCATTTTGACAGAAAACGGTCCCATTCCGTCTCATCATCGTCTAGCTCGAGTTCAAATGACTCCAAGTCAGGATATAGGAGAAAATCATATCACCACAGGAAAATGGATGAAGTTGAGCGACTGGCTGAGCTGGAAAGACAGAGGTACGAATTATAAGATTTAATCTGCTTTTTAGTTATCTATGACTTTGCTCTCGAAGAAGAAAAGCCCAGTAAATTAGTTCAGAGTATGGACAATTTTTGTAATAAGAGAGATATTTAGTATTGTCTGATAAATACGCTGTATTTTGCTCTCTGTTGATATATGCTACCTTACTACCCAGATGAGAAAGTATGAATTTAGAAGGGACAAAACATTATCTCTACTCTTGATGCAAGCCATCACTTTATTTTATGGATTTTGCCTGTTTAAAAGTTTGTGGTCTCCATTACAAGGAGAGGTACTTAGGACTCCATCAAGCCTATAGAAATCCTCCTCTAAGAGCAGGGAGCAGTGGCTGTTATCTTACACGAATCCTTCACTTTTCTCATTTTTTTATGTTGAGATTACCCTTGCGTGTTATTTTAGTCAGCAATGCAATGTCTGTATCACCTACCTCACACATGCGCAAATCCTGATTCCTTTAAAAGACATTCAGTATCCAGCTGGATAGTTAGTCAATTTTCCCACTCAAAACCTGCATTTTTTCCTTTTTTTAACATTTGCTTTTGTCTTTTTTTTCAGGCGGCAAAGAGAAACTGAGCAAAAATTAATTGAAGAGCAGACTGCGAAAAGAATAGAAATTCTTGTAAATAAACGAGTAGAGGAAGAGCTGGAGAAGCGAAGAGATGAAATTGAAGCTGAAGTTCTGCGACGTGTGGAGGAAGCAAAGAAGATAATGGAGAAAGAGATGATGGAAGAGCTGGAAAGAAGGAGGCTCATCCTTATGGAAGAAGAAAAGAAACGAGAGGTAAGTCTGCCACCATCATCGACATAATATGAAAACTTGGCAGAGTACTCTTTTTCAGTATTTTCGGATTTATTCTTCAAGGAGACTCATTTACTTTTAGATTGATTCAAAGATGATCTTTCAAAAGTAAGATCCTCAGTCTCTTGTTTTGATCTTTTTGTTTCAACATTTCCAGGCAATGATGAAGAGAGCGTAGGGTAGTGAGTCGTTTTTGAGAAGACAAGAAAAAATTTGGAAAAACCACAGTAATTTCAAGGGATGCAGAAAATTCATGTCCTTCCCATGTAACAATGCTTTCTTCCTTTAAAATTTTATAGTGATGACCTGTGCTTTTTGTGTATGAATTGCTGCCATTTCGTGAAAACAACAAAATCCTCACAGCAGCATTGCTTGAAGCACACGGTTGTCACCATGATATCACAGAAAAGACCCAATTTCACCCTAATGCCCACTGGCCTGCCCATTTTTGCACGAGCTTGATATTGTCCTGCCTATAGGCGTTTCTGCACCCCTGATAATTTTTATAAGTCAAGTATCATTCCAAATTTTCTGGCTTTTTCTCAATAAATTCTTGCAAGTTTTCAGTCATCATTTTTAATTGCTTAATTTATCTAGAATATTTTCTCAGAATCCCAGAAAAACGTAGAAGGGACATTTCCTTTGCATATGTGTTGCTAGGATTATCATGCATGGTTGAAAGTTATTAAAAGTGGCTGCCTTAGCATCTTGTTCAAGTGTAATCTCTAAATCCGCAAGATGTTTTATCTTTCTTTCTCATATTTAGGCACCTAAAATTAATACATTCAAAACCGGCTCATGTATTCATCCATCACTTGCTTGATCTTCTTTGTTTTTGACTTCTTTTGACTTTCACAGGCATTGTTTTTTTTTAATTTTTCAGGAGGAAGAAAAACTCAAGAGAGAAGAATTAGAACAGATAATGGCTGAAAATAACAGAAAAATAGAAGAAGCACAGAAGAAACTGGTAAGAACAATTGAAATTTCAAACTTTCTTGTCAAATACAATTTCTACTACTTACATTGAATGGGTCAGTTTACATTGAATGGGTCAGTTTAGGCCAGGGGTGGATTCAGCTATATAGTAGTTTCCCAAAATTTTAAGACTCATCAAAACAGTGAGCAACTTGAGACCCTTGTAAAATCATTGATATGTAATCACAACTTCACAACACGGCTGCACAAGTCTGAAAGTGCGCAAGGTAAAAAAGGGCCTAACAGATATTGAATTTTAGATTAAGATCAGTGTATGTGATGAACTAAAGATGATGTCTGATCAGGAGCATGCTATTCCTACTCTTTGTTTCATACTTAGTGTTGCTAAATTGTGGATTAAACAAATGACATCTGCTCCTCCTCTGCAAAAGTCACTTCCAATGTCACATGTGAAGTCAGTGATAATGGTTGCTTCGAATACAATGAACGCTGTTAAAACAATTAGAGAGAACAGTATTGGACAATTTACACTCCTCGAAAAACTTCAGTATTTGCTCTAGAGTCCAAAATTAGTAACTTCGTTGCTGCAGATCTTTTTACCATTAAGTCTCACAATTGATAAGTACACTATGTTTTTGCCTTTTGATTCTAAATACAGTGCACCATATTTCACCGAAAGTGTATGTACATTGTAATTTTTATTTTTAGGCTGAAGAACGTCTCCTGATGGTAGAGGAGCAAAGGAAAATGGAAGAGGAACGGCAAAAAATGAAGAAAGAACAGGAAAAACGAATCAAGGAAGAGCAGAAGAAAATCTTAGGCAAAAATAATTCAAGACCAAAATTATCTTTCTCGCTGAAACCTGCCTTGTGAATTCTTGTGTTTAAATCGCAAACCTCGTCTCCTCTAAATCTTTTCTCTGCTTTTTTTTCTTTCTTAAGTTTGTTTGTTTGTTGTGTTGAGCTACACACTTTGGACGGCATCATCTCCAACAACTGAGCTAGAAGGAAGTTCATGTTCAGCCCTTAAGCCAAAATTGTTCCAATTTTTTATTCCGTACCTCAGAATGAGCTAAGAACTATGCCCATTTGAAAGGCATTGATATTCTTTGAAGTCCAGAGAAGGATCATATTCAAGAAACAAATTTGACAGTTATACTTGCTTAAGCCATTCAAACAGAGATATGGTTGTTTTGCCATGGAGTGTTAAAGTTGGAATCACACCCTGCTTTTCATGACAGGGGAAAAGTTTTTTAAAAGCACCATTTTCCTCTAGAAAGTTATGCTGTCTAACGCAACTCAAGTTGCGACCGATCAGGAAGGTACATGCAGATGTGTCTTGGGATTTGTTAGTCTCATCATCAGCACAACTAGCAGCCTCCAAATTTTCTACTTTCAAGCTTTAAGTTTTTTTCTTGACAATTTCGATTTTGTAATGAATTTTGGATGCTCACTGAAAGAATTACTGTCACTCTGTTTGAATGTATATTCAAAAAAGTATCCCTTTTGGGTGTAATTAACATGAGTTGGAACAAATAACTCTGATTGTACCTCAGTGGAGTGCAAAGTTCATAATTGTTCCCATCTAAAACAAATACTCTCCCAAGCCTGTTGAATTCAACTATTATTTTAATGTGAGCAATTCGGCCTCTTGTCTTCTCCTATGTTACTTATCATTCCATCGTTGTCCACAGAACGTACCTCTGATAAAGACGCATCCTCTGATTTTCTTTTGAAACTGAAACTGTTAGCTTTTACTTCAGTATGATAATGAATGTGGAGATCAAAGTCAGTAGATATCGAAGAGGATGAGATAGTTGTATTTTCACACAAGGTGAGGCTCATGTAAAGATTAAGGAGGAATGATAGGCATGTTGATATTTATTATTTGAATGTTGATGGAAAGAAAAGTCTCTGATATTTTTTATGCATGTAAGATTAACAGAAAATGTTTATCTCGGAACTAGAAGGGGTTGATCGTTCCTGTCATGATCATCAGTTATTTCTTTACTTCATTTTTTAACCATACACGTTGATCACCTCTAGATTGCATCTGAAAAATGCTCTCTGCTTCCCAAAACTTTTTCCCTCCGTATATAGAAGCATACTTTATTTTAATTCGACTCGACAAAATCTTATTCAATGTTTTTTTCTACAAGTACTTTTTTCTCTTCATTGAATCAGTAGTGTAGTGAAATCGAGCTCTTTTTGCCTTTGTTGTCTTTATTTATAAAATTATTGAGTGAACGGATACTTTCATTAGGAGTTTCCAGTGTCATACACCTGTATCATTGTGACGCTCTTTTTTGTTTGAAATCTGCTTAGAATGATACAGGGGCAGATTTGAATCACCTCGTAACTTTTTTCTTTTATTTTTTATCGAGACAATTATTTTCTTCTGTACCAATGTCCCCTACCTTTATTTCTTTTCATCGTTTTGCAAAAGCAGAGAGATCATGTTCCTGCAGAAGATTTAATAAGAAGCAATATTGATTTTACTCTACAGGAATATTCTGCAGAAAAATTCATGAAAGTCTTGACTTTGAATCATAAATTAATTGGGCTATGGAACATTGACGCTTCTTTCCACTGTTATAGTTTGCTGGAATCCATGTTTAGGTTAATTATTTTACTTTTAGTAATACCTGTTGTAAATACTCTAGGTCTCTGAGAAAATAGTTCATTACCTGTATCTCAGTTTTTGATTTTTACACTTTTTGCATTGTCGGCTACTTTTTAAGCTGCTGCTTTTATAAGCTGCTGTTGCAGTCATGTCAAAGCTGAATTGAAATTTGTCATTATTTAATTTTTAAATCAAGAAAAATTAAAATAAAACAGGTAAAACAAAACATTGTTCACATATTTTCATTTAATTGTTAAGGAAGAACCACTTTCTTGTTGAGTATCAATTGATTGATCATTTGATGGGAGGCTGAATTTAGAATAAATTTTGGTTTTCTCCAAAAATTTGAATATCGATGTAACCCATCCACTTTTCATTGGCTTCTCATGAAAAATTTAGTTGTATAATAGTAGCTAAAGTGAGCACAAGAGGCGCTCCAATCTCTCAAAAATAACATCAAGCATCAATTATTAGTCCTTGGTGAGCATGTTTCTCTTACCCTTCAAATATTTATCAATCTCATTTTTATGTGTTTAAAGGCACAGAAGAGTTTCCAGTTTATACTGATGCTATACTATTCAGGATGTAACCTAAATTCAGCCTTGTATCATTCATTAAACCACCGAAGGGTCAGTATGAACCTCAGTCACCTGCATAGCATTTTTCTCCCCCTTTTTATTACTCCTCTTCTAATAACTCTGCTTTGGCCGTCTATGAATTATATGAACTACATTTTTCCTTAAATAGCGTTTTTAAAGTGCGGCGAGAAATCTTACCTAGGTATTTTCTGTATTTATTTACCACATTTTTGTAAATTTACGGTATGATCTGCCCAACTAAAACTTTCCAAACATCTAATTTCAAACCTTTCTAAATCATTGGAAAAGGATCTAGGTACATATTTTAACTTTTACCACTGATATTTTCTTATTAAATATTTAGTATCCATTTCATGCTGCTTATTATTGCAATTACTTGTTGCTATGCCAAATAGTCGTCTGTAAGGCGATATTAAAAGTTTGATGCAGCCCAAGGAGAAAAATGTTCAATGACCTGTCGAATTCACAGTTTTTGGGGGAAGCATCCAGATTCTGCCTTCTTTCAAGATAGGCATGAATGGAGGATTTGTAGGGTGTCTGAAATTTGATTAATTTCATGTTTAAGTGGACGCTACCATTGAACAGTGACAAAAACTTACTTCAAAGAAGACCTAAGCCATATGATAGCACCTCCTTCAACAAACACCGCACCTGCGAAGTCCAAATTGCAAGACTTCGAATCGGCCATACTTCTTTCTCGCAATCTCATTTAATTTCAAAATCTCCAGTTCCATTCTGCTCTCTATGTATGTCAACATTCCCCCCTTACAATCGACCATATTTTGCTTTCTTGCCCAAAAACCTATGCTACACGCATCCAAATTCAAAATTCCCTCCCTCATAACATCCATCCTTTAAGCTCAGATGATCCAATAGTAGTCACCGAATTTTTAAAACTCTTTAAGCAATTAATTTTAAAAATTTAAGGTTTCCTGGTCCCCGACGTAAATAGCCTAGTTGCTGATTGTCGTAAATTAAAATAACTAACTAACTAAAAATATAAATATATATAAAACTATAAATATAACAAAGGACGTGAACGCACCGTGTAGGTGCGATGGAGGACAGGAGGGTTTCAGCTTCAGCTTCAGCTTCAGCTGGCAACACGGCGACAGCTCCTTTTATTTTTACGAATAAGCTGCTGACTGCATCCACGGCGTAAGAATTGTCTAAAGACTTAAGTTTGTTCCTTTTTTATTTTTCGTAAAACGTGCGGGTCTGGTATCTTAGTTTTGATGAAGTGGAAAATGCCGTAACGCTAGTCGTCGCGGACGGTCCTCTGAAAGCCACTATATTTCGCCTTCAATTGACAGGGTAGGCAAATTTAGCTCCTCAGTAGCCGCGGCAATTTTTACTTGTATTCGAAAATCATCTTAACAGAAACACTGTAAATGTGATGAACACCACAGATGCAATGGAGGGTAACTGCACACAGCCAGGGATGTAGGCGTGAAATGAAAAATATGAAAGATTGAAAATTTTCATGAAATTTCACAAGGTTGTGAAAAATTGCTTATTTTTCAGGGTTTAGAGTATGCAACCCGCACTCAAATACACAAAAGTAAACGACAGACACAATTTTTACATTTCGTGAAACATGAAAAGGAACCGTTATTTTTCAATATTTTTCTGAAATTTCGTGAAAATTCAAAATTTTATTTTTCATAAAATATTACGACCCTGCTTATAGCGGCGAGAAACTGCCTCATGCTTTACGTAAGATAAATTGAGGGGCTTAGAGGACAAGGCGCATAAGTGCAGTTTTTGAAAAAATTGAGTTACTAATGATTTTAAGGGAAACTAGTCTTAAGGCGGATTCTGAAAAAAATTCGCTCCAAAATTCAAAATTTAAGCATCAAAAAGTCTGTTTGAATTTCCTTCTCGCCATAAGGATCCTTATGGCCCCTGGTAAAAATTGGCGATAGGAGTTGCGTTTCAAAATACCATAGGAATTCTTAGGTATAGCCGACTGAAGAGGGCGATAAAAAATCATATAGCTGGCTGTAGAAAGTGGAAAAAATCATACGGCCGGGCTACACGAGGCGATAAAAAATTATACAGCCGGGCTATAGTTCCTATCGCCGGGCTTTACACTTTATCGCCTGGCTGTTGCTTTTTCGCCATCGGCTATAAAAGGCTATAAGAAATTGTGTAGAAATTCGTGTGCTTTGTAAATCCTTAAGTTTGTACAGAATCACCTTAATATTTACAAAACGCACATTATATTTTCCTTTACTACATATTTTTTTTTCATCAATTAACATGAGAATAATTTACACAGAGTGTGCGAACATTTCAAAGTCATGAGTTGATAAACGCTGACTCCGCGAGATTAAATATTAGAGCCTGACAAAAAGCGGAGCGGCGGCGGCGCACTGGCGCCTACAAACCTAATAGGGATACTTCACGCATTGCGCAATGCGTGACGTATCCCTGTTAGGTTTGTAGGCGCCAATGCGCGTTTCGAGCTGGCTGCCTGCCCGCCGCGCCGCGCCGCAGCGTACCATGGCGCTTGAAGCAACTATTTCACAGCAGATGCAGAGGTATTGCACAGTATCATACGAAATTGAAGGCGCTCCAACATATCAGGGATGGCAGGCATCCTTCAAAAGTACGAAGCTTTCCTCGCAATATAAATCAAAATACTACTGCCCAAAAAGAGAGCGGTAGTCCAAAAACTCACTAAGTCCTAGCATCCGTAATTAGTAACGTTTAGCATACACTTTATCGCCAGGCTGTTTCTTAGTCGCCATCGGCTATAAAAGGCTATAAGAAATTGTGTTGCCGGCTACAGAAGCTATTGAAAATCTTACAGCCGGCCGTAGGTCTATGGTATTTTGGAACACAGATTCTACTGCCAATTTTAACCAGGGGATCCATGTAATTTCAAAATCAAAACCTGTATTTCTCGAAATAGGAAAAACCGCACTTATGCGCCTAGTTCTTCAAGCACCGCAATTAGATTTTTGGCTGAATTTACGGTTAGAGAGAGAGAAAGAGGGGGAGAGAGGGAGAGAGAGAGGGAGGGAGAGAGGGAGAGAGACAGGGGGGGGGGGGNNNGGGGGGGGAGAGAGAGGGGGAAGGAATTAGGGAGAAAAACATTGACAAATTTACGTGTGCCTGTGCTCAGTGGCTTTATAAATTGGAAGGGACGACAGACTAAAAGATCAGAAGTGGAAAGAAAAACGCGGCTATACCTTACTTATACGATATTCCTAGGGTCGTAAATACCACAAAAATAAAAATAATATAAGAAAATTGAATTCGCCTTCAATTGATAGGGTAGGCAAATTTAGCTTCTCAGGAGCCGCAATATTTACTTGTATACGCAAATTATTAACAGAACCACTTCGAATGTGATAGAATAAAATAGAAAATTGAAAGAAAGTCCATGTTTAGGCATCGTGTTGGCTTATTTATCGTGGAAATGATCTCGCGTTAAAAATTAATCTGGAGAAGTTACGAGCGTGGGGATCAAGATTACGTACCGCTCGCTTTTAAGTCTGATGAGTTTTTCTGAGGGAATAGCGTACTGCAAATACTTCCGTCCTCGTAACTTGCACACATTAACTTTTGTGATGTTAGTATTCGGAAACTCTCAAAGAGTAAAATTAAACGTTTCAAGGAATGTTAAGAGGTCAAAACGGATAACTCAGCTGTGAACGACTTTGAAAAAATGAAGGTAAAACCCTGAATACTCGTCCATCTAACTTTCCTTTTTTCCCCTTGAATTAGTGAATGTTCATGGTTTTCATATGACAAGACGAATAGATAGATTATTTTTGACCATTTCCATAATGCATAATGGAGTGAAATAATATTATGCCTCATAGCGTGATCCTAAATGACTTGACCATTTTTATGGAAAGGGGTAGGGGGCTGTGTTCGCCGAGACATAATTTTTAGGACCAATTTTTTAAGGCTGGGTCGAGGATTTGACTCTCCACTCATAAAACGGAAACATCGTTACCTCAAAGAGTAAGTTTTGGGCTATATAATATACTTTCGTTCACATAAGGGGGCGTAAAGTGTGAACGTTTTCAGCCGCGAATATAGCAGATTGAAACTCGAAACATACAGATTTTTCTATAAACTACGATTTTTGAGCTGAAAATTTCAACCGTGTCAAATTACCTTTGACATTTTCAACAGGGTTTCCCCCTCCTCAAAATAATTACAAAACATCTCTCAAAATAGTATAAAAAAATTTAAAATTTGCATTTCCCGGTGTCAACATCTCTGCTCCTGCAAAAGGGGAACACAATTAATGTTTCAAGCCATTTATAAATTTCAAGCTCAATCTTCAAACAATTCCTTAAGCACCTTCCCTTAATGGCATCAACCGACTTGCTCACCATTCGAGTGAGGTGTCGGAAAGCCGACGCGCCTTAATTTTTTTGGTTATGCAACATAGACATCATTAGAGTAGTAGTAGTTGTATCCCAACGGATACCTAAGCATGAATGACAGTCACTGGCTAAAATTTGGATCAGTCGGGATGGTAATTAAAACAATTCATGAATAAATTAATTAAATTAAATTTTAAAAAAATAAAAAAAACAAAAAAAAAAAACAAAAAAAAACCAGTTTCTTATTTTCCAGGATATGCCGGCGGTATGGACAACCGCCACTCTGAAGGCGCTCCCAGCTAAAATGGTCGCGAAAAAGAACAAAGGACGAAATCAGGGGTCTTTTCGCTCCCAAGTGAAAGCCTTGGAATTTTTCGAATTTATACTCGGACACTATTTGTCGTTGTCGGAGCCTGGTAGTAAGAGGTTGGGTGGAAAACGGAAGTACCAAACAAGCATACTGTCTGGCATCCTAATCGTAATACCTGCTTTGGGCGTACTTGGCTCGCCTATTACCTCCCTCGATCAAAGCATCATCTATATGGTTGTCATCATGCTTCATTATTTGACGCTGAAAATATGCATCGGCTCTCAAGAGAGACTTCACAAACTCATCGATCAAATCGAGCTATTTGACAAGTAGATACGTCATTCCAATTCAGGAGCTCGGAGGACAAGGCGCATAAGTGCAGTTCTTGAAACAAGTTAGTTATTAATGATTTCAAGTAAAACTAGTCCTGATGCATATCCTGTGAAAAATTCGCTCTCAATTTCAAATTTTGAAGCATCGAAAAGTCAGTTTGAACTTTCTATCCGCCTTAAGAATCCGTGTAATTTCGAAAATTCAAACACGAATTTCTCGAAACAGCAAAAACTGCACTTATGCGTCTTGTCCTCCAAGCCCCTCAATTCAACTTTACCGCGCTAGATTACTTACCGTCTAACGTTATAAAACTAAAAAAAACCTCGACCAATGTGGTCGTAATGGAGGGGATATCCCATGCTATCTTGAAAGTCCACCTCTATATCTATTCCGATTCTTCATGCAAGTATGGGCAGCAAATATACCAGCCAGGTTGCCGTGTTTTCAATTTTTGGAGTATCCAAACAAGGTGAAAACCATGTTTACGGATTTGCGCCCTTCCTTCGCTGCAACTTTGAGAGTTTGACTTGATATGACTGCATTTTGCAAAAAGGAACTAAGAGCATTCCAATGCCGCTAAGATTGTGCAACTTAGTTACCTTGCAAATATTAACAGATAGGTAATCTAAACTAGTTTTGTCTTTTTTTCCAAGAGACTATACTTAAAGTCAAGAAAAAAATGTCAAGTGTAATTTTAATTTGTTGCATGATTTCCAGGGTCGGACTGAGGGGGTGGCTAATTATGCAATTTTTTTAAATGTAGGTATTAAAACAAATCGGATTCAGAAAAACAATTACAAACGAGAAAAAGCGACATATATTCTCTCATTTCCTGAGAGTATAGTAATTTCTAATTTTGTCGTCTTTCGGTGATACAAGAGACAGCACCTTTAACTAGTCGAGTTAAGAGGCAAACCAAACACGCAATTCGGCCTGGAGCGGCGCGGCACAGAGAGCATTGATAACGAGGACTTGAGATGAAAAGGAGGAACCCTCGGCAAAGCGGTCGATATGTAACACATATCAGCGCCTACAAGACCGCATGAATACTTCACGCATTGCGTCAAACATAGTGCGTTCAGCAGCGGTCGGCGTGAAACGCATAGCGCCTACAAGACTGTGAGAATACTTCACTCATTGCGCCAAACGCGGTGCGGTCAGGTGGTGAGAGTTAAGATTATTAAACCACATTTATCATTTATGTTTGTTCTTTCATAATTTTTTCGTTCATTTCTTGGGAATGGAAGGCCTTGTCCACACAGAGATAGGTTTACGGAACTTAACTTTCGCGCATAAAGTTCCATGAACTTTTGCTAGGAGTGTTGCCCTAGGGCTTTTTGCAAAAAATGTGTCCAACACGGTTAAACGAGGATTATGCACCCCTCTTCTCCCTCTGGCACGTTCACTTGATGGGTTTTATTGATGTTTTAAAACGAAGGAGAAAGGGGCGGCAAAATACAGGCGGCCAATGGGCGGCAAGTAGATGATGATTTTAGAATTTTTATTACAAAGAATTTGGGTTGCACAATCCTAGCAACACTGGAATGCTCTTGGCACCTTTTTACAAACTGCAATCCATATACAGCTCTTAGGATTTGTTTTCAGTTTTAGAGTTTTGTTTCAGAGAAGCCAGCGGCACAATTACATATATGTTTTTCGCGAAATATTACTTAGGAATCAGTACTTAAATTGCAAATTCCTGACACATGCAAGAGCTTCATTATAATAAAAAGGTCAGACCTTTAACATACTGTGACAAACAGAATGAGGACTATAATTGTACCAAAAATACATCGATCGTTTCATCACTTTCATCTTTTTTAATATATGAAACGGTGCATTAATCTGTCATAGATCGTTTGCCGATACCTATGCATTTGAATACCCACACGGGAGGAATGTTTGGTGGGGCTGCTTGTGGGTCCTACTTTTATTAACATTCCCTATTCCATTCATGCTTTTCTTCCACGATGAGATTTTCAGCCATTTTGAGGGTGAGCCCTATTCCTGGATCGTGGAGATTCTCAGCATGACTTTTCACGGATCCACCGTCCTCCAGAGGTATACGCATGCCATTTCTTAACTTGTCAATTTCCTGCGAGTAAACCCAAAGTTTTCTGTAGCATATACATCTTATCATGCTGGTTATGCATATTGGACACTGAGTAGTTCACCATGGGGTTCACTGGGTAGTTCATCATGGTAATTATTCATGACAAAATTGACCCGAACTACATAATGGGTGCAATGGCGAGGCCTGAATAATCAATTTTTGATATTTCCCAATTCGAAGCTATGGTAAGGAATCGATTATTAAGGTGATCGTTGCTAACACCTTGCATATCGAATATTTCCCATTTGTTTTATATCGCAGAGCATAGAATGGATTATATGGATTGCATTTTGCAAAAAGGAACCACTAGCATTGCAATGTTGCTAAGATTGTGCAACTTCTTTTGTCTTGAAGGTAAAACCCGATTATCCATTAATAGTTTCTATTATACTCGCTAAAAACTGTAAATTTAAGACCAAAATTACCATCTAAATTTCATAGTTGTTCATGATTTCTGTAATTTTATTGCAAAGGATGAAGTTGCACAAAATCATTGTAATGCTAGTGGTTCCTTTTTGCAAAATGCAATCCATTTACAAGTTTGAAAATTTTCTTGTGCACTTGTTCCACACTTGCGCGGAAATGTGCAAATCCCGGATTTTTGTGCGGAAATGTCAAAATCCCGGATTTTGTGTGGACAACGCATATCGCCGTCTATTTTGCACGTGTTTCCAGGTCGTTGATATTCGTGCACTTCATAAGCGTCGGCCGAGGGATGAAGTTCCGGTTCAGTCTGATCAAGGAGCTTCTGGAGTCGGAGTTGAACAAGTCTGAGCCGGGGTCGAGCGCGGCGAACCTGGAGTGGATCCGGACGCACCACGCTCGCCTCTCGGTGCTCGTGGACTCGATGAACGAGTCCTGCTGCAAGCGGCTCATCTTCCCCGTCCTCAGCATCGCCGTCGAGTTCCTCTACATCTTCTTCCGCTACGTCTTCCGCGACGACTTCCACATCAACCCCTTCATGCTCGCCAACCTCCTCACCAACCTCCTGGCCCTCAAGGTCGTCGCCTCCGTCTCCGAGGTCATAGCGCTCGAGGTATGTCATATGAAAGATACGTAGAAAATAAAGTAATTGAAGAACTCAAGATCATTCTTAACTCAATTTTTTCGAAAATTTGGGTTGGTTCCTTTCTGATAAACTCGGTCCATATATCGTCGTTTCATTGTCGTAAGGGCGTGTCTCAATTCCTGCATGAGCCTCAAAAAGCATGGATATACATATAAAACAGGGCTCACGTGAAAATGAGGTACGCACTTACGTAAGAGGAGCGATGACATGGATTGCATTTTTTAAATGGGCACTCCAATTTTGCTAAGATTGTGCAACTTACCCTCTCGTTAAAAAATTACTGAAATCATGCGAAACATTAAATTTTCAAAGGTAATTGTCGTATTGAATTCATAGTTTATGGGGAGTAAAGAGATAAACATCTTCAGATGTTCAATTTATATTTTCAAGGTAAAAAAAGTTTCATAATTTTAGGGACGTCGGATTCGCTGAAAAAAAGGGAAGTTGATTGAAATTCTGGATGTAAAAAAAATGCGCGAGAACTTATAAAATGCTAAATTATCCGCCATAGCAGTTATTTTTACATATTGGCATTGCTAAAGTAACTGCTGTAGCGGGTGATTCAGCATTTTGTGAGTTCTCGTGCACTTTTTTTACATCCAGAATGTTCAGAATCAACATCTCTCTTTTCCGGCGAATCCAACGTCGCTAAAATTATGCAATTTTTATTACCTTGGAAATATAAACTGAACATCTGAAGATGTTTTATCTTTACGGTTTCAAGACATTCCGTCAACGATTTTTTGTCCGCTTACCTTTTTTGTCCAGTAGTTTACGTCCACGCGTAAAACAAGAGTTGTGTTGAAAGAAACTGTACAAAAATTAATTAAAAAAAAGGGTAAAAAACCAAAAAACACGCAATCATTAGTTTTAACCCGTACGTACATTGATCTTTTAGAATCAAACACGTCTAATTTTGAGCGTTTGGTCGCGCGTACACCACGCTGCAGCACAGTAAATGCACAAAATATAAAAGAAAAAATTAAAGTGCTTTGGGAATCATTAAATTTGACACGGAACCACCTTAATATTTACAAAACACATCTTATATTTTCCTTTAATACATATTTTTTTCATAAATTTAAATGAGGAAAATCCATGCAGAGTGTGCAAAAATTTCAAAATCATGAGCTGAAAAACACCGACTCCGCAATTTTAAATATTACAGCCAAACACAGAGCGGAGCGGCACGCGGCGCGGCGTGCTACCGGCGCGGCGCGGCGCGAGACGCGCACTAACACCTACAAACCTAAGGGGATACTTCACGCATTGCGCAATGCTTGAAGTATCCCCTTAGGTTTGTAGGCGTCGATGCGCGTTGGGAGTTGGCCAGCCGCGCCGCGCCGCAGCGTGCCACGGGGACTCAAGCAACTATTTCACAACAGGGGTGTGACACGGTATCAAACGAAATCGAAGGCGCTCCATCATTTTAAAAATGATAGGTGTCCTTTGAGAGTACGAAACTTTCTTCGCAAAATAAATCAAGGTACTACGGCACGAGAGGGACGATATGGATTGCATTTTGCAAAAAGGAACCAAGAGATCTCCAATTTTGCTAAGATTGTGCAACTTACCCTCTTGTTAAAAAATTACTGAAATCATGTAAAACATTGTTTCAAAGGTAACTGTCGTATTGAGTTCATAGTTTATGGGGAGTAAAAATGGTTGAAGGACATTTCGACAACAATTTTTTGTCCGTACACCTGGTTCTTCTAGTAGTTCATGTCCACGCGTTTTTTCGGCAGGGGAGTTCGTGCCGTAGTACCTTGATTTATTTTGCGAAGAAAGTTTCGTACTCTCAAAGGACACACCTATCATTTTTAAAATGATGGAGCGCCTTCGATTTCGTTTGATACCGTGCCACACCCCTGTTGTGAAATAGTTGCTTGAGTCCCCGTGGCACGCTGCGGCGCGGCGCGGCTGGCCAACTCCCAACGCGCATCGACGCCTACAAACCTAAGGGGATACTTCAAGCATTGCGCAATGCGTGAAGTATCCCCTTAGGTTTGTAGGTGTTAGTGCGCGTCTCGCGCCGCGCCGCGCCGGTAGCACGCCGCGCCGCGTGCCGCTCCGCTCTGTGTTTGGCTGTAATATTTAAAATTGCGGAGTCGGTGTTTTTCAGCTCATGATTTTGAAATTTTTGCACACTCTGCATGGATTTTCCTCATTTAAATTTATGAAAAAAATATGTATTAAAGGAAAATATGAGATGTGTTTTGTAAATATTAAGGTGGTTCCGTGTCAAATTTAATGATTCCCAAAGCACTTTCATTTTTTCTTTTATATTTTGTGCATTTACTGTGCTGCAGCGTGGTGTACGCGCGACCAAACGCTCAAAATTAGATGAATTTGATTCTAAAAGATCGATGTACGCACGGGTTCAAATTGCGTGCTTTTTGGTTTTTTCTCCTTTTTTTATTCATTTTTGTATAGTTTCTTTCAACACAACTCTTATTTTACGCGTGGACGTACTGGACAAAACAGGTGCGCGGACAAAAAATCGTTGACGGAATGTCTTGAAACCGTAAAGATAAAACATCTTCGGGTGTTCAGTTTATATTTTCAAGGCAAAAAAAATTGCATAAGTTTAGCGACGTTGGATTCGCCGGAGAAAAGGGAAGTTGATTTACCATTCTGGATGTAAAAAAAGTGTGCGAGAACTTAAAAAATGCTGAATCATCCGCTACAGTGGTTACTTTAGCAATGCCAAGATGTAAAAATAACTGCTATGGCGGGTAATTTAGCATTTTATAAGTTCTCGCACACTTTTTTTACATCCAGAATGGTAAATCGACTTCACTTTTTTTTCCCCGCGGTAGCAGTTATTTTTACATATTGGCATTGCTAAAGTAACTGATGCAGCGGGTGATTCAGCATTTCATAAGTTCTCGCACACTTTTTTTACATCCAGAATGTTAAATGGATTGCATTTTGCAAAAAGGAACCAGAAGCAGTCTCGCTCCTCTGACTTCAGTGCGTATCTCATTTTCACAAGAGCCCTGTTTTACATGTAAATTCACGCTTTTTGGGACTCATGCAGGAATTGAGATACGCCCTTACGACAGTGAAACGGCGATATGTGGACCGAGTTTATCAGGAAGGAACCAACCCACATTTTCGAAAAAATTGAGTTAAGAATGATCTTGAGTTCCACAAGTAGTTTATTTTCTCCTGTCAAAATCTGAAAGTCGAAGAAAAGAAACTAGTTTGTGAAAAGTAAGGTTCAAGTTTATTTTCTGCATTGAGCCTTGAAACTTCCAACCACTTTTTCTCTGTTTCAACTTCATGTAGGTTGGTTCCTCTCTGATGAATCCTGCCCCACCGCACGATGGAGCGAGATAGTGGGAGAGATATAGGACTTGAAATTGTTTATTAAAATCACAAATTTTGATGTTTATTCAGGGATTTTTTTTTTTTTTTAATGTATTAGAGAACCGATGGCATCACTTAGGAACTCTTACTACCCACACTCAGACTTTAATTATATTTCCTAATCATTTCAAAATAATTCAAAGAATTCTGATTTCAGAGTCGCATGCCTCTTTATGTTGTGCGTGCCGTCCTCATCAGCAAACTACCTTTTTTGTGTCAAGCTCAGGTAAGGAATTGCAAAAATTTGAAGTTCTATTCTCATTCTTACACTGAAGTATTATACCTTCCTGTTTATGGTGCTGTAATTACCTGTATCAACTGACATTACAACATCAATAATAGTTCGACCGGCCATGTTTTAATGATACTGTATGAAATAGTAATTTAATGCAAAGTTACTTTCTTACTTCTCTATAGTTACTGTTACACTCGGTCAGCCATGAACTGTTCTACGAGAACGAGGAACTTTCTGAAGCATGACTGCGCAATTTCCCCCCTTAACATTATCTGAAAATTTCGGGAATTATTTATTAGGGATTTCACTTTTACCATCTCATGAACTTCCATGTTACATTCTAGTCATTAGAAAGTAAACAATTTTTCATGGGCTGCTACTTCGAAACATATTTTGACGGTGTAAGTTGGCAATCACATATCTCGTTTGCGGTGTCTGAAAATTTCCGTCTCTATATGTTATATTTTAAAGGAGAAAAAATTGACATAATTCCTTGAAATTTCTGTAGAATTCTCTTCGCACAGAGAAGAAAAATTTCAGCAGTTTTAAAGAATTGCTGTTGAGCAGTTTTCCGTTTAAAAAATAAAGTATAACGGGAAGTCTGCAACGTCACAAACCGAGTCACCTATGTGATTGCCAATTTTTATCGTCGATATCTCATGTACCTAAGCAGTTTGCTCTTTTTTTGAAATGTAACGACGTTTAATTAGGTTCATCGAACTAGTTACATTATGATAGAATGTAACACAGCTTGTTACTGCACATGCATGCATTTTTTAAGATTAATAAGACAAGATTCTTATTTTTTCAGATAATGATGTTCCAAGACCAAATTTTGGCGAATCCGGTTCAAATTTCAGCGGGAGGATTTTTTAATCTGGACAACAAACTCTTAACTGAGGCAAGCATTGTTTATACTCCCTGATAATTAGATATAGTGTTGCCAATCATGTATCAAGTATGGTCCCTGGGAATAATATTGGTAATAATTGATTCTTGCCTGCTCTAAAAGTTAGGGGAGGGGCTGTGAAAACAGAGACATTCATATGCCTATGCATATGCCTATATATGCATGTTCAATGGAGTAAGTCTATTTGATTGCCTGAAAATACATTCACGGTCTTGTGGGGCCGCTCATAAAATACGAAACGCTTTGAGAGGGAGGAGATCAAGGAGAGCTTTACACAATGGAGAATTTACAAAATTTTATTGCTTCATCTGAGAGTGCCTGATGAGCCGAGTTCGCAGTATTATTCATGATTTTTTTTCGATATGGGAAAATCGGAGGAAAATAGATCTAAAAGTGAGAAAATTTGCCGCCTTATGAAGTCATCTGGCGGCATTTTCCATTTAAACACATATATTTTATCAGATTAGGTTATTTTGTCATTAATTCTCTAATAATTGTCCAATTTAGAGACCAAGGATATCCTCGTACTCAGTTTTCCTGGCAGTATCATATTAAAGATGAAATTCACAAAATTTAAGACACCTGCAAATTCTCTATTATGTTCTTACGTGTTGCGTAAAAGATAGGAGTACTAAGTCAAAAAAACGTCCTAAAGGGGGGGGGGCGAGATGAAAAAATTCGAAATTCAGTGTTACGTTTTCAATAAATGGCGGCCCCCATCCAACCGTGGGAAGTACTATAAATACAAAAAATTCAAAACTGGACACATTGACATTCGCGTTTTTTTACGGCCAGATTCAATATATATTTACCATTAGTCTATGTACTTGATATTTTACGCAGTGGTACTCTTTGGTGAAAATAACCAGAATTATAGTAGTATGCACCAGAACTTTGGTGATTTTTACCATTATATGGTAAATGCTAACGTAGAGTCTGATGTTTATTACCATATTTGTAACACTGTATCAGAGTATGGTAAAATCTACCACATTTTTTTCAGTGTTAGTGATATTCAAATGTGTGTAGTTTGAGCAAGTATTTCTCATCGTCATTGGATTTTTATCTCCCCAGCTTGTTCTTCTGATAGTCACATATTGCACTGTGATCCTGCAACTGGTGCCCAACGACGAAGATGACGAGGACGAACCACCCAAGACAGAATTGAGCAACGCGACGAGTAGTGAAGTCAACAATACCAAATGAAGTGGCAAGTCTGAAACCCCGCTGAAGGAGTTAACCTTATGACAGCGCAGCGGTCATTTCCTTGTGATGACCGATTGAAAAAACAATTCAAACGATTTGCCATTTTCAATAACGTGAGCTCAATTTTTTTTTTTTTTTTTTTAAATCAAAGTAATTATTTGGTGGTTACGAAGAATGTTGCACAAGACGAAATGTGTCTTGAGGTGGAAACTCAAATTTTTTAGCACAGCAAAAAACCTGATTTAGGGTTAAAAGTACCAGACTTCAACTATCGATGCTAAATTCTCCCTTATACACTCAAGATCATTGGTTCGAGTTCCAACTTACAATTTGCATTTTTAATGACGTTACAGAAGTAACTTACGTAGTTTTTTGCTCAGACGTATAACTTTAAGGTTACGATTGTTTAAGATGAATTACCCCTAAGATCGGAACAGCTTAGGCAAACCTTAACAATGATCTCCTCGAATTTTGCGTTTTTTATCCTCTAACTTAGATTGCTGCGGTCAAAAGGTCCATTTTTGAAGATTTTGGAAGTTTTTTGCATCAAACGATGCAGAATATCCCTTCTAACCTGGGATGTACCTATCTAATTGCGATTTACCGTAAGGTACATTTTACCCTGCTGCATTAAAACTTATAATTTAAAAAAAAAAAACGGTCACACAATTTGGTTATATAACCGCACAATAACAATTTTTTTTTGTACAAGATAATTGTTAATACATGGTATCACAAGTTCACAGCCTCTTTAAAATAATCATGATTTCGCAAAGTTTTTATGTTTGATCTTATCAAAAACGTTTCATCTTTGATCGTATAAATATTGTTTCGACAGAATGTTTGAAACACTGCCGAACAAAATAAAACAGGCTAAATATAACACATAAAATGAAAGTAATAAGGTCCAAGCAGAAGTACTGAAAATAATTGATATCAGCGGTTGATGGTCGCAAATGTTCTGCACCTCCATACTTGGCGACGTGCTCTACGTAAAAGACTGCCTTTGAGATAGACTGTGACGTGAATTCTCTCGATATTGCGGACATCCGAATCGCATTTTTTGAGAAACTGAAACAATTAATAAAGAGCTAAATTTATTTCCAACTCATTCTTCTCGTCATTCAAGGGAAAATCATACGTGTACATTCGCAGACTTTTCTTGCTTAAACTTTCCTGTCACATCATAATAAAATTTGTACATCGCGACTTTGCAAATTATTAAAGTGAAGCACCACTCTGTACAACTGTTTGGAAGGTAGAAATGAGTTTTCTAACGTGTACTGCTCTGGCATTGTCATGAAAAGGACATGTTACAGCAGTAAGATCGCGCGAAATCGTTCGCGGCGCTTTGAGCAACTATTTCGACACCAAAGTGTTGCACAGTATCAGATGAAATTGAAGGCGTTCAAACGTATCTAAATCAACCGACCATTTTACCGACATAAAAAAAACACCGTCAAAGTCGACTGCACCTGGTGGCACCTCTAAAGGTAGAAGAGGTATAATCGGAGAATATTCATTCTCTTTCTGATAACTCTCGAGACACTGGTTGTCCTTTTTGGCCATTTGATAATTATGTTAAACTGCAACTGATTATTTTGATCATCAGGGCCATCAGGATGAGTGACGAGTGCTCTTACCAGACTTATTGAAGTCTTAATAATTGTTAATACCTAAATATTTTATATTATAGAAATAACATTCTTTTCCGGATGTTTTTTTATGCTTACCTAGATTTGCAGAATAGATAATTGGAACGGATGAAAAATTCTCTTTCACTGAAGGAGAAACAACAAAAGTTAAATGGGCGAATCAGATGATAAGTCTTACCTATCGTCATGAAGAATCCTGTTAACAATTGATTTTATTATTTTATAGGAGTATAGATTTTGTGGCTTAAGCAACACTCCAATGCCCAATGTTTCCATCCTCAATACGTTAGCCTCCTGATCAGCGAACCACGGTATACCTATGGTAGGTACACCGTAATGCACTGCTTCTTGAAAACTTTGATGTCCTCCTTGCATCATAAACACCTTGACTTCTGGATGTGCTAAAAAATCCAGAAATTTTCGTTTGTCAATTTTTTTTTTATTATTTATGTAAATTGTGATGGAAAATATTCATCATAAATTTTGTGCATTAATGGGGAAAGATTTTTTTTTTCCAAAAAATGGTTCAACTTTTCAGAATTCTGTTTCAATAAACATTAAGGTCATTATGGTCAAGACTTACTTTTCACACCCATTATAAAAGGCTTCCAAAACTTTAATTGGACGTATTTCATCGTTTCCCTTACGAAAAAACGTAACTACATTCCAATGTTGCCGAATTTCCCCCTCGAAAATTGCAATGTTACCAGGTTAATCTTGGGCATTGCAAACTGTAAATGTCACTAATTTTCCTTCTGCATGCGATCTCATGCAAATATCAGTAAAAGTTCGGGGGAAAATTGCGCAGGTGCATTCTTGAAAAAATTGGAAATTCGAAATAATAAGAAATCAAATTATTTGAATCAATTACACAACCTCGGAATGGAGATACGTTTCTTCGTCGGGGAGACGACGATTTATGCTAACAGAACCAAAGTAAAATGAATTAAATAAAATTGAACTATGTGTGTTTAAGACATTTGTGCATCATAGAGCCTTTTAATTTTATTCATATTCACATGGTTTTTAGTATGAATGCGTATGATGGGCCCACTGTATATTCCTTTTATTGCTTGTATAAAAAAACTTGAAGGATCTTGATTTCACGAGAATTTTCCCGGATTTACCGGAAATTCCCCAAAAACTAGAACACGCCCCAAAATTCAGATTTTCAAAATGTACATTTTTACGTGGGAACGGGTCCAGTGCTTGTGTGATGTCACAGCACATGACAAACCTGGGCTCTGTATCGTTTACAATGTATTTCTCCATGAAGAATTGACAGCCACTTGATGAAAAGACCAGGTTTGTCGTGTACTGTGACGTCACGAGTGTACCGGATCCGTTGGCGTGAAAGTAACCGCTTTGAATGGGTCGATTCCTGAAACAGCTTTTTTTTATGTATGGTTTTGAAAGTGATATCGAGATTTCTGAATAGTGCCATCTTATTTTCCGTGAAATTTCCTATTGAGATCAGTTAAAAATTTGCAAACCTTCCCACCTTGCAACAGGCCCATTTCTCTTACGTTGCTTTGTGTGAATATTTTCATATCTCACCTAATACGCTCTGTTGCGGTGACCATTTTGTAGTGAGAATATTTTCTGATTGCCCTGGAATCTGCTCGTCCTCCTCCCATTTCCACAAAACTCGGTAACCATCGGGTAATTCTCTAAAAACTCGCAATAAGTTAGACAGGACTTCTTGAGGCAGGGATTTACTCCGCATGTTACTACCAAGACTGAAGTAAATCACTCCTTCCTTCGCCCCATCCAGCCACTCCTGTAGAGTCTAGACAAAAACCAAACAAATGATTCAAACATTTATTCGTAGAGAGGGATCCGAGAGGGAGAGGGTGGAGGGGGTTTGTCGGTGTGATAGGCAATGCTTTACCTTGAGAAAATGAATACAATTTCTACGATAGTATTTATTTTGGCATAAGGAGAGTCAAAATAAGAAAGAGACATTTGTGAAATATAACTGAGAAAGCTCAATAAGTTTTCCAGCTGAGATTAATCGTCGATGAATGGTTTCATTTGAAGAACTTTTAAAAGCTGATTCTCTGGGAAAAATCTGAAAATGCCATGTTTACCAGACCAATATTATTATTTTTGGGGTAAGTAATAAGGGATGGTCAGCATTACATCATGAAACTTACTGTGCATTTGCATTATATGTGTATTATAAAACTTTGAGTGGTCTAAACTTTCTTCTTGGTAGAATGTTTGAATTTTCCAAAATCAATAACCGTTGAGGTAACTAATCAAGATAATTTACCTGAGGCAGTTTCTCAGGTGCGCGAATATGCATCGGCCCCACTTCGATCACATTCGGCGATAGAGGGCGCGGGTAAGCGGTCACAAAATTACCCGTGTTTATGACCAAGCTCACGTTGCTCCAACAGCCCGCAACCAACCGGCCGGCGCCAGGCCCGTAGTTCTGACGGAAGAATTCTTCAGCTGCCTCTTCCATGATATCTCTCAATTTCGGGAAAAAGATCTCGGAGATGGCCCAGTTCTGGATTTTCTGCCACAGGCTCATCTTATCTGTGAACGGTGTCACGAGAGGGATGAAAGAGGGGTGAGGCAGGCTCCCTAGGGCAGCCTCGTTGAACTCATCTTTCGAGAACGTCGAGAAGGATATTATCGGAGGGCACTGATCCGAAGAGCTCAGATACCGGGTCATTCCGCAGATAAATGGAATGTAACACCACTGTCCAATGACAACGTCGAAACGCAGATTTTCTGCCTTCACTTTCCTGCAAGCAAAACATTTAGACATTTTTTGCTACTCAGTGTGGTACCAGATAAACCGTAGTGCACCGTTAAAAATTTTTTCGGAAAACCTGGAATGAAATGCGGAATGACCTGAGACACAGAGTGAAAAAGACCCCATAGAAGAGTTCGGAACTCTCCGTGAAAGTGAATTGCCGCGATAGTGAGACGATATTACTGCAGTGGATCAGAACATAAGAAATAGTTGGTAACTTGCAACATTTCTAACAGAGTAGCAGCGATCGCAGTAAGTTGCGATTTGATCGGAGAACGTATCGCGATTAAATCGACGACGATTAATCGTAAGATTATTTACAAGAAAATGGGATTTTCGCCTTCATCGCATAAAGCGATAAAATCGCTGGTTAAAATATAATGGCATCCCGGAAGATACGTTCCTATGCGTTCAAAATTTTCAAATTTGAAACTATTTTTTGTTTATCTATACACATAAAAATGCTATCTACCGGTTTTATTAGTTTTTGTCCTTGCTTTGTCTTAGTAGATCCGATGAAAAAGATTTTGGCACAAGCATAGTTTTGTATCATATGCTTGCAGTGCAATTTTTTTAGATTTTGCATCCTTCCAAACCAATTTTTAGAACTTAGTGAAATTTCAAGGCAATGTTTTTTCTTAATTTTTTAGCGCTACTACGTGCCCAGATAGCACAGGAATATTCAGAGAATATTCTGAGGAATTTTCCACCTGAGGTCAACATTGATGATACTAGAATAGTAGCAAAGTTCTTACTGAAAAATATTCAATATTCCGAAGCTTACTTTTGAAACTCTAAGAATGCTTGACTTTTAAACTGGCGTGGCGGAATTTTTGTCGTCTGTCGAAAAGGCTCGATGAACTCCCACAATGTCATTGGTTTCTGCAAATTTAAGGCTTCTTTGTCTGCTTTGTTGCCAGTGCCACCCGCGTACATCGTGTAGGAGAACGATAGATCAACATGAGTGTAATTGTCGCTTTGTAAACCCTGAAAATTATAAAAGGAAATCATCGAGTCATTCGCTGAATAGCTTAGACGTGTTTTTCTTTTAATTTAGATAATAGAATAACTAACGGCAACCAACGAGAGACCCTATAGTTAGTACATCATTTTCTCCCTTAGTCCATAGTAACCAACCATTTCAACCAGTAAGGTCACTCCACGCTCTCTCTGTCTTCTTTGTCTGTAGCTTTGTCTATTAATTTCAACAATCAGCCCGTAGCACAGAAATTCACTCCGAAATTTTTAACAGTGCATGTTTCTTGTAATGTAGTTAGGCTAATTCTGGTTCCTGCCGTCCAAATTATAATGGTAGACTTACAGAACGATCAATATACGCACCTGAACTTCATTTGGAGTGACCGCAAACACGTGATGCCCCTTTGCGACCAATGCCTCGGTAAGTGACATTATGGGTTGTTGATGGCTGAAAGAAGGTCCGGGTTGTATGACGAGGACATTGTAGGCGTTTGCCATACTAAATATGAAAAAAACGAGAATACTATTGGTAAACATTGTTTCACCGCCGAGTAGCAAATACAAATTATTGACACGTGTAGATATTCTCTACGGTCACAATATGAACCTTCTACCCACTTGAAGGGCTAAATATTCTAGACGAGTTGAGTACGCAGTGGTCGTGTGATTGAACTTTGATGTATTCATCTAGAAATATCCACAGTCATTGAAATGCCTAGACTAAACCTTCAAGTATTTCGGAAAGAATTGAGGATCAGTTGGAAGTTTCAAGCGTTCTACAAAAAGATGAGAATGGTCTAATTGAGAGGATAGTAAAAGCGAGGTATTATCCAATGGTGAAACGTAAATCACCCACTATCGATATTTTTCCATTTGAAGCCGTAGTAAAGAATCGATAATCAAGGTGTTCGTTGTCAACGCCCGAATAATCGATCTTTTTCCATAGGTTTGAATGGCAGATCAATTGATCAATCGCAAAGCATGGCACTACACGCCGATGGTGTCCTCGTAAATAGTTCAAATGATTCCAACTGCGTGTAAATGGTCATAAATTCGGGGATTAAATTTTGAAAGTGCCGACAGACGACAGTAAGCCAAAATAAGAGCCCACTCAACTCACTCAAGAACAGACACTTGAGGTGAATTTTTCCACTTTTTTCCTCGGTTTTTCGGAGTGGACAGTTTTCGTATGCGTATCAAGCGAAATATCTCGACCAATGAAAACACGGTACCAGGAAAATTGGTAGTGAATTGGTGCAAACAATAGGTCAGCTCCACGTGTCACAGAATTGTGTTGTGGTGGTTAATATTTAAAGATTACCATTATCTTGATGAATTGAATCAAACGCTAGAGTTCTGTATATTGAACTACCTGCTTCAGATGTCTTTTGAAAATTATGATGGATAATATCATTCACTAATCAACGCTTTTCAGTGATTTCTTCTTTGAAATTGCTAGTGAAAGAACTACTGTAAGCACGAAGAAGAATATTACGATGTTGTGTCACTTTGCAACTTGTCACACTTATCGCACGTGGCACATACGGCGCGCCGCGCCGTGCACACGTGACACATTCGATGTTGAAAAATGGGTCGTAAAAAGAACAAGAATTATTTCGGTTAAAAAATAAAAAATTAAAAAAATTACATGACCGGTTTTTGGCGATACTTTCTGCAATTCAAATCGGTAGAACATTTTGATAATTAACGTGTGGATCTTTCAAATACGGTCACAATAACTAGTCGTGGGCAAAAAATTGTTGTCACGATTATAAGATGGTCTGCGATAATTATAAAATACCTTTTTTGGTTTATTTTTTCTCACTGTGTGCCCGCTGGTGCGGTATGTACTTCGGGTCAGGCTAAGACCGTCACCACTATATAAACCTTCAGGCTGCAAGAGCCGCACCAGATTTTACCATACACCAACCATGGGAATGGTTTCATAAGCGAACTGAACCAGGGACTAATTTGAAACCTGGCGAAAGCAAGCGCCATCTAAGGTAGGTTTCACGTACAAAACAATTCATACTCGATACGTCACAAAACGAACTGTCGTGTTAAAAAATTTAGATACAAAAAATGAATAATTTTTGGGTCATTTTAAAAATAACTTTCATTGCTTTAAGGGAATTCATGTTGATTATTGTAAAATTGAAGATCCTTTCGATTAAACTAAATAGTTTTTTTAAAAGTATTGGTCAGGACACTTTTTCTCTCCTTCTGCGACGAAAGTGCACCAAACCAAGAGAAAAAAATGTTTGAAAAAATCAAATATATTTACACAAATATTTCACACAGTGACACGAGACTCTAAATTTTTCGTGACTTCTCAAATACCGTTCAGGCAAAATCGCAGCATTATCTTGCGTCATCATATTATCTGAACAATGATTGCCTAACCGTGCGTTTAGGTCTCTAGGATTCTCTTTTTCGGCTGATACTTTGAATGGGACAACCATCAATTTTTGTGTTTATTTCGCCTATGCTGGGCATGCGAATTAAGAGAGGAGTATTTTCCTTTGAATTTTTAGCTTATTTCTTTTCTGGCATTCGACACGCCAATGATTTAAAGATTTCATTTTTCCACTTACTGGTTGCATAATCAGGCCAGGGCGTGATAAGCGGTTGCATAACTGCCAGACCAGTTATCACCTATTATACATATGTAATCACATCACGCCACCTTTCATGATTATGTAACCACCCTTATAAATACCCTGGCAGGAGCCACTCTCAGTTCAGTTGCTTTTTCTCATTTAAAGCACTCACCGCTAGCACGCCCGTTTAGGGCTGCTTTTCTTATGCTTAAAGAGGCACGCCCGTCTAAGGCTGCTTTCCTTATGCTTCAAGAGACACACCCGTCTAAGGCTGCTCTTCCTTTGGCGCACACGTCCGTTTAAGACTGCACTGCTACGCATTTCAGAACCTTTTTATTTCATTATATCATTTTCTCCATTCGTTCTCTATAATGAATTTAGAGTTTTATTTCTATACGGGCTCTGCTACTATCCCGTCTTTATTCTGAGAAATGTTTTAACAAATAAACAAATTGATCTGGCAACTCATTTCTAAAAGAGTCTTTGAAAAAAGGCCCTTTCTGATTCATATACTTGCTGAAAGTGGCTCCAGCTGCAATGGAGTTATTTTTAGAGGATTAATTCCGGAGTTAATTCCGAAGGGTTATCCATTTTATGACCCTCGGAGGGTCATAATTACCCTCCCCCCTTCCCGAGTTACCTCTAAGGGTGCATGATCCCTCATAGCCTTAATCATCCACATTCATTCAATAGACTGAATGCTTGAGACATATCGAGTTACACATTGTAAGTACGCAACCACGTATCTCGGTTTGCGATGTTGCAGACTTACTGTCACACTTAATTTTTTAAACGGAAAAATACTCAACGGCAATTCTTTAAAACTGCCGTGATTTTTCTTCTCTGTGCGAAAAAAATTTTGCAAAAACTTCAAGGAATGACGTAAATTTGTTCTCCTTTAAAAAAATAATATAGATAATATTTTAAAACACCGCAAACGAGTTACGTGGTTGCAGACCTACGCCGTCGCTATCCTCTATCAGTGCGCGACATCAATGGCTACTACACAGGAGTAAAAGCCACTTTTTGACAAACCTATTCAAAACAGCGCATCGTGAACTCACAAGCGTATTATCTTAGATAATTGATGATCTTCGTCTAGCCTAATGTTTTTGGTCCTCAGTTTCTTTCCCGGATTTACGTGCCGAGGTAGAAAACACAAGAAACTAGAAAAAAGTCAAATCAACTAAAGGTGCTCTTCTTTGCGTACATCAAACCTGCACATTATAATTTCTGTAACATTCAAATCCATCATGCCATGTTTCATGATCCTGCTCTCTTCATCTATCTCCAAGTCTATTTTTATCCGTCATGAGTATATGTAAGTTGCTTCACAAAATCTCAAACTGAGCGTCTTCCTGAAATAATTTTGGGGGAGGCTCGGGAACAATCTGAATAGACGAGATCATTTTACATTAATGTTATTCTTTGTGGTATAAAGAAAAATTCTTGAGGACTATAATTGCCGCTTTTGCACGTGAGCAAACTCTCGATCTGCATTACGATGTCTCAAGATTAGGGTTATACACCCATGATTCGCCACATTTTGTTCACAAAATTTATGAGTAGGCAATAATTAACCAGCCTAATCTTGTTGAAAAAAGAGGAAAAAGTAGAATCGATGGGGACCCGGCGTAAGTGGAGAATGAAAATAAAAACTGAAGTGGCTGAAAACTAACAAGCAAATAACGTCACAAGGAAAGACATCTAGGTACGATCTCCTGGGCAACGCAATTCCATGCGGCACATCTATCTGGAATGTGATGACGACAGAAATGAATTATTAAGAAAGCGATAAGTGAAAACGTTGACTCCTTTTTTATTGCCCCAATAGATTACCTGGATTAAACCCTAGAAGCTCATCCTGCTTAAATCTACGTCGAATTTTTCTGCATCAGCAAGCACCCTATTAAAATCTGATTGAATTGAAAATCTTGAGCATTATTATTTTAACATTCATCGGTGTCCGAGACATGCTTTGTATCGAGATACATTTTAGCAGCATTTCGGTCTCCCAGTTGGTACGCAAGAGAATCGGAATAATCGTATACGTTTGAGCTTATATTTAATACACTCTTGCGAGTGTAAAACTACATAAGCGCTTTTCTTAAGAAACAATTTCCGAGGATATTTTTTCGGGCTGGAGCTCATTTCGTGCAAGGATGGGAGTGCAACAGAATGACCTCGCGACAAAAGCAACGGAAAATGGACGTAACGGCTGGAATTTGCAAGACCAAATTATCATCTCCGGTTTCTCGGGTCGGTTCCCAGAGTCTAGCACCATCGAGGAATTTAAAAAGCAGCTTCTTAAAGGAGTTGACCTAGTCACAGATGATGGAAGACGATGGCCCGCAGGTGAGTGGATATAAACTGCATAAAATTGATCGTTTGGTTATATTTATGTGGATGCTTTGTACTTAATATAACATCATAAGTTTTAAAAACAGCAAGAGCCTCGTTTGAAAATGACAAAATGTTTCGTTGAAATTGTGGCTTAAATCAATCAGCAGTTTGGATTCAAGATGATTCACAACATTTTTCTTTATACATTCTCCTTTTTTCGGTACGGAAAATCAAGGCACTGATATCGTTTTTTTTGTTTTGTTTTTTTTTTTACTCGGGGCATAACTAATTATATTAAGCTACTCACCCAATATTTAAAAATTTAAATTAAATAGATAATTCAATGTTCGAGTTGGAAGTTGTGAGTTATATTTCATATTTTTTAAGACTCAGTTTTGGGATTGGGCAGTTTTGGGCAATAGTCAAATTGGTATCCCTATATGATGTTGACTTTTCAAAATTTTCGATTATGTTTTATTTGTATTTTATCAATGAAAATGTAACTTACGTAACAGGTAACATGTGAATTCGGAGAGCTTTCTTGAAAATTTCTGTAACTATTCTTGAATGAATGTTGGAAATTCAAGGAATTTTTTCAAAAACATGAACAGAGAAGTGTAACACTATATTTAAGGATACGCATTTTCCGTCTCAGGTCATTAATATGACCTTAGCCGACGAAAATTGCGGGCTTACATGGTATTGCATTAATATATGTCATGACCAAGGAGGTTGCCCACAATTATTCTAATGCAATCAATGTTCATACCTACTCAGTTTCATACATCTGAAGTTTTCACTATTGATCGTGTCATGCACTTTTTTCTGTACACTAAAGTATACTTATTCGACTCCTTCCTTCATTCTCAGGAATGTACGGCCTACCAAAAAGATCAGGTAAACTTCCAAACCTGGAATTCTTTGATGCCTCTTTCTTCGGTGTTCACGCAAAACAAGCAAATTCAATGGACCCACAAGCGAGAATTTTATTGGAACTAACTTACGAGGCCATCATTGATGCAGGTAAGAACTTGCGACCGAAACAATGATCAACGGTGTCTTTAAAACGATGGTTTAGTTCTGAGGCTATATTTTTTATAACTCCCTCTTTTTTTAAAATTATAGAGAAAAATAGGAGCCGCAGTTAAGCGCTCCGAGGCATAACGTACCTTATGACAAAATTGAAGTCGTATTGTTACATATCGATATAGTGATGCTGGAACAACACGTGCCCTCTTTCACGTACTACGAAAAATTCTTAACATCTTTCAATTTTTTTTGAAAATTCAATTTTATATCTGTGTTAAAATTTCAAAGAATGCTCTTGAAAATGGGAAGACAGGTGACAATTCACGTCTGTAATATTGACGCTTAATGGGTGGTGCATGACTGCCTTTTAAAACAAGGTGACGGTGAACATACAAAAACGCATAATTCGAGGTTTGGAACTCTGTGGATTTACCGTCATCGCTTATTTTTGAAACAGGAAATTACTCGACGTCATTTCTTGTAAACTGTCCTGGCTTTTTTTCAGTAGGAGGAGAATATTGCGGGAAAATTTCAAGCAATAGTGTTGGTTTATTCTCCTTTGGAAGATTATAATGGGAGTGAAGATTTTGGAACACCACCGTGAAGGAACACGTATCTATAGTTCCTTCATCATGGAGTAGCATTTAGCAGGAAATCTTCAACAACGAGGACTTTGTTTCTCTCGTTTCGTCGTTATTTTACTTCATAATTGTGACGTCTTCTTTTAGCACGTTTTTCACGGCTGAGGTAAAAATGGATGAGATGTCATGATTTCTCCACTGTTCCGCTGAGTTTTTCTTTCAAAAAATAAAGAGTGGCATTTGAATCCTAGTTAGGAAGTACCCCAGAAATATACCAAAACTATCTCAGTCAAAACATCATCTTATGAGGCACTATTCAGTTTCAGAGATGTAACAACTCGCTGTTTGAAAAAGTAGCGCTCACATAAGGCAACTCCAAGTACGTGAAATTGTGGTTAATTTTTCATCTTAAAGAGTTTGATGGCAGCTTTAAATGTATTTATTCTCGTGATATTCGCATTTTCCGAAACTTTCGATTATTTTATACTGATGGTATTAATTATCATTTTAGGTATCAATCCTCAGGACCTTCGCGGATCTAAAACAGGAGTGTTTATTGGGGTTTGTGCCAGCGAGTCTCACGAGTTTTGGACAAGAACTCTTGCAAATGTTAATGGATATGGTGTGACTGGTAACGCCAGAACAATGCTCGCAAATAGAATTTCGTTTTCGTTTGATTTTAAAGGTGAGATAAGGCATTCTTAGCCGTAAGTAACTTTCTTTAAATCTGTACATGTGCTCTACTCCCCTACAATCAACAGAAATACAAACCCACTTACATGCGATGAACCCAATATTACTACCAAAATTCTGAAACTCTTCACCTCTCTCAATTTAGAAATCTAAATTTTTGTATATACTCCCATTTTCAAAATTCTCTGAAAAGACGTTAATAGCCTGTGACGCTGAATGTCTTAAAATATACTAACTAACTAACTAACTAACTAACTAACTAACTAACTAACTAACTATTTGTACTTGTATATGTGCATGATCGCTCATAAAAAGTGATTAAAGGAGGCATCCCACACCATTATTTCGGATACAGAAACGCCAAAGAGAACGGCAAATATGTGTTTGTCGTATGAAAGTGAAAAGTCTAAAGTTACTAAATATATTTTCTTCGTTCGTCCACAGAGTTTTTTCCTGGGGGCCTTAATGATCACTGTTTATATTTGATGGTCGAATATACTTGAAACATGTTTGACCATGTAGTAGAGAAAGCAAAGACGTAATAATAGATTTTTGCACGTATTTCTTTGCGATTCTCCATGTGTTAAACAATATTATAACACGATGTTCGAAACGATTTCTTTCGAGCATAAAAACGTTGTTCATTACACTTTACTAACTCAACTAGAGTGAAAAAAGTCACAAAAAATCACTAATTATCTGTGTTGAATATGTTCCAGGCCCCAGTTATACCGTCGATACAGCTTGTTCTAGCAGTTTGTTTGCTCTCGAGCATGCTTTAAGTTCAATACGCACTGGGCAGTGTGATGCAGCCGTAGTTGGAGGAGTAAATTTATTATTGAACCCGGAACGTTCGTTGCAGTTCCAATACCTGAATATGTTATCACCTGGAGGAAAATGCAATTCTTTCGACGAATCTGGTATACTAATTAATTTTTGTTTTTACACTTGATATGGTAAAATATAACAGTTTTGCAATAATATAAAGAAATGGCCATTGAAACGAGCTGTTCTGCTTACGGCTGTTCTGCTTTCACGTGTAAAATGCAAATAAAGACACACTCTTTGTTGCTCCAAATGCTCTTTGCCGCTTTAATATGAGTCACTACAACTAAACACAAATTGATTCTATGAATGGACGGTTCTCCAAAAAAACCGAAAATATGCTTAATCTGAAAGAACTCGGTTTTGAAAACCAGGCTTGAATTTTTCGAGAATATTCCTCCTTCTACTTTTGGGCCCCAAATCATTCCAAAAGTATGTCTCTCTAATTAAGATAAGATGAATTCTTCAGTTCAGAGTTTGAAGTTGAGTTTAGAGTTAGCTAGGCAACCAAACTAACCGCAATGCAAAGCGTAAAGTATCGAGTAAGCGTGAAGGCGCTCTGCGAAAAATCGCATTCATTTGAGAATCCCTCGAAATGAGTGCTTCAGCGCGATGGCTTGGTTGGAATCCGTGCAGAGCAATCAACTTACTGTGTAGCATATAGTAAAATACCACGAAACATGAAAGCGCGGCGAACCAAAAAAATTATCGACCATGCGATGAGTCATTTTGTCACGGGTTTCATTTTCAATTTCAGGCAATGGTTACGTCCGTAGCGAAGCCGCAGTTGTCATTTTCTTGCAGCGTGCCAGTGGTGCGAAGCGTATCTATGCCACTGTGGTCCATGCGAAAACTAACACAGATGGTTATAAGGAGGAAGGTATCACGTTCCCATCTGGTGCTTTACAAAAGACTTTAATCGAAAGCACATACGCTGAAGCTGGCATCGATCCGAGCAAGGTTGCTTTTGTCGAAGCTCATGGGACTGGAACAAAGGTTGGTGACCTTGAATTTGTGGATAATTGAGCATTTTTACCCGTTGGATTCTGATGCACATATTCATAAATTGGTTCGAAAAATCAACCACCATACTTCCTTCCACCGAGGAATATGCACAAGAATGGAACGGAATGGAGCAGAGTGACACAAAATAGACAGAACGAGTATATTTTCTGAGGTTCCGTTACCGATCTTGATTTTGCTCCTTCTAAGGTTCATTTATTAATTCTAAATGAAGTACAACGACTGGGGGACCCCTGAATGCTAGCCATTACGCGGCTCAAACGCTCCACAGCGGATCAAGTCAATGGTAGAGGTCGGACATGATTTTTTTACTAAAACTGCAAATTTTGATGTTTATTTTGACACATTTCAAATTTTGAGGGGTGCTTCTAGAAGAAAATTTCAGAAGGAAATCGATGGCACCACTTTTGAAACCCCAAAGATTTGGATAAACGGACTTATAAAAGTTTCCAAATTTTGCCCGACCTCTCCTATTGACTCGATTCACTGTACGCCCGAAGCAGTATACCCTAATAGCGGTAAAGCCAAAGACTAGGGTTCCAAAGAGGTCCGGATCCTACCCAATTTTGACTGCAAATCTTAAAATCACCGGAGGAAGATCATGCCTTTATTCTACTTACAGGGTAATTTTAATTTTTAAAATCTTACGTAATTTTTAAGAAAACACTCACCCTCGTACCCCCTCTAAGACGACCTTTTTAGTAATGTAACTAATCCTTGAATTGAAAATCTCTATCCGATGATCCTCGAATTAACACTGATTCTAATCTTTTTTTCCAGGCTGGCGATCCTGCGGAAATGAACGCCATTGCAGACGTTTTCACGAAAGGACGCAGCAAGCCTTTGCTGATAGGATCCGTGAAATCGAACATGGGCCACTCTGAAGCGGCCTCCGGTCTTTGCGGAATTGCCAAAGTCCTCATCGCCATGGAAACGGGCGTCATCCCTGGGAACTTGCATTTCAAAAAACCGAACCCTGATATCCCGGGACTCTCGGACGGAAGGTTGCAGGTAAGACTTTTGGTTTCGGAATGTCAAAGCATATACAGGGTGTCCCAGGATTAAGTACGAATATTGAAGGAGTCGATTCTTTGGGTAAAAAAAGACGTTTTTGTGTCGTCATTTTGTTAAACGTCCATCCAGAAAACCGCGTCCGATGACGTATCTCGCACTTGCAGAAGTCAGAAACCCGAAAACTCTGGAAAAAAGGACACACATATAATTTCCCCAGAAGGAGATGTTGCATGTGTGAGGAATTTGTGATTTGACCATTGATTCTTACGTAAAAGTTTGCGAGAAACACGATGGTACCACTGGTTTTCTCTGCAATCAACTCCCAAGCTCAAAAAAAGCTCTCAAGTTGAGGCCAAAATGGAGGGGATATTCCACCCTACCCTGAGAGTCCACCTCTACATCAAAACAAACTCTCCATGCAAAGATAGGGAGCAAATACATTAGCAGGGTTGCCGTGTTTTCAGTTTTGGAGTCCCCAAATGAAGTGGCAGCCCTGTCAATGTATTTGCTCCCTATCTTTGCATGGAGAGTTTGTTTTGATATAGAGGTGGACTCTCAGGGTAGGGCGGGATATCCCCTCCGTTTTGGCCTCACTTTGAGAGCTTTTTTTGAGCTTGGGAGTTGATTTCAGAGAAAACCAGTGGTACCATCGTGTTTCTCGCGAACTTTTACATAAGAAAATAACAGTCAAATCGCAAATCCCTCACACATGCAACATCTCCATTGCGTGAGTTCCATTACAATATTATCATTTTTCAATTGTAAAATCTACGTTGAAACATGAAACTTTTTTAAACTAAAAACGGCTGAGTTTTCAGCCGAAACGTTTTGGTTTTATTCCTGTAAATTAGCAATGTTACCCGTTTTTCTATTCGTTTTTTTTTTATTGCGTTCTCCTTGTTGCAGGTCGTCAACAAGCCCAAACCGTGGGACGGGGGTCTCGTCGCCGTGAGCTCATTCGGGTTCGGCGGCGCCAACGCCCACGCCATCCTCCGGTCGCACGACACCCTGAAATCCGGCATCCGCGACAAAGTCCCCCGAGTGGTCGGCGTGTCCGGCCGGACGATGGAAGCCGTCCACTTCAAGCTGAAGGAGATCGAGGAGACGCCCAGGGACGACGAGTTCGTGGGTCTCATCCACGGGGTCTACGAGGAGGCCATCGCCGGCCATGGGTTCCGCGGCTACACCGTCCTGGAACCGACCCCCACCAAGAAGGAAGTCGCCCCCTTCGACGGCCGGAAACGACCGGTCTGGTACGTCTTCTCCGGGATGGGGAGCCAGTGGTCCGGGATGCTCGGGTCTCTGATGGAGCTCGAGATTTTCAAGCGGACGATCTCGCAGTTGGCCGAGATCCTCGGACGTGAGGATTTTGATCTTATGGCAGTCCTCGACTCGGAGAGTGATGATACGTTCGACGACGTTTTGAATTCCTTCGTCTCGATCACAGCCGTGCAAATCGCCTTGGTCGACGTCCTGACTTCGGTTGGGATTTCCCCGGACGGGATGATCGGGCACTCTATCGGGGAGCTGGGGTGCGCGTACGTGGACGGGACCCTCACTGCCGAGCAGACCATTCTTGCTGCGTTCTGGAGAGGGCGCGCCATTGCTGAGTCTGATGTTCCGCGCGGGAGTATGGCCGCTGTTGGTGAGGTGGTTTTCCTTTTTATCAAATTTTCAGTGGAAAAATGAATAATACCTCATTGTTAGTGCAACATACACTGAGAAAAAAAAACACATTGGATCTAGAGTCCAGACTCTTAAAAACATCGACAAGAAAAAAGACTCTTGATTCGATCGGATTTTTGCTTAAATCAAGAACCAAGCCTCTTAATTTGAGCGGATTTCCTTTTGATTTAAGCTTAAATCTGATCGAATCAAGAGTATTTTTTCTTGTCAATGTTTTAAAGAGTCTAGACTCTACATCCAATGTGTTTTTTTTCAGTGTACGTCAAATTGATCTGTTTAAGGCAAATGTCAAATCAGGTATTTTATCAAGTACCTAGGCAAATAGTCAAATATTCGAACTTAGATTGAAATTTTCATTTTTTACCCTGATTTTAGACAAAATAATTCGTTGCTCTTGTAAAATAGAATTCTCTGTAAAATTATTCATCATACAGCAGTATTTTAAACAATTTTAAGATCCAGAATGCACATTTCTCATGAAATTTTCAGCACGTCATAAAACGTAGAATTTTTAAAATTTTAACATTTAAATGTACTAAAGGCGTGTAAAAAGGAAGAAACGAGGAAAGTTCGCGGATTTGAAGAGTTATTCTTCCCAAAAATTGAGAACCCGTGATCTCCTCGCCATAAATGCACCGAATTCCGTAAACTTTAAAAAGTTGACTACCGGCCTAGGCATTTGATAAAATGCCTGATTTGACTAATTGCCTTCGACAAATCCACCAACTAAGATTTAGGTGACAGTCTGACAGTAACTCATCGACCAAATCAACATGAGACAATGTAGATGATAGCATCTTGCTTATCTTTTTGCTCGATGTTTACGTGAAACACCAAAACGAATTACCAATGACGCGTTTAAAACGGTTCATTTTCTTAGTAGGATCATTTTTGTTCTTCAGGTCTCTCATGGGAGGATGCCTCAGAATGCGTTCCACTTGACATTTTTCCAAGTTGTGAGAACTCTCCTAACAGTGTTACTGTGTCCGGCCCACCAGCATCCATTTCTAATTTTATAAATGATTTGAGATCCAGAGGTGTTTTTGCAAAAGAAGTGCTGAGCTCAGGCATGGCTTTTCATTCAAAATACATCACAGCCGCTGGTCCATACCTGCAGAAGAGTTTGGAAAAGGTAACTTTGTGCAATTCGATTCCTATCTTGGCAACATAGGTTTTTCTTAAAATTAACATAATACGAAAAACTGCAGTAGAATCAGTGATGGAAATTTCGAAATCGTCAAAAATAAAGACAGCTCTGAAAACCGGACAGCTTTTATTTAATGCTCTTAATTTTGCTTTTTGTTTTCTGTTGTTCTGCTCAAAGAAATGACTTAGAAATGCAACATACTTGGCGTTACTTATTTACTCCTCAATTTAACTTCAACGAAAATTGATTTTACTCAGTACAGTAAAATTAGTCTAGCCAACCGTGCAGTAAATATGGGGCTCACCCACACTAAGAAACCCTCTTTTCTCTCCATGATAAACATGCTATCATTTTATTTTCTTCAATATTCTTTTTTTAACTTTTTATTGAGTTTAAAATATTCTTTAAAAATGAGGAAATAATTTTGAGTATACTCACTGCTCCTGTTAAGAGAACCGCATTGACTACGTCTCGGCAGAAAAATAGGTAGAATTGATTAATACTCAGTAAAGAATGTGATATCAAAAATAAGTGGTTTCGTTCAAATGTTTTATTTTGTTTTTCAGATCATTTCCAAACCAAAGCAAAGGACCTCTCGCTGGGTCAGTACATCTGTCCCGAAAAATGAGTGGAACACACCACTGGCTCAAACATCGTCCGCTGCTTATCACGTCAACAACTTGCTCAATCCTGTCCTTTTCAAGGCAAGGGTGTTGATAAAATTGATATTCTTCCCCTCCTCTTATTCTTCAAATACAAGTATTTCATACAAAGCTTTATAGCAAAAATAATTAACTCGCTAGTCGCTGAATATCGTCCAAAGTACTACCCGGAACTGTACGTAATTTAAACAGATCAAATACCTCTCAATTGAACTTTGCTGACTATTCATTAGTCAACGACTCCTTGATCAGAACTTTCTGATAGAATAATGAAAAACTTTAAATTATCTGAAAAATATTACAATTTTTTCTCCCACATTGCGTTATGACGCTTTTTCAGATTTTTTACTGAATACGCTGTCACAATAAGAATTTTTTTTTTTAAAATATAATTTTGACTCATTGTTGGATACAACGATAAAAAGAATCAGGAAGATGAAACAGAATTCATTTGTGCATAATAGTAAGTTTTGCGTCTTTTAATCTCTTTGAAAAAACTATGATATTTATTAAAACTTTCAGGAGGCAGTCACACAAATCCCAAATGATGCAATTGTCATTGAGATATCCCCACACTGTTTGCTCCAACCGATTCTGAACAGAAATCTTGGTCCCAATAATACCATTGTCGGCCTTCTACGGAAAGGGACAGAAAACACTACATCAACTATTCTAGCAAGTTTAGGAAGGTCAGTATGTTTGAACCGGTATATCGTTATCAGAAGTTATATTGAGCGTCAAATATACCTCAAAAATAGAGATTGTAAAATTTATCTCAAGGATGAAAATAAAGGTGAGCCTCAGCTGGTTACTGACTGTCGTGTATAACTTAATTCTGTCCAAATTTTAATATATAGTTTTTATAAGTTGAGTATTACATTAGAGGATAGTCAATTCAGTGAATTGTGCTCCTTGAAAGTTCTTTAAAACATCAATTATCCCCCCAACAGAAAGCAAGTAAACTGACCGTTTAAGTTCATAGAGTTATTTAAGTTCCGTTCTCTTTAAAAATCTTGAAACGTTTTGAAAGATGTCATACATACCCAATTCGGTTCTGATGTTTGGCGCAATGCATGAAGTATTCCTGCACTCTTGTAGGCACTAATATGGTGCTCGCCGCCGACCGATCAGCGCTAGCGACCGCGCTGTGCGCTAGGTGCAATGCGTGAAGTATTCCCCCACTCGCGTAGGCGCTCATATGCTGCTCGCGCTGACCAGCGACCGCACTGTATTTGGCGCAATGCGTGAAGTATTCCTGTAGTCTTGTAGGCGCGTTTCACGCCAACTGGTGCGGCGGCCGGACTATATATGGAGAGATTAGAATCGACGATGCAGCCATTTTTTTCCTGAAACCTTTCAGACTAATCCCGATGTCACTTTTAAAGTCAAAAGCAAATTTTTGACTAGACACGATGTTTTGAGTATTTGAATGGATATATTAATGCATGCTATTTCTGTTATTTTTTCAAGATTGTATAATGCGGGTATCGATGTCAACTTCGCCAATTTGTTCTCTCCTGTTAAATTCCCAGTTTCTCGTGGCACTCCAATGCTTCAGTCGCTCGTAAAATGGGATCACTCCACCGAGTGGGCAGTTCCGTCCTTCAGTGACAAGGTATTTATTGCATAAATACGGGGCAATTTAAGGGGGAAATATTATACTTGTTCTTATTAATGCACACCTACATAACTACTATAGTTGTCAAAGTGGAACACACCGAATATTACAAAACTTTCAGAATATTTTTGAAATTGAAGAAAATTTCTTACGCACAATTATTTCCGTGCTTCATACCATGAATTCAGATCAATTTATTAGATTTAGGCATTGTAATCAAACGCTGCTCTAGTGTTAAAAAACTTTGGTCCCAATTGTTGAAACAAGTTGGTGATAATTAGACGGATTCAAGCGGCATCGGCTTAGGTGCATCGGATTTGGCCTAACTTTGCCTTAAATTATTTTTAACAGAAAAATGAGCTATTTTCTGACTTGAAATTTTTTGAAAATATCATTGAAAGTCTATGGGAAATGTATAGGGAGTTTGTAGGCGTTATTATGTAACAAAATAATACGTGGAATTAACAGCATTACTCATTCATCTATGCGCTGCTACACTGTTGTTTGGATTTTTAAGTGATGCAACTACTCGGTCTTTAGGACCACTCAAAGAAGTATCTTTCCACAATGAAGGCGTTTCTTACGCTTTGACACTCTTTGTTAAAAAAGTATCCGAAAAAAATCACCCACTGCTGCACTGCTGATTAGATTTGTAAACGGTATACAACTATTCTACCTTTAAGGCCAAGCCGGGCAGTATCTTTTTAGAATGAAGCCGTTTATTATGTGTTGTGATTCCTCATCAAGTAATTACCTGAAGCAACCGCATTACGCACTAATCATCGTGTTGTTACATTGTTGATCGGGTTTTCAATGATGAAAATATTGGCCTCTGAGGCCATGTGCCGTCCGCGAATAATGTTGCTAGAGATATTGTTGAGATGTATTTAGGGTCATTTGTAAAATTGTTACAAAAACAGAAAGAAATTAAATTTCAAAATTAAGACATGTCACAAGGTACACTGTATAAGGGGGGGGGGGGGGGCAAAGACGTTCGCATAGCGGGCGCGCTCAAAAGAAGAAAACTATGGTAGCTTTTGCCATTGATTGTGGTATACTTATCGTTTCATTTGCAATTATAATTGCAGGACTCAATGCGCGGAGAGCTGGTGATCGACATTGATCTGAAAGAGGAAAAATATTCGTACCTGGTTGGACACACGATTGATGGCCGTATACTTTTTCCCGGCACTGGCTACATTGTAAGGCAATTAAAATTAATGTACCGATCAGGAGCAGAAAATAATACAGCTGTGAATTCGGATGGAACACAATATGTGGAATAAAAAAAAAATTCATGTGTTTTCCCCTGAAAATCTCTTGTAGCAATTCACATAACAGGAAGATCTTGAAATGTACATTGTAAAGAGAGGAGAAATGTATATCTTTGTGACTGCGTTTAATTTTTTTGAAAAAAAAACGAGGAAGAAGAATATTTTCTTAAAAGAAAAAAATATTTTCAGAATAATTTTGGTCGTATACAATCCCACAANGTGGTAGAGAGTATAATCTTACGATTTCGGCCCAATAATTGCGATATTAAGTTGATTTTCGTGTATATAAGCTTACGCGCGCTACGTTACATTACAGTATATAGTCAGCCTTCAATTTCAATCGATACATCTAATCATACACTTAGGTTTCTTTTGTTGCTTTAGTCTTGTTTTAAGGTTTCTTTATTGCCGTCTAGCGCTCTACCGTGCGCTTATAATAATGTAAATGAATTCTCACTATACAGACGATCGTAACATAAAATGAGACCATATCTGGGATTAAGAGTCCGTGTTTAAGTACAAATTCTTTTCCTTTTTTTAAAAAATTTTCCATCAACGGTTTAAATACAACATCATGCTACTTTGTTGCAGGTCTTATTGTGGGACACAATGGCTAAAATCAACGGAAAATCAAAAGAAGAGCAGCCTATAATTTTAGAGGATATAAAATTTCACCGTGCGACCATCATGCCTAAAGAGGGTAATTATATTCTGCAGAGGAACATCAACCAATTGTAAAGAGGAAATGATCCTCTGAAAACAAATCTGTAAATTGAAACATGCATGCAAAATAATATTGCTCCACTTCCATAATTGATTTTCAAAATTAAATAACAGAGATCCATATAAACTGGCCTCTCTTTGATTTAGTCGGTTAAATTAAATATTTGTATTATCACGAAGGCTCCTAGGCTCTGACTTGTTAGAGTCAAAGTTTTTAAGCCGGCCAGGTTGGCCTAGTGGTCAGCGCGCCTGACTCTAGATTAATAGGTCCCGGGTTCGAATCCCGGTGGTGGCGTCTAATTTTCACGGAATTGAGGAGTAGCCCTGCTGAAACAGATTCTCCTCGGCCCTAATCCCTGAAAAATTGGAAAAGCCTGGAGCATGGAGATTCCACGTTGTCTACGGAAACTAAACATTATCTAAAGTTGCCTAAAGGTGCTAGACACGAAGCCATTAAACCAGCAGAAAAAAAGCTTTGAAAGGTGCAAAATGAAAAATTAAGAAACTCACTTTTCTAATTTTCAGGCATCGTAAAATTTTCTATCAACATTTTCAAAAATTCCGGTAACTTTGAATTGGCTGAGGGAGGAAGTGTTGCTTTCTCCGGGAAAATTAGCATCCCAGAAAATATTGAGGACGAGCAGCTTACCCTGACGGAGCCTAATCTTGATGACGAGACGGATGCACTTCTTGATATAAATGACTTCTACAGGTACGCTCGTCTTCGTGGATACGACTATGGAGGAGTATTTCGGGGAGTCACAGAGGCTGATACAACAGGTAAACTTTGGAACTTTTTTTTTTTTTTTTTTTTTTTTTTTGGGGGGGGGGGGGCTAAATCAGATCTTTAGATGATATAAAACGGAGCTCATTCGTGTGCTAAAATCTGATAAGTTTGAATTTCGACCTTCAAGTCGGTGCAGCTAAAAAGTTGGGTTCTGTTTAACAATATACAGAGGAAACGTTTGGAAATAACAGTCGTGATCAGAGATTATCACTTTGAAAAATAAAATTAAAGGTGATTGGCACCATTTTATTTATGGTCCGCGTTAAAACGCTAACGTCATGATTATTTGTGTTGTTGCTGTAATCTTAAAATCATGCCTCAAAGATGGGGAAATCAGGAAAAATAAAAACATTCACTTGAATCTGAATAATTTGTAGGTTATAAAGCTCGAAAAACTACTCCAAAGAGCTGATCAAGTCACTGGTTAGAATGTGAGTGTCTTTGCATGACCGCTTACAGTAAAAAACTGGACGTAAAATTTACGAAAACGTCCTTAATTTAGGAAAAGGCTAATGTTCAGAAGTTTTGCAGAACATGTAAGAAAATTACGGGGAAAAATTCCTGTAAAATGAACCTGTTTAAGATCTGATCATCCCTTGCATAGTATATCCCTTTGGTAAATAATGTCGTCAGGTACCGTTTGCAGAAATCATTTCGATGCATCGGTCAAGAATATGTAAATGAGGACATAAAACCTCCTCGGAGACTTAAACGCAGAGATAGGAAAGTGATCGGTACCATGTGGAGCGATTATAACGACCTCTCCTCTGCATTACAATTTTAGCTAATTTTGATCAATTTAAGGGCATATTCCGAGCATTTCTGCAGTTTTGCTACTCATCCACCGAGTAAATTTCCCATCCGTAGAACATTTTCCCCACGATTCGGCTGAAATAACGTCTCTGTATTTTGATTGCAAGATTTTCATTTCACGTATTTACTTTTTCGAAAAAGAGAAACTATACTTAGTTCCCCATATGTATGAGAGTTTTTGAAGGGAAGGAGTCTACAGTCAGAAGGGTGATAGGACGATAGGTGAACCCTTCATACCCACGGCTTGAGCCAAAAATTGTCTTACGGTTTCCTCGACAGAATATGGCGCGAATATTACGTTCGAAACTACTCAGTTACGTAAGTGTTTTTCCGATCTTCGATATTCATATATAGGCGTCGTAGTTTATCTAATCTTACGTCATTAGTTCAAGGCATCTTTAGCTTTATGTGATGTCATTATTACTTACGGCATTTTCAGGCGTCAAAGGAAAACTTTCTTGGACGGGAAATTGGGTCAGCTACTTGGACACCATGATTCAATTCTATGTGTTTGGAATTCAGTCGTCCAAACTGAACGTGCCATCGAGAATTCAGCGCATATCCATTAACCCTCGGAAACACTCCCAGTATTTAAGTACTACCCGTGAGAAGATTAAAACAATCCCTGTCTTCAACTATGCTGATATAGGGGTTGTCAAGTCATGCGGCACCGAAATAAGAGGTCTCAAGGTCACTCTAGCACCGAGGAAACAAGAACTCAATTTAGCAAAAAAGGAAAAATATGTGTTTGTTCCGTATGCCACCGAGGAGGTATGTCTGAGTTCCCAAATTTGTCACATTATTTTATACTGACACGAATTGAAATTTGATCTTGATACACAATGGACTACTAAAGTGTTCTTACATTAAATGAGTTACTTCATTTTTGGAGATGATTGGGCAGGTGGTGAGTTGAGAGTAATGGCTCTTAATATCATTTTGAAGGTAACTAGCTAAGGGTCAACTTCCTCCTACTGAATTCTTGAATGATGTCGAATATGTGTATTTTTCATTTTTTTTATACTTTTTCTTTACGTTACTACTTCGCAGAAAATGTAAATCTTGACTCAATCTGATCTCAGTCTGATCAGAAGTTACATTTTCCTTATTTTTTACGTATAGATCATAGTATCAACATTACAATTCTTTTATTTAATCAATGTTGCGCTTAAAAAAACGCGATGAATTTCAAAGAATGTGCATTCATTATTCCATGCATTATTTTTTATTTTAATTTTAAGTAGATTGGAAACTTTGCTGTGCATGAGCTTTTTGTGTGGTTTTAGATAAACGCTGGGATGAGTGACTACGAGGCATTGGCGGCTATTTTGCAAACAGTGTTAGAAAACAGTTCTTGCCCAGCCAAAATCGAGGTTCTGGAAATGGCCGTAGGACGACAACCAGAAGGCCTGTTGGCTCCGCGAGTCATGAAAATCCTTGAAGCAGAGCATCATATCGTAAGTTACTTTTGAGCAATGCAAGACCGTACGTCCGCATGAGAGTTGCCGAAAAAGTTATGGAGACCATCAAAGAAACTGTACAAAACACATTTAAAAGTGCAGTCCTCAGAAGAAGATCATTAGATATATTTCTACATCAGACTATATAATTATATCAGAGAGAGAACCATCGAAATATTCCAACATTGTTTCCTTTAGAAGGTGTATCATCATAACGTAAACTTGCTCACACCATTTTTCTAAAGAACTAATTTTTGAATTCAACATAGATACACTCTCAAACATTACAACGCAACATTACAAGTCTCTATCTTTTTTTTGGACATATTTAAAGCAAAAGGAACCATGTGCATTGGGACATCCGCCCTTTTAAGTATGTATCTTTCCGCGTTTTAGGACTCTCATCGCATACTACAAATAGTTCTTTTTTATTTAATTATGTCCATTATTTTGCTCTGAAAGTCAAAATTCAGAAGTAGGAAACGAGTTGTTGCAACATGGTCGAGAACGGATAAACGAAGGGTTTCACCGAGTCATTTTTCTTTCAAAAGAGGCTGAAAGTAATTGAACCATTCCAGATATATTTTAACTTGAGGTTTTTAATTTTAGGTTGACATGGACGTTGTAGCAAGTCAAGCTCAAATTTTTGACCGACTTTTAAAACCTTTGGGTATTAAAACCATAGAGGCTAACTCCAGACAAAACGGACTCGGTCAAAATTACCACCTGATAGTTGCAACTAACTATCTCAAGAATCCACAGGCCGTAGCAAACTTATTGGCAAGCGTTCGGCAAGGAGGTTTCATTTTACTGGAAGAATACAATCAAGTCAATGAGATTTCGGTCAAAAAAACTGGTTTAGAAATAATCTCTATGATTAGGACACGCAAAACAACTTATATCCTTCTCAGAGCCGTAAGTACACTATTTCATGACATGATAATGATAGAAGTATATGGCTCGTCTTTTTTTGTCATTTATAGGAGATCTAGTTTCTAGATCTAGATTGCAGTCAGTAAGTATTATTCAGCATTCAATCTAACGAAAGTATCGTTTTTCAGTATTCTCAGGAAAAAAATATGTCTAGAGCTTTTTAAAGAAGTGTTGACTAAGTGCCATTCCTTATTAGCAGTTAATAAACGTCAACCGCATATCTATCGTCCGACTCTGACGTAGTGAATTGAACCTTTTTAATTAAAATCTTTACTGTCATTTAATACTTTTCATTTCGCCTTGAACTTTCAGGAATTTTCCTCCTGTCTCTGGTTCCGTTTAGCAGAAATCCGTCCAATTTACAAGCTTTTACTATTAACTGCAGGGAATAGTTAAAGTTTCGGTTGGAGTATATTAAGCTATGATATTTTAAGTCAATCAGAGAAAATCAAGTCATGTCTGTGTTTTACTATTTCTCCGTATGGAGCATGAACAATTGGTCAGCCAAGAATTCGTACATTTTGTCTCTGAAGAATCCCTCATGAAGGATCTCACACATTATTTATTTTAATTTTCTCTCAGCCGGCGGAAATCAATTTACCAATCATAGTTCGCATAACGGAGGAGAACTTTTCGTGGGTGAATGATTTAAAAACCGCCATAGCACAGGCGGAAAAAGAGAAAAATGAAGTACTTCTGCTCGTTCAAAGCGAGCCGCTAAACGGTGTCATTGGAATGGCGAACTGTATTAAGGAGGAATACGGCGATGTGAAAGTTCGGTGAGTCTATCCATTTCAGATTTTATTAAGATGTTTTGTACCTTCAACACTACTGTTAAATAAAGACCCATGCCGGAAGAAAACCACGTAGGCTCATATTGTGGAAGATTCATTCTTTTTTTACTTAAACGGAGACAAATAAATTTCTATAGAACCCCTGAGTTAAGGTAGAATCGTGAAAAGCTACTTCAATATGATTCTCGACAGTTTTAGGGATAAACCATGGGTGCAGCTAGTGCAGGGCATTTTTTACAAGAGAACGTCTGTGCGGATTTCTTTGAAAATGTTAAAGACTTTGCTTCATATAATATGCAGAAAATTCACTGACATTTGCAGAATAATCCTCAGAACCGTTCTCATGTAAAAAACAGAATTGCCCAATTAAATTTGGCAATAGCTGATGTGGCTTGCTTATTCCTTTTTGCTTGACACGGTTCACTTGTTGACTGCTTACTATTACTTTCAGTTCCGTGTTCGTTCAAAATGCTGATGAACCAAAATTGTCATTATCCTCGGATTTGTACCGTAATCAACTGAAAAAAGGACTGATTCACAATGTCTTTAAAAATAAACAATGGGGATGTTACCGTCACCTGGTGCTTGATACTGAATCCAATTCGACAACTGTGAACGTGGAGCATGCTTACATTCAAGCACATGTCTTGGGTGACCTGTCCACTCTGAAATGGACCGAGGGTCCATTAACTCTCTACAGGTTAGTTTACAATTAAAGGTGAATTCTATTTTCTGTTCTGTCCTCTTATTTTTGCACTTTTGAACCCTATGAGAGGTCCATTGCACAACTTTTGGATCTTCTCAGAGAATAAGGTTTTTACTAAAAAAAAAAAATGGAATGGACCTCTTTCTCCGCCTCATTTCCAGAAATTAAAGTTTTTCGCGAATTATCGTCAATATAGTATAATAAGATAATTAATAGAATCCGAAACATGAAATAAAGATTTTTTTTTTAAAAATCCGAGTAAAATTAAGTTTCAGTAATTCACAAAAAAAAACCAACCTTTAACACGTAACAAATAGGCTACAAGCATAAAAGTTCAAATTTTTGTTGTGCAATTTTTAACGAGCAAAATTATGGCTACTTTCAGATTATTTTTAATGAATACTTTGAAACAATGGTTCGAAACTTCATTAAGTTCCTTCCTCTTGTCTTTTCTCCAATCGTGCAATTCCTTCCATTACTTAACGACCAAAATGTCTTCGCCATAGACTCGTTTGTACGTTTTTGTTGTATTGGTTATTTCAAAATTTGAAATCGAATATTCCCGCCCAGTTTCACAGAATAACTTGTATTTATCAATCAATCTCGACCTCATAGATAAATTGTTTCCACCAGACCAAATTCGAATGTGAATTCTGAGCTTTGCCACGTGTATTATGCTCCACTGAACTTCCGTGATATCATGCTGGCCTCAGGGAAGTTACCCCCGGACGCTTTGCCTGGAAATCTGGCCGAGGAAGAATGTATTCTGGGTCTGGAGTTCGCGGGTCGAGACTCGAAAGGACGTCGCGTTATGGGTATGGTCCCTGCACAAGGCTTGGCCACTACGGTGGTCGTTGACCCGACTTTCCTATGGGAGGTTCCAGAAAAATGGAGCCTTGAAGAGGCTTCGACAATACCCGTCATCTACTCCACCGTAAGTAAGGAATAAGAAAATAAAAGTTTGAGGGCTGAGTTCATTTTATTGGATTTATTTGTAGCACGCGGCTTCCTATTTATCTTGGTTTTTGTTTTGTTTCCGGTGAAATTTTACTAACGTCAAGTTGGCGGCAATGCATTTCGAAATGCTACTGTTTTTTCTTAAGTCTCTCAGTTCATTCGAAAATTCTGCATCGCCCTATCAGTAATAAAAAAGCATACGGTCGTGGCCAATCGCGAGTTTTTTCGTGCTTGTTTAGATGGTGCTGAGTCTTTACACGAACTAATAGACCTAAAAAAGAAGTAGCCCTTTTCAATACATTGTTACCAACTTTAAGCCGCTACGAAAAAAAAATCGGGATGAAAAATAAAATGGAACAAAGGTGACCGTCGCTAAGCATAAACATAGTAGTGAAAAATATGTTGTTCTACTTGAATTTTTGTATTCAGAGGAATATCAAAATAGTCAAAAAAAATTATTTTTTGCAGTATTCAATGGATGTTCTCCTTAATTCAAACAGAATTTTCATACTAATGTCCTCATCTTTTGGGATAAGTCACAGAGACCAACATTTTCCAGCTGATTGCAAAATAGGCTTCTCGCAAATCCCAAAGAAGTTATTGGCTTTTACCTTTAAACCCTTGCGTTTAAGTTCTTGGTTTGTTTTCAATAGATCCGGTCCATCAAAGGTCAAATTTTCCTCTGCAGTGCATCATTGAATAAGTATGAGGATACACGTAGTAAAATTCACAAAAAATAGACTTCTCTCACTGGAAAAATGCTAATGATTTACCTAATGATTTACCTGCTGATGACTACCTTGATGTACCTAATGATTTACCTATCAATATTGCCTAGCAAAGGTAGGATCAAAACTGACAAATATTCTTATTTGGGTACCTCTCACCGCATAATTAGAGAATGATTATTTCTATACAACACGTAAAGGTACACGAAAATGTATGTATTATTTCCAGGTTTACTATGCAATTGTTGTCAGAGGGCGTTTGAAACCTGGTGAATCAATACTCATTCATGCAGGTGCTGGTGGTATCGGTCAAGCTGCCATTTCTGTCGCGTTGCATATGGGGTGCACGGTATTTACGACCGTGGGTTCGGTGAAAAAACGGGAGTACTTGAAGAGAACGTTTCCTTCGGTAAGTTTAAATTAGTTCATCGCGTGAATTGTTGAAAGAACTAAAAGATACTGAAATATAGACATGATAGAATCAAATTAAATGAAACCATGACCGTAGACTCATTCAGTGAGCTTTCGGTGGTAGAGCAGTGCGGTCCGAAGGTGGTAATCAAACATCGTTTCTCTTTGCTTTGGCTCGAGCAAAAATGAATCGATCAGTTACAAAACGGCTCAAGCGCCAAAAATGAGAATTCGAGAAAAATGGTAAGAACTTTTTTAATTGACCCCTTATAAATCCCAGAGCTCTAAAACATTAAAGCTATGTATTAATTAATTCCATTATTAATGAATCTGCAATTTAAAACGGGTTGGTTCATACAGTTTCTTCTGTTTTTCTCGTATTTTTACTTCTGGCGCTTGAGCCGTTTTGTAACTGACCGATTCAAATGTCAAAGCGCCTTCCATTGTCAGAATGCAATGCAAACGGCTGTTGGTAGTGTTAGGTCCGAATGGTTGTACATTGGTGCCCTCCCAATGAAACCGGAGTGGACTTATTTTACATTCATTAAACACAAGAAAAAAATCGATTTCCAATAAAATCTCATAAGTCTAGAGTGTTTTTGTAAACACAAAACAAAGGCTTGGCAGGGTTGTAAGGATTTACTAATCAGTACTGGTTATAATTATGTAAGTTAACTTCTTCATGGTTGTAAATATATGTGCATTTTTTAAAGGAACTTTAGAAAATGAGGGAATAAGAAACTATTAATTTATTTTATATTGCTGTTATATCATTTTAGTATGATTAATATACATGATTAGGTGAAATATGTGTAAGTTTCTGAATGGCTGAACCTCGATTGTTGATTGTAGTAAAAGTACCAATTTTGAAGTCTATCGCGAATATGATCTTGAAATTTACATATATTGGGGAAAGATGAAGCTGGAATCAAATTTGGATTTTTCTTCACTTCATGACTTCACAGCCCAATTAATTATGAGCTCGAAATAACACGAACTAGAATAATTTGAACGATTATGATAGTATCAATAAATTATGATATGTATCAGTACAATAATTCTAACCATCTATTTCCAGTTGACTGATAAAAGTTTCGCAAACTCTCGAAACTCAAGTTTTGAACAGCATATCAGGGCTGAGACGAAAGGTCGCGGGGTGGACCTTGTTCTAAATTCACTCGCTGGAGAAATGTTACTTGCTTCCGTGCGTTGTCTAGCCAAAGATGGAAGATTCTGCGAAATCGGAAAACTTGATCTCTCCAATAACACACCTTTAGGTATATTACGAATAATTTTTTGGGTACATGCTAGGTCGAGTGCAGAGGCGGATCCAGCAATTTGGCAACACCGGATTCTCTCCATTTAAACCTATGCTAAATGATCGATTCTTGTCGGAGCGTCTGGCCCCTCCAAGAATCGATACATTTCCATAGGTTTATATGGAGGAAAGACAATGTTGCCAAGTTGCTGGATCCGCCAATGGTCGAGTGACGTACTTTACAAAAAATGTAAAAGAAATCAAGCCGACGTTTACTGAAATATTCATGAATATTTGTTAAATTCAAATTTCGTTGATTTAAATTTTAACAATACTTTCAAGAATATTACGCCTGCTCTCCGTTTTCTTCCCTTTTCTCTCTTCCTACATTCTTTAACCCCTCACCGTATCCTTCCCTTTGGCATCTCGCTGGGACTCCTTAATATGTATATTTTCTATGATGATATGATGAAAATAATTTACTCATGATTCACAATTCATGTTAATGTAAGATACATACATGAATCGCTTTTATAGCGCTCTTTGGCGCTCTGCAACGCCTAATCGCCACAAAACTCGGTCTTCCCACAATCGATCAGGGAATTGACACTCCTTCATCTCATTTAAAACCTCCTGTCACCACCCTCTTACTGGGCGTCCCCTTCGTCTCCTCCCAGGAGGAACCCAATCAAGCACCTTCTTTGGCAGCCTCTCTTTCGTCATCCTATTAATATGACCGAATAATGTTAATGTAATCGGCCATGTTAATGTGACATTTTGTTTATTTTATTTTTTAACAGTAGACGAAAACATGTTCTATCATGTGTTTTATGCTCTTTGTTGGTCTGGTCTATCGGGAAATCATTTCTATTCGGTAAAAAACACTTTTTTTCTTTTTATTCAGGCATGTCAATTTTTTTGAAAAACATAACTTTCCATGGAATTCTTCTGGACTCCTTGTTTGATGTCAATAGTAACAACGAGGAGAAACACGAGGTTGTCAGGTTGGTGAGCGATGGACTCATGAATGGAGCCATCCGACCTCTTCCAGTCACTCTTTTCAACAAAAACGAAGTCGAGCAGGCTTTTCGGTAATTATTTTTATTATTTAGTATATATCGTTTATTTTATTCATTATTGCCTTCTAAAATGTTTAAATACAACTAAAAATGTATGCTTTTCTGTTTGTCTCTTTTTTTCATCGCCACATTGTGTTAAAGCCATTCGTGCATGCTGAAATTTCCTCGTTTATCAAGATCAATTGAGGGGCTTGGAAGACAATAAGGCGCATAAGTGTAGTTTTTGCAACTTCGAGAGATACGTGTTACAAGTTTCGAAATTACACGAATCTTTTGGCGGAGAGAAAGTTAAACTGACTTTTTGATGCTGAACAATTGAATTTGGGAACGGCTTTGTCACAGTGTATGCATTAAGTAAGACTAGTTTTACTTGCAATCATTCACTGGAAGAAAAACACATTGTATCTAGAGTCCAGACTCTTGAAAACATTGACAAGAAAAAGGATTCTTGATTCAATCAGATTTAAGCTTATATCAAAAGGATATCCGCTCAAATGAAGAAGCTTGGTTCTTGATTTAAGCTTAAATGTGATTGAATCAAGAGTATTTTTTCTTGTCGATATTTTTAAGAGTCTGGACTCTAGATACAATGTGATTTTTTTTCCAGTGTCAATATCTCAATTTTTTCAAAAATTGCACTCATGCGCCTTGTCCTCCAAGCCCCTCAAGTGCAAATTTATGAGTTTTGCCTCTATTTTTGGAGTTTCTGATCAAGCTACGAAATGATCAGAATATTTAAGTATTCACGTTGAAAATGTTTTTGTTGACATTTTATTACATATTACATTATTTAATCTCAATTCTAAACCCTTCAATTCATATCCAATAATACAAAATTGTTTTGCAGATTTATTGCGACGGGTGCGCACATTGGTAAAGTTGTTTTGAAAATCCGAAGTGAGGAATCCAGAGAAACACTACCTGCCACGCCGAAATTCGTCCCCGCTATTCCGAGAACTTATATTAAAGCTGAAAAATCTTACTTGCTCGTCGGTGAGAATTATTCAACCATAATCACGATTAACAAAAATCAATCAAATTTCTAAATTTTGGTATCAGTTATATGAACACTGGAAAAAAACACATTGGATCTAGAGTCCAGACTCTTGAAAACATTGACAAGAAAAAATACTCTTGATTCAATCGGATTTTTGCTTGAATCAAAACGAAATCCGCTTAAATTAAGAGGCTTGTTCCTTGATTTAAGCTAGATTCTGATTGAATCAAGAGTACTTTTTCTTGTCGATGTTTTTAAAAGTCTGGACTCTGGATCCAATGTGCTTTTTTTCCAGTGAAAAGCAGAAATTAAAAGTTCTAACAGGCTACAAAAATTTTAGTTTCTTTTTTTTGCCGTTCGTTAAAGTCTCCGAAAATATTTATTCTGCTAGCCAACAGACTGATGCTTTCCTTTTACAGCTGTTGAGCTTTATAGAGGGACGATGGGTATAGCTGAGAGAATAGCTGAGTAAAGCTGGGGTAGATGAGTGGGGGTAGCTGAGTAGCTGGGGGTGACACCCCCATCCCTCTTCCCTAAAGATGTTCGACTTGGTGGTTAAAAACGTTCACTCAATTATTGTGAGAGCTATAATCTCAATCAAAAGTATTCATACATAATCAATTCAATTCTTTCTCATTATCAGGTGGCCTCGGAGGGTTTGGTTTGGAACTAACCAACTGGTTAATAGAGCGAGGAGCCACTAAAGTTGTCTTGACCTCCCGAAGAGGTATACGCAATGGTTATCAATCTTTGTGCATTCGCAAGTGGAAATCACGGGGTATACAAGTTCTCCTATCTACGTTAGATTGCTCTACTGTTGCTGGTACTGCCCAGCTTCTAGAAGAAACCTCAAAGTTAGGTCCAGTTGGTGGAATCTTTAACTTGGCTGCAGTAAGTAAAAATACGATACATCATTACGATAATATATTGTCATCTAGAAAAGTAGCATCCATACCGCATAAATATCTGATAAACTGAAGAAGCCCGGGGAATAATTTGTGTGAAATTGCTTATTTTACTTCTAAATTGTCTTAGACCTCTTAAGACCGGCGCTTCACTGTAAATATGGAGTAATAAAGAACATGAAAAATAGGAGAGAAAATTTAAAAAAGCGAGAAGAAGAACACCACAACATAAAAACAAAACACATGGTGCAGATTGTGAAAAGTTATCCATCCAAAAACATACAATTACTGTCCTCCAAAAACTCTTATAGGAGCTTTAAATAATGAGTAAACATATTGGAAGACGTCATCCACTTGAGGTTAGCCTTCAATTTTGCCACATAGGCAACAGACATACCGAGGAGCCCAAATAGTTATGTATTTGAAAAACATAGTTAACTATATCGCTCCATGACCTAGAGATGCATAGCGTGGCCTCGCTTGGGTACACTGTTTAGAGGGGCTTAGGGCTAGGGTGCATATTTTCTTGAGACACTAACGGCAGTAATCGCTTACTTCTCTGATTTTTTTAATCATGTTTTTCCCTCTCTTTTTATTGGCCCATACACACCTTGCAAGCCATCATGAATTGGGACGAGTTTAATATACATCAAAAACATTACTAGCCTTTTCTCACACGAGTGATTATTTTTCAATAAATTTAATTTTTTTTCAATCGCTTTGATTTTTAAGGTTCTGAGTGATGCTCTCTTACAAAATCAAACCCCGACCAGCTTTGAAAAAGTTGCTGCACCAAAGATCAATGGAACGAAGAACTTAGACAACGTTTCCAGAAAAATGTGCTCTGATTTGGACTACTTCGTTGTTTTCTCATCCTGCAGTTCTGGGCGTGGCAACTCCGGTCAAACCAACTACGGTTACGCTAACTCTGCAATGGAGAGAATATGTGAAGCAAGACAGGAAGTTGGCTTGCCGGGGGTAAGTTAACAACGATTCTTCATGGCTGCATCTCCTCCTTTTTCGGAAAAGTTGTTCCTAATTTGTAACAAGTAGCAAAAGCAGAAATTAAAAGTTCCAGCAGGCTACAAAAATGTCATTTTGTTTTTGTTGCCGTTCGTTAAAGTCTCCGGAAATACATGTATATTCTGCTAGCCAACAGACTGATGCTTCCGTCTTACAGCTGTTGAGCTTTAGAGAGGAACGATGAGTATAGCTGAGAGTAATAGATGGGTAACACCCCCATCCCTCTCCCCTAAAGATGTTCGACTTGGTGGTTAAAAACGTTCACTCAATTATTAATTGTAAGTGCATGTAATCTCAATGGAAAGTATTCATACCTAATCAATTATTATCAATTAAGTTGTTCCTAATTTGTAACAAGTAGCAAACTTTAACACAGTGTATTGAAAAGGCGCATCATCGATTTGTTCATAAATATTATTTGTGTTTGAATTTACATCAATTATGATTAGGTAAAGAAAATATCACACGGGGAAATGCATAGCATTTAGAAATAGCCTGTCATTGAAAAGTCCTACTTGCCCCTTTTTTGGAGAAGTTTATGATTATAGAGTACCTGTATGGGGACAGTACGGACATTCCAGTAATTTTTAGGGTTATGTCATGGAGCTCATAGGGCCAAAAAGTGCAGCCAACCTATGAACTCGGGTTGTCTTTGTCTAAAATGATTAATGATAACAATTTATTGCTACAACCCATAGTTTCTAAAGCACGTATACTTGACTTAAAATTTGAGATTCACTCATTTTTGCGGAAAGATGCTCGCGTTTATACACATTCTTGGTCACTTTGCTTTGATTTTGAAATCTATAGATCGGCAGCGGTATTTTTCTGTAGTATCTTCCGTGTTAGGAGGCTGCCTGCTCTTTTGGGCCTTGAGAGCTCAATATCCCGATATTTTCGTGCTTTTTCCATGAGGGTACTCCACTTATGATGGGATAATCCTCCGGTGAAAGTCTTACTCGAATTCAAATTTCATTTTGGTAACACAGCGTTGCGAAGTTTACATTTTTATACCATTGAAAAATGTCGATAGTTTGACGTTCTTTGGTTGAATGAACAACCTCATTTGGATTACATTTCGCAATAAGGAACCACTATTCCTGGCTCATTTTAGAAACAACATTGGTTTCCCTATGCAGGTGCGTGCTTTTCCTTTCATGGGAGAGCCAGAGATAGTGGTTCCTTATTGCAAAATGTAATCTAGTTGATACCTTTTTATTTCCTGAGGTACCTAGTACAGTAACACCACATGAATTGCATTTTGCAAAAAGGAACCAGGAGCATAGCAATGTTGCTGAGATTGAGCAACTTCTTTTGTCTTGGAAGAAAAACCTGATTATCCATTTACAGTCTCTATTTTACTCGCTAAAAACTGTAAATTTAAGACAAAAATTACCCTGTAACATATTTTTTCATGGGTTTAGTAATTTCATTGCAAAGGATGAAAATGCACAATCTTAGCATCATTGCAATTCTTCTGGTTCCTTTTTGTAAAATGAAATCCACATCATGAAAATGCCGATTTTTTAAAGCGCCTTGGTTGAAAAATCGACTTCTTTTCATTTGCTCACGGTACAGCTAGCCATCCAGTGGGGACCTATTGGTGATGTGGGTCTGATATTCGACTCTCTCGGGAGAGAGAACGACACCGTGATCGCAGGACTTTTGCCTCAGAGGATGTCATCGTGTCTCGCTGTACTAGATAATTTCCTCCAACAGCCTTATCCTGTGTTAGCATCATCCGTTGCCGCAGAAAAGAAAGGAGCCACCGCCGATGACAGCCAAGTTCCTTTGACAAATGCAGTAGCTAACGCCATTGGTAAGACTCACTTTATTCGAACGTCCTAACTTGACTTTATACCATCCCGCCGAGGAAGAACACAGTGTCGATGATAATTTAGGCTTTCATAGAAAATTTCTTTAACCTTAGTTCGATTACATGGTGTGTCATGGACCGGTCTTATGTAATTTTTGTTTTTTATGCGTTTATATTTCAATTTTTTTTTTTTTTTTTCATTCATAAGAAAATACAGTTATTATTTGTACAATTATATAATAACTTTAGACCTGCGTGATGTCCTTTATAGTAAGTAATTAATCAATCAAGGAAAAAAATCACATTATATAGTCAACTTAACTTATGTACTTCTCATGGTACCGGGACCGGCCCCGGCCGTGCGGCCATTACATCGCTTTAAGAGGGGGTCTGAATTCTTCCGTTTGTCACTTTATTCCTAGCTTCTAGAGTTAGTCTTATGATATTTCAATATATTGACGGTGAAATTACCGAACCACGTATCGCGGTGTTTCAAAATCTCTGTGCCTATTATATTATTTTGAGGGAAAACAAATCAAACTTTCTCCGTGAAGTTTTCATAGAATTGAATTGAATTATTGATCTATTATGCTCCTTTTTTAAAATTTAACAAAATGATTTAGGGATTTTTAAAATAAGTTTTGCACAAGGTATAAAAAGGAAAATAACACAATAAAACCACCCACTAGGGTTAGACCTTGTGTCAGATGGGGTGTTCGGAAGAAATGTGCCTCACCTCGGCGATATTTTGCAAGTTAATTTCATTTTTGTTTCAGGTATAAATGATCCGAAAACGGTCAACATGAACACATCTTTAGCTGACATGGGGCTGGACTCCTTAATGGAATCTGAGGTCAAAAACATCCTTGAATACAAGTACTCTGTGATAATAAGTGCTCAAGAAATCCGTAGACTCACCTTTGAAAAATTGCTGGAGCTTCAAGCTAAAAATTCTTCATAGCTCGATGGGAATGGATAGATGCTATTGAATCTCATAGGTGTCATTAAATAATTACGTAACGCACTTGGATCTATGAGGTCTACAGTGTTTTATACGTTCGGTCTTAAAAGGGTCTCAGGAGAGGGTTAAGCCCAGAGTTCCGAACGTAATACGTCCAAAGATGATTTAAATTAATAATTGATCCAAAAGTAATTTTTGACGAATAAAATATTTTTGTAAAGAATTTTGTAAAATTGAAGGGCGGGCTTCTTCCCTTAACGATCGAAAAGTTTCTACCAAGCAATAAGAATTTTCTTAAGCGGTGGCTGCTTCACGGGTGTCGAGAGGGTATAAAAATCATTAAACGAATTTTCTTTTTCCCATGCGCCGTATACCCAAAAAAAGTTTAGAGGCCACAAGTAAGGAAAAAAATCTATCAAACAATGTTTTAAGATAGATACATATGATGGTAAAAAGGTATTTTCTGCTTCGAATAAGTACAGTTTTCATATCTCAAAAAGAGTTGGGTGTTCCTCTCTTTGAACAACGGATTGCTTGACTGTAGAAAAGAGCCAGCCAAAGTTCACTTACTAACTAATTAATAAAGTAATTTATTAAAAGTAAGTTCCGAAGAGTTTTTTTTTTCATCTCCTCTCCGTCATCTTGTGCACACTATGGCTTTTGAAATTTGAGTTTGACTTCAATCTTTTTACGTCGGGCAAAAAATGTCTGTGGTACAAGCAAGAAAAATGTCGGTCCTTTTCCCGTGTGAGTGTCTTTTTGTGATGTATATCAGTTTTGTAACTTACAATACGACCAAGTGGACCAACTGTTGAAATAGTTAAAGCTCTTTGTGAACTTCTCTACCTAAGGAAGTGATACTCAACGACGAAAAAACTATTCATTTTTCGTTTATAAATCAACTGAACTTCCGTGGGCCGTTTCTCTTGTTGCGGATAATGCGACGTCAAACCTCTGAAGAATGCAGACCATTTCATTTTCATTGAACGACGGTTCAATAATAATCCTGATCTTTTATCATAGATCAATTGCAAACTTATTCTAAAGAAAATAAAAGAAAAGAATTCAAAGTTTCTTTTAAACCGTCGTAGATGTTATAACTGGTAATCAATTATCTCCCCTATGATTTTTTCTCGCCTACGTAATAATTAAAGTTGGGTCAATCTAATCAATTATGCACATGCTTATGTGACGTTCCATGTGAATGCACCCTACTGCGCACTTATCTTCACTCAAAACGTATTTCAATTACCTGTTTGATTGCCGTGGGTTAATTTTTTACAGTATGACGCATGTTTCTTTTGATGCTGTGAATTATGTTATTATATAAAGGATTTAGCATTTATTCATCAATGATTATATTGATTGTCAATTTGTGGCTATGTTATAGTAGAGGAAACCCTAAAGAAGAATCATTCTTCTGTAACTTGGCAATGCTTTTGGGCGCAATCACCAGAGAGTGTATAGCTAGGAGCTACGGACTCATTTAGTCATGACGTCATGAAATTATTGCTTACTCTTACGACAACACCATTTTCAGTCCCAAACAGTAATCAACTGCCTTTCTGGTACTTTTTTGCTCCGTGCGTATTGTTAATCTTCTCAAATTCCAAATTCCGGTAAAAAAGCGTTTTCCGTCAAATTTTTTTCAGGCGTTTTCTTGTGTAGTTTTACGCTGGTATCAAAATAATGAAACATCCAAGAAAGTACTAGTGGCGTGGCGTGAATGATCGATTATCTATATTTCCCCATTTAAAGCTGTGGTAAAGAATCGATTAGTAAATTGTTCATTGCGAACATCCTGTTAATCGATTTTTTCCATAGGTTTAAATGGTAGATGGATCGATATATCGCAAAGCACGCCACGCCACTGTATTGTACCGCATATCTGGGAGAGGGAGGAGGCGGCAAAATTTTTTTGGCTCCGGGTGGCAAAAACCTAAATTAGGCTCTGAGCAACTTTGATTATATTTCAAAACTTTGTAGAGAGTGGGCGACCCAGCACAGGTTATTACCCACAACTATCCCTTAAAAGTCGAAAATAATAAAATTCGGTCCTAGTGCTGCCGTGCTAAGGAAGAACGCCGTATGAGCCTTCAGACGTTGCCAAGTTTCTTCCAATAAAAACCGAATTTATGGGGAAAATTGTGAATATTATTTTCCAAAATTTTCAGACAATTTCGTGCGCAATTTTATCCAAAACGTGAAAATTTCAAAGAAAAATGTGCATGAATGTAGGTAGTCAAAAATACATGTTTTATCGGAGGAAATTTGGCAACTCTCGAATATTCATATACAGCGTTCTTCCATAGCACGGCAGAGTGGGTATCCACATTGACCTATGCTGCCATGCTAAGCAAGAACGCCGTAAATCCATCAAAATTTTCCCGCGTTTTTTGGAACTTAGCACTTTATAGAATAAAAACCGTTTTACCCATGCACTTCGAAATTTCAGGTTAAGTGCTTGATAGTAATTGCGAAAGAATTCTGTAAAAATCTTGTCCCGAAGTCCACAAGTTTTTCTGCTATTATAAATTTTTTCCCAAATATTTGAAATAGCATTTACGGCGTTTTTGTGTTGCACGACAGTAACATAAACGAAAGTATGGAAAGTGAGAGAGCTTCCATTATCACGAAAACGATCCGAACTAACGAGTGATCGAAGAGCCGCACAGTGGGCCGAGTCAGTAGGAGAGGTTGGACATAATTTGGAAACTTTTAAAGCTTATGACTCCGTTTTTACACAATTTTGAGGTTCTGAAAGTGGTTTCATTGGTTTCCTCGTAAAATTTTCTCTCAGAGGCACCCCTTAAACTCTAAAATTTGACGAATTAAACGTGAAAATTTGCAGTTTTAGTTGAAAATTTCATGTCCGGCCCCGCTAATTGACTCCATCCACTGTGAGCCGTTCCAACGTGAGAATAAGGAAAATCCTACGGGTGTCCTCATTGCGTGTCCTTCCTGACGTAAGGACATAACTATACTCTGAAATGAACCCTGTTGCCTGTGCAATCCAGTATTTTCCCGGGCTCATTTTGACGTGTAGTCTCGCCTTTTCCTCAGCCGGTTGACGATGTGTTGCATGTGTTGCGGTGCCAAGGGCAATCCGCAAGGTAACGTGAGGCGTTCGATGCCGATACGGAGAGGAACTCGTTGTCAGTTACGTTGCTTAAGACCGTTTTCACACCATACCGGCTTTACAGTTTTAGTGTGTTTCGTTCTTCTACTTACAGACAAAATTATAGTATCACTGAAAAAAAAAAAGTTCGGTCGTATGTAGCAAAGTTCGGTGCTCCATATCAACCCAACTAATTCGGGTCGTCAAACTGAATTTTCGGTTTATCAAACTGAACTTTCGAACATTCGGCATACATGGCAAAACTTAATTCGTCAGTTCACTTTACCGCACGAGTTCGGTTACACGAACCGAAAGTTCAGTTTGGCAAACCGAATATTTGGGATGATATAGAACACCAAATGTTCGGTTCACATGATCAATATTTTTTCAGTGTAGTAATAAAACCGCATGTTTGAAAGTTCACGTGAATAGTCAGAAGATTGGAAGTTATAGTTGGAGGCCAAGTTTAAGTTACGCTAAGGTCAGCGTAGATAAGATACTAACATTTCGATTCAAGTGGGTTCCCGGATTTTGTTGTCTGTTTTTTTTTTAGCTTTCTGTGAATGTGGTAAAAGCAAGAGCCTGATTTATCGCCTTTACAAAAGTGACGGTGGAACAAGTTGATTTTAACATGGAGAGAATGGAAAAAAGGAACTTGAGTTGTGAGTTGAATGATGAGGTCGTCATCGCGGGGTTCTCGGGTCGATTCCCTGAGTCCAGAAACGTCGAGGAATTCAAGAAGCATTTGTTCGATGGAACAGACATGGTCACGGAGGATGGAAGACGATGGCCCCCTGGTAAGTGCGACTGCTTTGTGTTTGGCAGAGAGTTCATCAGGAACCTTAGACTCACAAAAAGCTATTGTTAATTGAAACACGTTAAGCAGAAAGGAACCAAGCCATATCAGATATTGCTAAATTGAACTAGGCAATTAAATTTGTGACATGGAAACGGTTGTGCGTATTATTGTGAGGATTATTTGTGAAATTTCTGCGTAGAACGCAGCAAATTTCTGAAAATTTTCAAAAAAAATCCGCACAAACTTTCTCTTGTAAAATTTTGGTAATAGCTGACGTGGTTTAGTTTCTTTTTGCTAAAATTGGTCCAATTCATGTACCTACAGGATGGTGATCGATATGCTGCGTATGGCGGCAAAAATTGAGGTGGACGGTTTAAGTGTTTTGAGTTGTTCCTTCGAGTATGAAGAACTCGCGCTCACAAAAAAATCTCCACGAATCCGAATTGTACTTATCTCTGGGGAGGGGAGGGGGTCCGAAATGGGGTATTTTTGGGTTGCTCTTAACCGCAGCGCTTCAAATTAGTATGAGTGTGGAAAATAATTATATTTGATTTGATATATCATTAATGCCTAGGAGTGAGTGCACTTGATACTTTAAATTAAAATAAGAACTTTTTTAAGGAAATGTCCATTAATATCCTTGATTTTCCTCTCATTTTTGAATTGTGATTTCCATTTTTTTACCGAATGCACAGACTTTTCATAAAATTAGCCGTATATTTTGTAGGACTGTACGATCTTCCCTCTAGAACGGGGAAACTCCCAAGCCTGGAATTCTTCGATGCACCTTTCTTTGGCGTTCACCCGAAACAAGCGAGTGTAATGGATCCACAACTAAGGATCTTACTAGAATTGACCTATGAGTCTATAATAGACGCTGGTAAGTATATTTTCTCACTTGGTGAGTGTTTTAAATTATGCATAAATATGCACAAAAAAAAAAAAAAAAAAAAAAAAAAAAAAAAAAAAAAAAAAAACAATACAGATTGAGGACTGCTCTAATGGGCCAGTTGCGCTGGTCACAGAATCGTGTTTGGATGCTTGATTCTTGTAAATTAGCTAAGAATAATTAGATCTGCTCAAGCAGAAAATTTATACATTGAAAATACTTGATTTATGACGTCATCCACCGCGGTAGCACATAACATGTTAAGCACTACCGCGGTGGATGACGTCAAAAACACGACTTTTCGAAGGACGGTATCTCGGTTAATATTTAACGTAGAAAGTTGCTGTTTGGACGGATCTTCTTATTTTTAGCTAATCTACGAGAATCAAGCGTCAAAACAAGATTCTGTTACTAGCACAACTGGCTCGTTGGTGTCAAAGTTAGTTTGAGTTTCTCAGAGCGAATTGCGTATCATACTTTTCGTTGCTACATCAAACTAAGAGCGTAGTTCCAACTGACCAAGAGATGTGAAAAGCGTGAAGTGAAGCGGACTAAAGGTTTACCCAAACAGGCAAATTTTCATGATCGAATAGCATACGCTTTTTCTTAAATAAAATTTGGTTTACACCAACTTTAGCGCACAAAGCAGCCGGAAGGAGTCGAGGGCAGATGCCTATTGTTCCCAGATTTTTGGTCAACGATTAGGACGATTTAGTTTTGGATTCACTGTGGGAGGTCAATTCAAACTTTTAGAATATGAAATGCACTACTGCTAATGAGTCACATCTAAATTTTCCTCAAAGAGAATCACGTTTTGGTTTTTCACCGGATGGCATTTCCATACCATATAAGGAATTAGCTCATAGACTATTATCACGCACAACTCTAAAACAACAGGTATTATGAACCTAGTGTCATTTAATAATGGGAACACATCCTTTTCTGGATGAAATCAGGAATGAATGAAAACACAAGCAAATTTTTCTAACAACGGGCATTTTCCCATTTTACAACCGTGAGCGCAAGAATTTAGCTTCTATGATCTTTGTTGTAGGCGTAAATCCAGAGGAAGTTCGAGGTTCCAAAACAGGAGTTTTTATCGGAGCTTCCTTGAATGAGTCCTATGATTTATGGGCGAAGAATCGCAAAAGTCAAGATGGATACAGAGCGCTTGGTTGCACTAGAACAATGCTTGCCAACAGAATATCTTTTACATTTGATTTTCAAGGTAAACAAAGGCAAAAACCTTATGAAGAATTTTTTTTGGTAAAATTTTTATACAGTATTGGTTTGGATATAATTGTGTTTTGGGATAGGACATCTAAAAAAAAATTTTCTATTATTGATTCATTCACCTGAAATTAATAATTGAAAGCGGACTGCTACACTAAACATTTTACGAACACCCATTCCCGGTGTTAGTGGGATCCAAAGAAAATTCGTCATCATTACGAGAGCAGCCAACTCTAAAAAATTCAACACCAACGAATACAAAAAAAATCAAATGCCACTTTGCTTTCTTGGCATGACTAAATGTGTATTATCATAATCGGTTCTTCAAGTAGTCAAAATTGCCAAATTTTATATTAGACATTTTATTTAATATATGCGTGGCGTGGGCAATTAGCGATCGCCGGCAACTTGCAAGCCGCTGGTCATAAATTTCATAAATCAGAGAAAAAGATTAGAGAACTGATTACTTTATCTTCAATTGGAATAGTCACTTTTCCGTTTGCGTGGCAGCAGGTGGCCTATTCATTTGAGTTTGCAGTGAAGGTGACTTTAGATGAGTTCGGGTCAAATAGGAAACTAAACTAACTGCGCGCCAAGCGTAAAGTATCACGGCAAAATGAAGGCGTTTCAAGACAAGATCGTGCTTGTAAAGACCATTAACAATACAAAATGCATTACACCCATGTGCATTATTTCGATTCATCGAAACATCGCTCCTATGTATACCGGCGATCGCTAAATGGCCCGCAACAGATCACAAAAGCACAAATGTTACATTTGAACGCAGAACGACAATATTGCTGTTCTTTTGATGGAAATTATTTTATGAGCCAACTCGTCATCGGTAGGTCAACTGGGTGTCGCTAACTTACAATGTTGCAAATGTGTATAGCGGCGCAGAGCGCTGGCGTTAGATGATTTGCTATTTACTCAACCAATTCACTTACCAGCTATTTGGCTCACCAGACAAATAATAACTCTTTAAATATGTTCTGCGTTTAAAATTTCAGGGCCTAGTTATACGGTTGATACGGCTTGCTCTAGTAGTATGTTTGCATTGCAGCAAGCTGTGAGTGCAATTCGTGGTGGTCAATGTGACGCCGCCATAATCGGGGGCGTAAATCTGTTGCTGAATCCTGAAACTTCATTGCTGTTGAAGAACTTGAATGTATTGTCCCCAAGCGGGAAAAGTAACTCATTTGATGCAGCTGGTGCGTTGGTTATTCTTACTTATCAGATAACAAAAGAAAATTATTACCGAAACTGTGCAACAAAAAGCACATAAGATATTTGAATTAGTTGTAGTTATTTTTCGAATATTAATAATTTTTCGCATGTACTATATCCATCATAAATGTTACAAAGCACCTGATGGTTGAATGAAACGAATGCATTTTTACAAGATAAAATTATAAGAACATGAGATACAAGACTGAAAAACTAATATTTAATATTGATACGTTTTGACTGAATAATACTATCAAAATCTAGATAAAAATCCAATTAAGTAATTATGCGTATGGACAGGATCAGAGAATGATACCTAGAACTATGCCTAGACCTATAGAACGAGACCTACAAGGCAAACACACACAAAGAGATTAAGTTATATTCCTCGAGTAGTTTACTATTTGCACTCTTTGGCTGACGTGTTGCCTATCCAGTCGAGTTGAAGGCTATTTTCAAGGCTTAACAAGTGCAGTGAAGCAATAAAAAGACTGTCTCTTGTAAACACACACATACATCAATTGGATGTGTTTATGCTAAAAGGAACTATGTTACATGCAATCCCTATGCACATAGTTCCTTTTAGCATAAATACGTCCAATTCTTGCTCCTCGACAATGCTCAGTATCGACGGAAAAAATGTTTGAATAGGTTTAATTATTATCATTTGGTCTATTCAAAGCATTGATAAAGTAAAAATTACACATATAAGTTCCAACAAAACTGAAATTTAAGAATATAATATCTTGGACGATGAAATTTAATTTTTCACCCTGAAGCTCAATCAATTTTATTGTTTTGGGCTTAGCCTAAAATATTTTGATCTTACTTTAATTATTAAAAAAAAAAAACTGGTAAGAGAATTGAGAATGGAAGAGACCAAAGTCAGATCTGAAAGGTATGATTTAAATAAAAATCTTACCTCATATCCACAGTCATTTTATAGTTCTTATACCTTTCTCATTAGCGAACGGTTACGCGCAAAGTGAGGCTGCAGTCGTCATGTATCTACAACGGGCGAGTGCTGCCAAGCGATTGTATGCCACAGTTGTCCACGCAAAAACGAACAATGATGGTTACAAAGACCAAGGCATTACTTTTCCGTCTGGGAGTTTGCAAAAGGCTTTAATTGAGAGCACATTCTCGGAAGCGGGTATGGACCCAAACAGCATTGTTTACCTGGAGGCCCACGCAACTGGCACCAAGGTACACTATGTTTATTATTCTCAGGTTCGGAACCGACAATCTATCTTGAAATTAATATTTTTTGATGTTTAATGGAAATATTGAATGGGAACTTGTTTATGGAGCTTGAGTCAATACCTTCTTCAGCCAAGGTCAGAGAGAATTCCTCAAAATTTCAAACTTCATGAAAATTCAAAATTGGCCGGGTCTTCAAACATATACTACCAAAATTTGATTCATGATACTGAGATTCTAGATAAATCTCCTTTATTCTTTACTTTACTCGAAAGTATTTGATTGTTCGAATAAGGTGTTGGGGCCTTAATCCCTAATTTAATTTAAAGATGAGAAAAGCTACCAAGAGCGCGCGGGCCTGGCTTCAGCTCCCTTGAGCTGGAGTTCCTAACTAACACCGGGCTCGAGCCGGGGTCCCTATTCTGCAGTTCACCGGGCTAGCCGGGGTCCCTAAACTACTCTCCGGGCGAGCCGGGGTCCCTATCTAAACTTCTCCGGGCTAACCGGGGCTTACAAACTAATACACCGGGCGTACCGGGGAATTACCTGTGACGCCGGGCGTACCGGGGAAACCTTACCTTGTGAGCACTGAATTGCCGGGCGCACCTTGGAGCTGTGGAGCCGTAGACTGCTGCTAGCTGAATGGCGATGAAATGGCACTTGTACTGGCGTGCACCCAGGACCTGGGTAAATCGGAATCCCGCGCCCGGCATAGGAAGTTGGAGAACAAAAAACACTTCTTAGAAAGGAACTTAAATACCTTTAACTTTGGAACCTTCTTAGCTTTATTTACAATTATTTACAACTGTGGGAACCAAAAAACTTATTATTTTCCTTTTCTAAACAAAATAAAATGACCTTAGTAAACTAAAAAACATCTTGGCGACGCGAGCGCTCTCTAGGGCAGCGCCGCTGAAGCTGGCCGCGGCCGGCGTCGCGGCGCGATTAGCCGTGCGCTAGACGGCCCGGCGCGGCAGCAGAGATTACGCGCTAGAGGCGCGTACATAAGGTGTCTTGGTGATCCTACAAAATATCCTGAGAAACACACAAAATCGGAAAATTGTCCTCATTTTTTTGACGTTACATCTCGTCACCTTACGGCCAAAGTATCACAAGCGCCATGGGAAGTTTAACCACCACCATTTGATTTTTTACAGAGAGATTATTGGTTGAATCTGTTTGAAAATTTCATTGAATTTTTCACGCGCTGCGGATGAAATTCAGTAAACTTCTCAAACAGATTCAACCAACGATCTCTCTGTAAAAAAATCAAAAGGGCGGCGGAAATTTGGAAACGTCGCATAGTGCTTGTGATACTTCGGCCGGAAGGTGACGATATTTCATACTATCAGTGAGTAGCAACCTGAGTATTGTACTTGCAGATGCTTTTTACTTTGAGCTTTCTATTTCATAGGTTGGAGACCCTGTGGAAATGAATACGGTTGCGGCCGTTTTTGCCGAAAACCGCGACTCACCTCTACTGATCGGATCCGTGAAATCAAACATGGGGCATGCGGAAGCCGCCTCCGGATTATGTTCCATTGCCAAAGTTCTCATCGCTATGGAGACTGGCGCTATCCCCGGAAATTTACATTTCAAGCAACCGAATCCGAACATCCCAGGACTTTTAGATGGGAGGCTGCAGGTTGTTGACAAACCATTGACTTGGGACGGAGGTCTCGTCGCAGTGAACTCTTTTGGTTTCGGTGGTGCGAATGCTCATGTCATCCTTCGGTCAAAAGAGACGTCCAAGCCAGTGCCCATCAGAGACACTCTCCCTCGCATAGTTGCTGTGTCCGGTCGAACAGAGGAGGCTGTGCTCTTTCAACTGGCAGAGATTGAAAAACTACCGAGGAACGATGAGTTTATCGGTTTGATCCACGGACTTTACAAGAAAACTATGCACAATCACGATTACAGAGGGTACACTGTGCTAGAATCGTATCCTCCCATGAGAGAGGTCAAGTCATGCCACGGTCAGAAACGGCCTGTCTGGTACGTGTTCCCCGGGATGGGAAGTCAGTGGGCCGGGATGACTAAATGAACGGAGTTTAACAGAAAGGAACCAAGCCACATCGGGATCGAACCGAGAAAAAGAGGTTTAAAGTTTAGCTCCTGCATAAGACTCGATATAAAAGATAAACTTCAAGTTCAATTTCTGCAAAATTTGCTCCAACAAAAACTTTGAATTTTTGGCGATAGATAGTAGAGCAGTGGTTCAGTTCAAAACCACCCATAACTCAATTTTTCTCAAAATGTGGATTGGTTCCTTTCTGCTTAACTCAGTCCAAATGTCTGATGGAATTTCAATTTTTTAAGCAGGCTATTTTAACGTGCGCTGACGTTCTCAGAGTTGAAAATTTTGATTTGATTGCGGTCCTAAATTCGGACGACGAGAGGACGTTTGAGAATCCCTTGAATTCTTTCGTTTCCATTGTTGCCGTACAAATTGGCCTGGTTGATATTCTGGCTTCGGTTGGAGTCGTTGCAGACGGTATGATCGGCCACTCTTTTGGGGAGCTCGGGTGTGCGTACGTGGATGGAGCCCTCACGGCTGAGCAAACTGTTCTTGCTGCTTATTGGAGAGGCCGTTCCATTGCGGACTCGCATGTTCCAAGCGGGAGTATGGCTGTTTTCGGTAAGATTAGAGTACCTGTATACGGGAGAGTATTGCCATCTCAATCCTATTACTACAGAAAAAGTGTGCCACTCTCTGATTGGTCGGCTATCATGGAACCCCAAAGTTGAACCGATGTAAACAAACCCCAGCCCAGCCGCTCCTAGGGCCCAATGTACACTGAAAAAAAAACTCTGGCCGTGGGAGCCGCAATTACGGGCTGTATAGACATACCGTCCGTTCCGGGCTCAAAGGCCGAAAATTCCGGCTGCTGAAGGCGTAGCTTCGATTGCTCCGGGTTCAGAAGCCGAAGCTACGGCTCCAGCAGCCGGAATTTTTGGCCTTTGAGCCTGGAACGGACGGTATGTCTATATAGCCCTTAATTGCGGCTCCCACGGTCGGAGTTTTTTTTCAAAGTAAACAAACAAGATGGCGGAAACGTTCTACAAAGTTCTAGACATGATTTGGGTGTAATAGAGATTTTTTCATATCCAACTTCTGAGCTGAGTTCGGATCGAAGTTTGATTAATATTTTTGCCGAAAATTAACCTTTGAGTGTTGATCATCATTAATTTCTAAGCCGATAATACGTGTTCCTCTGGGTCGGGTTTGTTTATATTGGTCCAGCTTTGGAGCTCCATGATAGCCTATAACTGATGAACCAATCAGAGGGCGGCACAGAGATGGCAATACTCTTCCGTACATAGGATAGGTACTCTAGGTAAGATAGGATTTTATAGTCAAAAACATATACCGAGTGCCTACGCTGGAAATGGGAGATGTAAGTACATAAGTTCATGGAATTGGCCAATAATAAGAGGGCTGAAAAAATAATCGGTGCATCCATTTTTAACGGAAGCATAGCACTCATCGGCAGACTGAATGACACAAAATTGGAAATATGCAAATAAATACCTTTAATTTCATAATAGAAAAGTCTCACATCAGAAAATCCATATTTCTGACTTCTTGAAGATGAAATTATCATTGCTGTGTGTTTGCTCAAGTAGCATCGAGAGATTACACCTAAAGAGATCATGCGCACCTACCATAACTTGTTGATTTTCCTGTATATGTTTTTAGTGTTTCATTCTTTTATATGGAGATTCTTTTCTAGTTATGGAGATATTACTTTTTCAAAAATAGTTTTATTTTCTGAATCAACTCATAACATGCAAATGTATTAATGTTTGGAAAACGGAAGAAACGAACCAGAACACAGATTTACTTAGTAGAAATTTACTTGTTTAAAAACATTGTCACAGATATGAGTGAACACATCAAAATCAATCCTAATTTAGTATAATAACATGATGTATCAACGGACAACCGTACAAAACTTTTTTCAGGAAGTAAGTTTAAGACGATGATGATGATACTTCGCTCCTGGTCTGATTGTGGAGCATTTTAAGTCTTCGTATCATATTAATTGATATTTATCTTATAGGTCTACCTTGGGAATGTGTTGCAAAGTATGCTCCTGCCGACATTTTTCCAAGTTGCAACAACTCTTCTGACAGTGTTACTGTATCTGGCCCACCAGCATCAGTCACTAACTTCATTAACGTTCTTAAATTAAGAGGGGTCTTCGTTAAGGAAATAAAGACCTGCGGTGTAGCTTTTCATTGCAAATATGTGGCGAATGCCGCCCCATACCTACAGATGAGTCTAGAAAAGGTACTATTTCAATCGATCCAACTTCAAACATTACACACAAATCTGACACAAATTTCATTACAGAAACTTTAAATATTTAATAAAAAAGTACATAAACATAGGTTACACCCACACCCGGGAATTTTCTGAGACTTCTTCCTAGATTACAAATGGACTTCATTTTGCAATCAGGAACTACAATATACGGCTCATTCCAAGAAATACTCATGTACACAGGGAAACTAATGGTACCTAAGGATTTTTTGGACTGATCCAAAAATTGTAATTCCGAATCGCAAAATGTATATAGTTCAAATAATGTACTTACATATTTTTAAGTCAGAGTTTTGCTTAATTGTCTGTTAAACAAATGAAAAGTAGAAACAATCAGGTAACGCTTGATGTAGTTTGGTTGCCTTTGTACAAATTCATTAAACACATCCTAGTATGGTGCATTTTCCTCGGAAAGAAAATTAAGAAGCCGCACCTGCAAAAGGACGTAAAGTCAAACGTTCCGTGGTATTTATATGCACGCAATGAGCTTCCTGATCAAACATTTGACTGATATGAATGTATCACTTTGTCCTTTAGATTATTCCAAAACCAAAACCGAGGACTTCTCGTTGGATTAGCTCTTCAATCCCCAAGAGTTCCTGGGATACGTCATTGGCTCAAACAGCATCACCTGCTTATTTTGTCAATAACCTGTTAATGCCTGTCCTCTTTAAGGTAAAACACTTCATGAATTATTTTGATATTATGTGTTTGTTCCTCAACTAAGTTTGCGGATTTGAATATGTCGAATAGTATTCTCTTGAAAAAGTGGAATTAGAGCGGAAACTTTGAAACAACGCAGCATCGACATAAATGAGCACGTTTACAACGTCGCAATTTGAGCTAAGCAATTTTCGATGTTAGCAATCCGCATGCTAATACCACTATAGCGGCTCCCGAGTAGCCGATTTTGCCTATCCTGTCAGTCGAAGGCGATTCTAGTGGCGCTAAGAAGACTGCTAATGCTACATGCGTATGAAGTTTTCTCACTTCATCGCGATGAATTTTTCTTTTTAAAAATAGGGAGGAAATCATACATCGATGACCTAAGTGCGAACCCACGTATTGCGGAGTTTTAGATTTTCCGCTACTATCTAATTTTTACGGAGAGAAACTAGCAACTCTATAGCTCAAAGTTTATAGTAAATATTCTGCTAACGAGGAGGAAAATCAAGGTTTTCAAGAAATTACGTTCACTAATAATCCACATAGAAAAAAGAATTTATTACAAGGAGGCTGCGTCACAAACGCAATAGATGGGGTCTTGAGAACATTTTTAAACATGAATTGGAGGTAGAAAATCCCGTGTGGAATTCACTCGGCATTTTTTGAGTTTGATTATAGGCCTTTCCAGACCATTTAAGTTACTTCGGACGGTTCTTAAAATAAAAAAAATTCTTAACATTATGATTTTTGTTTCATGGTCCAGTCCATCATAGCATTCTAAAAATTGGTAGGGATACCTCAACCTCTAATTCTATTTACCACTTTTTTAGTTCAATAACATATTTCTATATAATTCTCAGGATGCCGTCACGCACATTCCTAATGATGCTATAGTCATCGAGATTGCTCCGCACTGCATACTCCAGTCAATTTTAAAACAGAATCTTAGACCTGACAATATCATAATTGATTCCCTCAAGAAAGGAGTGGACAACATTTCAGCTGCTTTGCTCTCAAGCATGGGAAAGTAAGTTTGAAGCAACTTTATTTCAGCCCTCGGGAAATCATTTCGATTTATTTTGTTTAATTGGCTGTACATAAATAACGCAACGCTATTTTACAGATTTTTTGTCACTCATTTTCCCCTTGTATCGGGATTGCAACGCTCGACCTTACACCCCCAAAATAATTACGTGACATTTTTTTGCCTCAACAGCCAGCCCTCCCCCCCCCCCCCCCCCCNCCGCTTTCACAACATAGACGCCAGAGAAATTTTCTCACTGAAAGCTGGGGTACTGATGTTTGGCGCAATGCATGAAGTATTCCTGCACTCTTGTAGGCGCTAATTTGGTGCTCGCGCCAACACCAGCGACCGCACTGTGTTTGGCTCAATGCGTGAAGTATTCCCGCAATCTTGTAGGCGCGTTTCACGCCAACCGGTGCGGAGGCCGCACTGTATCTGGAGAGATTAGAAGCGACAAAACAGCCAATTTGTTTCTGAAACCTTTCAGACTAATCCCTGTGTCACCCCTAAAGTCAAAAGCAAATTTCTGGCTACATGCGATCTTTTAGCCATTTGGTTGGATGTATTAATGCATGATATTTCTGTTATTTTCTCCAGATTGTATAATGCGGGTATCGAAGTCAACTTTGCCAACTTATTTAGTCCCACTGCATTTCCAGTATCTCGCGGCACTCCAATGCTTCAATCACTTATAAAGTGGGATCATTCCAGTAGATGGCCAGTTGCATCGTTCTGTAAGGAGGTACTGAAAACGATAAAGTTAAGGTAAAAGTAATCATTAAGGTACCTTAAACCGGTCGATTCATTGCAAAAGAAAAAGAACATTTTTTTCCCCACTGAATGTTCGTTGAATCGTTTATTAATACCATCATACGAATAGTACACTAAAGAGCAAGTTTGTTTGAAAAACGTTTCGAGATCCTGCGGGGACACATTTTCAAGAAATAATTACAATGTGTTTCTAATCAACTTAAGAAAACAACCAGAGCGTTTTTATTGTACGTCCCTCCTATCCTCGGCTGTGTTCCTCACGCAGCCTCACTACAAATAAAACAAACGGAACGAACAGAATATGGGGGTAGAGCGAGGGAAAGGACGCACGTCAACGACGGCGCAGAGATACAACTATTCGTGCTTGACGGATGTCCGTGATGCATCTACAAAATTGAAGGCGTTGTGGCGTCAGGCGTGAATTCTCATTGCTCGACTCTTTGCTGCTAGTGAGGTGTCTCTCAGATTCAAGAGAAAAGTTGGAAAACGGGGCAAGATTTATCTTTCTTATCTTCCGTCGTGTTCCTCACGTGGCCCTTGAAGTATCATTGTAAAAAAAAGACGAACGGAACCAACAGAACATGGGAATAGAGCAAAGAAAATTACCCGCTTTGACAACGGCGCAGAGATTCGTGCTCCGAATTAAACTTGTAAAAATGTGAATATAGTTTCGACTAAAAGATGATATAAGTCTCAGCCAAACATACATTTTAGTTTTATAAATGGAAGGAAGATATGAAGAGTAAGAATCGAATTTTTTTTCGGAGCAAAGGACTACGTGCAAAACGGGCCATTTGGGGCTCGGGGCGGATACCTTTGAGACTTGCCCTATTCATTAACCTAACAATGCCCCATCTTTTCCCAAAGTTTCAAGCCCCCCAAAAATTTTGGGGAGACGCGGCGGGGGGTCAAAGTTAAAAACCAGCAAAACTTTCGCGAATTTATTACTCGAAAACCAAGAAGTTTTGGAAAATGCGGTTTAAACGAGCGTATTCAGCGTGACGAGAGCTTTCAGAAAATGTAGAACATCATAGGGTTTTGTCAACTTCAGCTCGAATTATCGCCTCCGAAGCGCCGGAACGCTCAAAAAAGACCCCTTATTTTTTCACGTTTGGGCCGATTTAAAAAAAAGCCATTTTTTTATTTTCGTGAAAAACTGACATATTGTTCCTGACTCTCTGTAGCCCCTCTAGCTCTTTACCGCATGCTGGGGAAATGTTTTGGTCGCGAGTTATGAGAGCGGAAAGGAGCGAAGGTCGGGAAAATCGGCTATTTTAAACTGC